CACAAGCGTCCGCATGCTGAGGATTCGCCGGAGCTCAAGCGAACTATCAGGTTTATCCACCTGATCCACTGTGCTCCTCGGCTGATCCTCAAGAATTGGCCGTCGAAAATCAGCACGTTTCACCAATCGATCTTGACCGGACGCCCTTTTCTTTCTAGGCACTGCATTTGGGAGAAGCACCGGGCGGGTATGACTTGCTCGGGGATCCGGCGAAGCGGGTTCTGCCCCTGTTCCGCCGAACCAAGCGCCCCGATATCGCTGGCGGACAGTGCAAGCACGGAGGTCTCAGCCAGAAGAATCGTGGACAAAACAGTAATGGTAAGCACTATCCCTTAGGCTGGCGCCCAATTAGTAAGCTGAAGGTTGGTGGGTTCGAGAAAGAGACACGTGCTTCATATCAAGTTTACAAGCCTCGAAGCTCCTTCGCGAGCGATCCGTGGAGTAGGGTTTACAAAAGCCACCAATCTTCGTCGTTGGCTTGACATTTATATCCGACCCGAAAGCGCAGGTTCTTTACAGAGCGGCTTGGGAGCCTCCCCCATTTTCGCATGCCAGGGCTCTAGTCCGTTGTCGCAAAGGTCTGACTGTCCCGCTAGAAAGACGCGAAGCATCTTTTCGAATCAAAGCAAGAAAGTAGACGCCGTTTCCCTTAAACGGCGTTACTCTTTCTTGCAGCCTAGATACTGGGTTGCGAAATTGGCTGTCAGCAAGAGACGGGCCGGGACGGATAAGCTTTGGTCGACAAGATGAGAGAGACCGCGCCGTCGGTTCCGGTGAAGTGCTAGATCGCACGGCCGGAAAGCGGCCGGAGGTTTCGTCTAGACAGTGATGATGGGTGAGAGTCCGTTCGTTTAGAAAGTGTCCTTTTTCGCCCTTTTTGAGCTCCAAGAAACAGGAAGGAGGAGAACTCGATCCGTGCGGCGGTGCTTTTGCGCTCTTCGGGAGAACAGAGTTCATAAGCAAATGGAGATTGATGGGTCATCTCTAAAGATACCGAGGTATGGTATCAATCGAGCAGGGACGTTGTTGTCGTCCTTCTTAGGCAATGATGTCCGCGCATGAAAGACGTGGACGTTGTGTTTCTGCTATATGCATCTCTCCGTTTGAAAGCGAGGTGTAATACGCAGTCCGATACACGTCTCGGGGCATGACGGTGGTTCAAGGGTCCTTTTGTACTTCCTCTTTTCAGACAATCATAAGACCTGCTACAGTGAGCTGACGTCATCATCAGGAAAAACAGCCCATCAGCTACAAGTCGGCCTTCTACATCACAAGCTGGGCCGAAAAGGCTTCTCGATCGATTACCAACGACGGTGTTGATTCTGATGTGTTTGACTACAAAGTATTGCCTATTGCTCTGTTGCCTGCATCTGAAGGCATCTTTTTGGGCTTTCCATTCAGGAAGTCACCCTTTCCTCTGATCTACGAGTAGGACTGCATTGACACGTCAAGACGCCTGTCTATTGAGACCTTTCGCCGAGCAGCTTTATTGTAGAAGTCTGGAGAGAAGTCTGGAGATCTCTGCGGAGGAGCGTGGCGACAGGTTGCTCCTTAAGTAATTTGACCGTGAACAAAAAGTGCCTGAATGATCGCTTTTGCTTTGTGCTGAGATTCCCTCAGTCGGCGTGCAGGCCCCAGGGGCAGTAGGGGTCCGCACTCAAGCCGGTCGCGTTGGGCCCTATCCCTCCGTACTTACGCGGCGAACGGATCGCGAACGGATTGCGGGCGGATCGCGGACGGATCGCGGACGGATCGCGGGCGCTGCGGTGGGTTTTATCAGAGCGGAGCGGGCCGGGGGAGGCGTCGGCCAGACTGCCCCCAGGCCCGACCTGGAAGCGCGGATGTGAGCGTTGCAGAAGAAATCTTTTGGTAGTGCTGTAACAATCACTGTTGCACGAGCTGAGAGCCGTTGACGAGCTGCAAGGTCGAAACGTCACTTAGTTCGATTGATATTTGGTGCGTTCGAGGGATGCCCGGTATCTGCCGGTTCTTGATTCATGACCAAGGTCTATATTCGGCTGTAATCTCAGCTTGGCTCGCCTCTTCTTGCCTTAGTACTGACTTGAGTATCTAAGGACTATCGAAGAAGGGATAAGGAGTCCCTGCTACACATTGGAGTCCAGCTTCATTCAACGTTTGCTCTCGGCAGAGTCCGCAAAGTCTGCTGCAGAACCCGTCTGTGGTGGCTTGCAGAAAGTAATGATGATTGTCAGCTATCAGCGGTCCGTCCTCTCCGCAGACTCGACATTCTATCCTCGCTCTGAGGACTGCTCCTTACTTTCCGATTGTCTTCCCTTGGACTTTGCCTCTTGTCCTCGGGCAAGGTTGTTAGGGTTTTGCGAACACGCCAATATTTTTAACATCCTAACATTCTCTTTTCTGGATATTTTTGAGCGCTTCAGCGCGCTTTTCTTTTCCAGATTGGTGGACGATCGCGATGCCTAAAACAGGCTGTCCCCAAAGTGAATTTGGCCCGTTTGATTTCCTTCGTGCTGAGAGCACTTTCGAATCACAACTGGCTTAACCCTTTTGCTTGGTCCTCTCCTGTCAGCCGCACGAGCGCAGGACATCCATGTCCGAGACGGTCCACGCGAAGCACGACGAGCTCCTTAGTCTGAGGGATCCCTCGGGATGACGTGGCAGCTTCCCGATTAGCGCGCTGCCGAGACACGTGTCCGACCGCCCATCAGCTGACCGGGGCGGCCGGCCACCGCCTCCGGACATTTCCGGCCACTTTCACGAGACGGATTCCGGTTGGCTGTGAGCGGCATCCGATCAGAACTTGGGGCTGTTGGACGAATCTGGCAGCCTTGGCGACGAGTGAGGGGCCCGACACTCACCAGGTGTGAGTTTCAGGTTTGGCATGGTAAAGCCTGATTATTTTTCGTCTGCAGAGAGTCTCAATATCAGCGGATCTAATTCGCCCAGGTGTCGTGAAAAAGTTATAAGTCATTAGTGTTTTTAACTGCTTCCAGTCGCGAGGAGCAGAGCCCTTTTGCTGTGCTACAGTACCCGCTTTGTTACAAACATCTGATACGAGTTTCTTGAAAGTCTGTTGATATTTGAAGTTCTGAGCTTCATTAAGGAACTGCGACAGGCCGAAAGACCTCTCCCCATGATCGAAGCGCGCGACGACCCTTTTTCAATGGTGGCTTCTTATGGAATACTTGTTTTTGTCTCACTGTTCTGTAGCACTCTTAGTGTCCGAGCTATCTGCCCAGGTTTAGCAATGGTCTGATCGTGTCGAATTTCGCCTTTGTGTGCCGAAATGAACTGCGTATCTACGAGCCACTGCCGTCTCAGAATCCTTTTTCGAATGCCCGTAATGATCGACCTGCTCACGTGTGCAGGGGCAAGAAGCTTGGTATTGCAAGGCGGTGAAGACAACATTTATCGGGTTGCCCGTCGAGAACCGGGTCAGCAGATCGTCCAACCCGCTCAAGCGGATTGTTCCGGTGAATTCTTACAGCCGGAAGAAAGTAAAGAAGAGGAGACTTTACTTTGTTCTAATTGATTCGACACCTCGGCGACTAAAGAGGCTAGAAAACGAGTCCCGGTAGAAAATCACAGTGCATGTTTCGGGTCCATCTAGAGACGATTTTCGTCAAACCTCTCGATTGCATCAGGTAAAGCCGTTCCAAGCTGCCCTGCTTATTTATTCATAGGAAAGCGCTGCTCTGCCTATCTATTTTTGTGGTAAGCGCGACCAGATTGACCGAATTATGCTACTTTTGCGATTTGGCTCAGCAAGCTCAAGACAACAATAAGCCTCTAAATTGGTTTGGCTTCACTCATGTTGCGGCCCGGTGTTCAATACAGCACGTCAGTGCGGGCGCACGTCGACGGTTACTCCGACATTTACCTCATCGTTTTTAAGCGAAGAACCTGTTTCTGGTTTCAATGTTTGCAACGTCGTTGCATGCCACATGTATGGTGCTGCATGGCAGAGCTGTCAATTTAGTGAGCGCGGGTGCACTCCCGGAGATTAGCATATGTGCCTGCCCATGTGACTGAGCTCTATGTTGGTACCTAACAATATCGTTATCAACAATACTAAGTGCGTTGGCCAAGCCAACTCTATGGGTCCTTCTGGGCGTCACCCGCCGTGCCGGCAGCATACACATGTGAATAATCGCGCGCCGGGCCTCTCTGGAGTACATGATCATGGCCGTGCCTTTTCCTTCTGAACGAGTAAGAAAAAACTTGCACGTAGGGTACACTGCAACCGTGATGATGCATGCATACGCGCATGCTGGCACGTACCGTCGAGGGCAAATCATCAACTTTTGTCATATGCTGGCAGTCGGTCTTATTATGCAGTACCCCGGCCAACGGCCCCGGTACGGTAGGGGCGGCGAACGCCAATTAGCCGGGGCAGCCAATGCAGGCATGATCATTGATGATACGGACAGCATGTGCGGATTTTACCTAGCCGCTCAGCGGCCCTCACCTTGTGATGCAACGTGCTCGTAAGCTTCGACTGCTCTTAGAATCGGAGCCGGGCACACCATGAAAACCAACTGGGTGTCAGTGACAAGGTTCCTTGCTGTCTGAAACAATTTGACCTGTCCGTGATGTTATAAGGGACTCGGGCGTTGCTCGGTTACATCTCTTCTTCTGCGCCGCCCAGTTTTTGTCAAGGTCAACGGATACAAGATCTTTCCTTTGTTACGGACAATATTTGGTTTCTCGAGTAGCCGGGCCAAGCAAGGCCTAGCTAGTGATCGGATCCGAGCGTGCTTCCAAGTGCTCAAGAAAACCTTTTTGCATTCTAACAAGAAAACCTGTCAGCTCGCCATCGGCTCCCACCAACAGCCCTCCGCATGAAGCGCATATTTACAAGAGCCCGTCTAAAGCTTTCAAACCAGGATTGCATTTTTGGATCTTTTTTGTCTAACGCGGCTGACTCCCTCATCCACTCAAGTTCCTTCAGTGACTTCAGTCCTGCACAGTAACCGAGTGAGGCATCTTATGATTCATGGCTACAAGGAAGTTGAGAAGCGGCTGCTCAGCAGTAGATACGGCCTTACGTTTGCAAACGAGCGGAGCCACGCGACTCAGCTGGAACACATTGGCCCAAGCACTGGACCGGAAACGTCAGCAGAACAGCCCTCATTCTGGTTTGTAGCCCAAGAACAAGACAATGCGGCTAATTCGTCATTTCAAAGAAAAGAATGAACGAGGCAAAGACGGAACTACGGAACTTAAGAGTCAAAACTCGAATGTCGTTTCCCACTTAGCTTTTCAGGGTGTATTGTGGCCGAGAACTTTGTTTATGTTAGGCCTTACGATCCCCGAAGCTCTTGCCACTGTACAGATCAGCCTCTTCACGTATTGAAAGACTATCCGGAGAGACGTGCCTTTTTCTGATCGATCGGGGGAACGCTCGACGGTGAAGAAATCTACAAATCAGGCAGAAATGTTACTTTCATCGGTCAATGATTTTGATCTCGCTACCGACCACACACACCGACCAAACACAATCTCATCACGACGAAGGCGTGACGATGGGCCGTGGCCCCTCGCTTGAGCCGTGCAGCCTCTTCTTTGCACTTCAATATTCTTGTGCACGGGATTGAAAGCACGACTTGACTTGTCCACGATAGCTGCACCGCTTGTTGTCAGACTGCCGACCACAGTGCCGCCGACACTTGAGTTCTCAAGAGTCGCGTTGCCGCCATATATTTCTGACAAATACTTTGCAGCCAGTCAAGGCAGAAAGAACGGTCTGAATCTGAACGACCGGACGTCTTACAGAGGAACAAGGTCGATTTGAAAGCTCAACTCGGGTCGTCGACGACTTTCCGAACCGACACCTCCTTATATGCAAACCGTCAGACGATCTTCCAACCATCTGACGGATTTGCTCAAATGCACCGCGCCCGCACCATGTGCTATCTCGAAGCTTCTAAGGTCTAGTGCCGCGGCGCAGGATTAGTGCCAGCTGGCACGCTCGCTCGTATCTCAAGGCCCAAGACGGTCTCAGGACAAATCTATAAACTCGACATGGCAAGTTGTTCAGCATCGTTGAGTCGAACCGCTGACTCTCAAATGATCTGCCGGCGCAATGGTCCGGCCACTCTGATCGGTGCAGGTGGCACCCGTGCAGGTGGCACCCGGCGTGGCCATCAAAGGAAACCTATCTGATATGATTCGGAATAATTTTCTACAGATACACCATCAAGCTGAGAGCCAGGACCGTTGCAGAATAGAAGGCTGTGACGAGGGCGCTTGTCCTAATTGCCACGCCCCGCAGAAGTTCGATCTGCAATATGGACCAGCCGCATCCCGCCCGCCGCACCAGCTTCGAGTAGAAATACCACTGATCGCTTGTTCCTCGGAACGAAATTTCAATGGGAGCCAAAAGCTCAGCCTGGGAGCTTCAAAGAAGTGTCCGCAGGCCTGTCACAGTGTGACGGGGCCTGCGCGCGCAGCTTGCCGCCCCGCGGCCGCGGGACGGTTGTTCGCATGGGCCGCCGGGGTTTCCGATCAAGGGGCTACCACGCGCGCGCGGGAGTGGATTTCTGCGCGCGCGCGCGTGGCTCCGGCGGCGGGGCCGCCAGTTCACGTGACTGGAAAGAGTGACGGGTGACACGCTGCCCTTCTTTGAGCTGGCGCAGCCTGGCGGTTACAGAACCAGCATTGCGATTCTACTAAATTTTGGATCTCCACGAAACACAGCATTTTGGAAGGCGCCCCCACAACGTACCACCTTGTCATTTTCGCACCGATTTCCCAGCTTGCAAGGAAGCACCTTCCTCGCAAAGTCTGTGTCGACGGGTTTGGAAAGACTGATTGAGCTGAGCATCAGCGCTTGTCATTTCATTGATCAGCATCCTGTGTTAGTGCAGCAGCAACCAACATGGTGAGTTGGTGGCACTTTGGAGAGTGGTCTGCAAAGTCCTGGAAAGACAGCATTCTAGATGGGTCAAGACGTAATGTTTGTTGGAAAGCCAATTGGTTGACTTGACACCAGGGTTGGTCGATGCCCCCCAGCCGTTGTCTGCGTGGTCGTTGAATCTTTGCTTGAAAGCCTTAAAACGAAAATGACACGCCCTTGAATGCAAGCCTGGAATTCTGCAGGCATCCACATTGGCCGCACAATCTTTGTCATCTGCGCCGATCAGCGGAGCGGCCCACGTTCTGCAGGTAGGCCTGCAAGCTCAGACAGAGTCTCTTGTGGTGACATGTGCTACTTCATTTCGTCTTCAAGAATCTCATGTTCTTTTAAAGCCTTCTAGTAAGGCTCTTAGCCAGTCCACCACTAAGATTGATATATTCCAATCAAAGCACTGCCGTCTTTCCATCTCCAAGTATGGTTCAATGCTTTGAGTTCATTGAAAGCATTAATGCAAAGCGCTTGCTTGCCTGGTTTGCAGTGTTCCTCGAGCTCGCAGTTCCATGGGGCGAGGCTCACCATCCCTCTCAGCCGCCACCACCAGGGGGCAAGGCCGGCTGTCTCGATGGCGGTAGCAGCGCCTCTGGCGAAGCCTCAAAAGTTGCAGCTGGGTCAAGTTGTCAGGGTCGGGGTTCTGGGAGCGAGTGGTTACACCGGTGCTGAGGTAAGATTTGAAGGAGGACTGTCCTTGAGAAGAATGATCTGGTTCAGCTGATGACAAACCTGAGGAGTATGGTTGAGGTAGGTGTATGGAAGGGGAAGAGCAACGGTCTCCTGTTTACGGCCTGAGCTTGCGAAGGATGGTGTGAACCAGCTTATGAGCTACTTGAGAAGTGCTGTTAAGTTAAGTTCACAGAAAGGAGGTAACAGAAAGAAGCTGTTGTGTAAGCTTTATGCACGAGACTGTGCTTTGGCACAGCTGAGGCTGATGGCAACAGCTCATCTTCCGCAGATTGCAAGGTTGTTGGCGACTCACCCCTTCTTCAAGGTTACAATGATGACGGCCGACAGGAAGGCTGGTCAGAGCATCGCCGACGTTTTCCCCCATCTCATCTTCAAGTCAGACCTTCCAGATCTGGTCGCGATCAAGGACGCAGACTTCAACCAAGTGGACGCTGTTTTTTGCTGCCTTCCCCATGCCACTACTCAGGTGAGGGTCCCTTTGCTTGCTTCGTCACTCTGTTTCTGTTGGCTGCCCCTCCTGAATTGACCTCTTCGACAATGCTGGCTTACAATAGTCCTGGGCATGCTGGTCTGTGATAGTCTCTGGCTCTCATAGGCTGACCCAAAACAAGTTGCCCTGAGGTGGTTTCTTTGTACCAGCTGAAGTACCTTTGTTTCTTGATGATTTGCAATCATAAAGCGACCTTGACTGGCTTTGCTGTTCTGGATTCGTTTAGGAGGAGGAGCTTTCTCCCACTCAAGAAGCTTGGTTGGCAAGTTTGCAGTGTTTGACTTGAACCCGTTGACTTGAACCGTTGACTTGAAAACCAGCAACATGCACACTTCCAAGTGCGCATTCTGAAGCCGAATATCAATCTCTTTACTCTCCCCCTTAACCTGGGCATCAACTCCACTCATGTCAGCTACAGAAACAAGTTGATCGTTCTCATGCACCCTGCAGGAGATTGTCGCAGCTATCCCTAAGCACCTCAAGGTGGTGGATCTGTCTGCTGACTTCAGGTTGCGTGACGTCAACTCTTATGCCGAGTGGTACGGAGGGGAGCACCGTGCACCCGAGCTTCAGGTACGCTCAGGCCTCTCAGCGAGAGAAAATCTAAAAACGGCTGAAAGTCAGTTGAACTACCTGAAAACTACCTAGAAACGAACTCTCAATCAAAAGCTACCTGGAAACGACCCCTAACAACCCCAAACCCCCTTAGAAGTGGTGGAGTTGATAGGCGGAACCCCGGGGGCGTTGCAATGAATGTGAAACAAGGTGCTCACCTTTGGGTTATCTTGTCTTTCGATTGCATCCTTGCCTAGGTGTAAGAACTCAGGGCTGGCTAGTGAATCCACGGACAGCTTTCATCAATCGGAGAGTCGTCTTGATTGTTTCCTCATATGTTGGTCAAGCTTCTGCATTGCTGCGGGCCGCTTCGCTAGGCAGCTTCAAGGATCCAACGGAAGTCTTTGCATTTTCAACAGTTCCGCCCCGCCCCTCAGAGAATTCGGAACGATTGATCCGCTCCAAATTGGCATACTCTTCACCTGCAGAAAGAGGCAGTGTACGGTCTGACTGAGCTGCACCGGGATGAGGTCGAGACAGCGCGGCTGGTGAGGATCACGTGACCTTGAGCGCCATTTTCGCGACGTGCACTTGCCTTAGTAGGGCGATCTCCCCAGGTTCTATGCTGGTGCTACGGCTTCTTAAGAAAGTATCGTACAAAATCTTCTTCTCGTTTTTCTTTTCTTTCGAATCCCGCAGCACCGATCAGCTCCCCTCCGTTTTGAAACTTCCTCAAAGCAAGTCACTCCTTCCGCCCTGTTGACGTCACTGACACTTGTTTTTCCGGTCTCTGCCTCGTGGATGTTACTAACGCCGACGTTGCTTATTTCCGCCTCGCTGACGTCACTGACGCTGACGTTGCATCTCCTGCCTCTGCTCTGCTAATGTCGCTGACGCTGACTTTGCTTTTCCCGTCCAGGTCGCGAACCCGGGATGCTACCCGACTACGGTCCAGCTCCCGCTCGTCCCTCTCCTACAAAGCGGGTTGATCACCACGGAAGATATCATCATTGACGCCAAGTCTGGAGTCAGCGGGGCAGGTGATTGTACAGCGTCGGGTTGTCGGCATGGACTGCGCCTTGAGGCAAAGAACAAAGTGATCTTGTCAAAGATAAGATTGGCGAACATAGTGCAAGGTCAACCAGTTAAGCTCAGAAGCCCCAACGACTTACAGCGCTTGTTAAATGGAAACTTGGTCCTGAAAGCGCTGCAAGCGGGGGAACAGCTGTCAATTTTACACAGATTGTAAACAGCTTCGGTGCTTGTGGCGTGCTTGTCCCTCGGTCTTTGAATCTTGTTGCGACAAGATCAAACTTCTCCCCTAATGTATGCTTTGTCTGCGTGCAGGCCGTGGGGCCAAGGAAGCCAACTTGTATACGGAGATCGCGGAGGGGATGAACTCGTATGGCGTTTCGAAGCATAGACACAGTAAGCTGCACTTAGCTTCCTAATCCCAATCAATTTGTCGAAAGGACGGATTTATAGTCGAAGACGGGTAAGTAATACTAGCCGATCTGAAAGATCCATTTAAGAGTTGATTAGGAACAATGGAGGGAGTCCGATCTGCTTAGCTCCTTCCGTGACTGGGCCAATGAGTCGTATCAAGAACTTGCCACCAGGTTTTTGCGCGTTCGCTTCTAACGTCGGGCGACGCTTTATTTTATTGGGATGAAAAGGCCATCCGGCCGTCTCAGAAGGCAGTTCGTTAGGCATTTTCCAAGTATGTGTGTCAGCCTTCAGTGATCAAGGCTCCGCTAACACCGGGGAATTCAAATACCAGTTGCGGACGTGCCTCACTCTCTGCCTGCGCTGACGCGTTTGTACCCCTTACGTCTCAAACCCAGCGACTTACGACTCCAATGGTCATGCCTTTGCTCGTTCTCGCACACGCCTGACAACGACAGGATCCGAGTCATCAGTTCTTGCCGTCTACGGTCGTTTTAATCGCTGCTTCTGAAAACGGTCACTTCTCGGCGTCTTCCAATTCTTACATGAGCCGTCCTCCTTTTGCAGTGCCGGAGATCGAGCAGGGCTTGTCAGACGCTGCTGGCAAGCCCGTGCAGATCAGCTTCACGCCGCACTTGATCCCCATGGTGAGTGGAACGTTCTTTTTGCGCTTCTTGATATGCTCATCATCTGCCCCTCTCGCGACTCAGCGTGGCCTTTGTCTCCTCAAGGCGAATCTCACCCTCCCTTCAGTGATCCCAGCTCCAAGCTTATGAGCAATCTCCTCGTCAATGCGCTCAGGGCCAGATACAGGGTCTCAGAGCTTCTAGGGAAAGAGTGTCAGGAAAAGGACTTTGACACATGACGTGATTGCCATCAAAAGCAAAAGGACTCGTTTTTCGCTCTGTATGAGCAGCGCAGATTGTATGCACGTACTCTCAGAATCTGTTTGGGATATCGGCAGAGATTCTCAATCGGCGACTGATCATCTGAGTGAAACACCTTCCTCGACGACCTTTGCAGAACTTTCGTATACGACCAAGCAGTCGAACGAAAGACGTCTCTCAATGACTGTTCCAAAAACTTCGTTCGCGACTAGACGTCTGTAGTTCCAACGACCTTTACAGAATTTCCCTTCTTGTGCTGGTCTTTAAGAATGCTGGTTTCCTTGCAGAGCCGCGGCATGCAGTCGACCATCTACGTGAAGCTGACCGACGGGACCAGCGTCGACGACCTGCGGAACCACCTCCAAAGCTTCTATGAGGTGACTAGCATCCCTGCTCCTGCTTGCGCAAATTGCAATATGATGAGGCATTGCTTCAGAGCTTGCTTCGGACTTGGGCGCTGAGACGACACCGGTTTCACATGCTCAGTCCAGCCTCGTTTGCATCTCAGGCACAGCGGCCCCCGCCAAAAGCCCGGGGAAACCGGGGTACGTGATTCTGGCAGATTACAAATTAAAAAAGCTTTGTTGCGCTCCTCTGAGCTTAACATATCAGGGATGTGAAACCCAGGAACTAAAGGCAGCCCGAACTTCCAAGATCCTGAATTGCTATGCTTTTCAAACCCGCGCTTAAGTTGCCGCCACTTTTGCAGACCGAGGAGTTCGTGAAGGTCCTGAACGCGGGTGTCGTCCCTCACACGCGGAACGTGCGCGGCTCTAACTACAACCTGATCTCGGTCTTCCCGGACCGCCTGAAGGGGCGCGCCATCATCATCTCCGTCGTAAGCAAGCAGACCCCTTTGTTTCAAAAGATGAATCCAATCTTTGGTGGTGATCTTGGGACGGGGACTTCACTTGCTCTACGAGGAAGCTGCTGTGGAAGTCCTCCGTAAAATGTACGGATGTCTGCTAACCCGTGACGACTCCTTCTAATCCGCTTTTCTCAAGCTAACCTAGGATCTGAATCTTCACTAACGGCTTATTACGTCGCTGCAGATTGACAATCAGAACCCTTTCTACTCCGCTCTTATCAAGCTTTTCTAAACTGAATCTTTACCAACGGCTTGTTACGTCGGTGCAGATTGACAATCTGGTGAAGGGGGCCTCCGGTCAGGCCTTGCAGAACCTGAACTTGATGACTGGCTGTCCGGAGGACTGCGGACTTCTCCAGCAGCCGATGTTCCCTTAGACGGAGACTGCCAAATGGGGCCATGGCGGACACGCCTTCCTTGATGAGATTCTTCCTACACCGTCGTGTTGTAATGCTTTTTGTAATGGATATGGAGCAAACTTCTGACTATGGAGCTTCGTTCGATGCTTTGCTTGGAAAACGAGTGAGAAAGCAACTCAAAATATTGATCTGAGCACTGTGTGCAAGTGATCGAGCACATGGTTTGTTTGTGAACGGCGTTTCGAGTTCCGGTATTTGTAACATGCTTATAGGTTGCGTGCGCTTGCTTTTCCAACCAATCACGCGTTCTGTTTCACTGGCAGTGTTTGGATCCGACGACAAGTAGAGTTCTATACATCCGGTCGACTTGCATGATCATGCACATACATGCTCATGATCAACATAATGGCATGGTATTAAGTAATCATATATTTGCCAAGTTACATGTGAATGATTTGCATATATGTACCACTGCACATGTCATGCACACAGAGACTAATGAGGATCAAAGCGACATAAGTAAAGATAGGTCGGCGTATGAAGAAGCCCCATGGAACCACATCTTCAACACCGCAAATACTCTCCCAATATGTACAGGTGACCAGACGCTGTTGACCCATGACAAAGATACTGAGCAGTGTCCAGAGAAGTGCATATGAGTTGTTTTGGACCAGCTCTGACAAACTTGCAGCAGATTGTTCTCAGACAGAGTCATTGAAGAAGGTTTCAAAATCTCGTGATGTTATGACCATGTGAAAATTGATTGCTGTGGCAATGGGCGCACCACCAGCTGATCAAGGAAAGTGACTTTAGCATCAAGCGCCCTGACCACTTGTCACCTCGGTAATGCAGTCCAACTCCCAATTGGAACATCAAAAGAGAAGACAGTACAGAAGTGCGAGGAGAATGCCCACAATTGCTGTCTGCTTTGAAATGAGCAAGTTCACAAACCCACGAAGATCCAAAAGCCGCAATGAAAGAAGCGGGCTGATCATGTAACCAGTATCTGGAAGGAGTTCCTTTGCGCTCCAATTAGCTCAAGGATACCACGGCTAAAGCAGGTCTCTGGAACCTTTCTTGGATAACTATCTTACAAACACTTAGTACGAGGCTAACCCAGCCCCAATTGACTTACTTACATCTCATACAAAGACCGCTACGTCGAGAAAGTCCCCCGTTTGGAATCCCAAGCCCGCGAGCGTCTTCTCATCGTCCTCCCCTTGCCGCAACGACAGAGTCCGGCCCACCTCCCGAAGCACATTCTTCCCCCGCCGGTCCGGATACACAAACGCAAACGAGAGCCGCGCATCTCTTCGCCTCGCGCTCGGGACCACCTCCTTTACAAGATCCGTCAACTCCCGCAGATTCGCGTCCTTCCACGTGTATATCGAAACCGTGTCCTTTGGCTCTTTCCCCCTCACAGCATAGTCCTCCAGGCTATGGTGCGCGCCAATTTTGTAAAAGACTTTTAATAGAAGTGGGCACGTCATTTCTCGGTCTACCACCACGGGGGGCCGCACAGGGACTGGCTCTGGAGGTCCCCTAGGCCCCGGAGGCCCGCGATACTGCGGGCGGGGGCCTCTCGCTTCACCTGGATATGCCACTTGAGCCATCAGGGCTGGGCGCCTGAATCTCTTTTCTTCAGAAGCGCTGGCCTATGATGTGAGGGAAGGCAATGGCACCCCTTAGGCTCTTAAACTTACTGCCAGCTTCGTTCTCCGTCTGCGAATTCTGTACTTCAAGGAGATTTCGAGGAGGCAAGAGCTTTCTTCCAAGCAAGACGGCCACTCGTGTAAACTGCTCCAATATGCAGATGACGTGATCAAGAGAACGGTTTTTGGGCACGCGGCCATGAAATTAGACCGAGTCCAACTCTCGAAAGCTGCCGTTTTTGTCGTTATCGGTACCGGGCCGGGCAAGTTGGCGCTTTCACACCAGACATTCCTGGGGAGATGCTCGACTTCAACTTCAAGTTTTGAAGTTTTGGCCACAGCTCAGAGTCAGATTGACGTCGCTTGAGATGCTCAGCAGACGCTAGCTTTGGGCACTTTTGGAGTCTAAGGCTGAAGCTTTAGAGGCAGGGCATGCTATATTCCCAGTCTAGCACGGCTGCAGATGGCATCTGGATCGAGCGGTGGCCTCGGGAGCCGCCTCGCGCAGCTCACTAAAAAGTACGGCAAGGTCGCCCTGGGTGTGCACATATCCGTCTCCATCTTGTCGACCGCCAGCCTCTACTTCGCAATCAGCCACAATGTTGACGTGAATAAGTTGCTGGAAAGAGTGGGCTTGGCGTCGGAAGAGGCGGTCGAACACCAAGCTGCGGACTTGCAAGTCGAGATGGATAAGTTTGGGATTCCGGGGGGGCCGAGAGTGAACCACACGGAACAGTCTGGTGCTAGCGGAAGTGATCAAAGTGGGGGAGGTGCTTTGCCGGGGGCGGATTCGAAAGATGAAACGAAGAAAGGGGCTCTGGGGGGGTTCTCAGGGAAGACAGTTCAGGGGGGCAGCGCGCTAGCGTTAGCTGTGCTAGCTAACAAGGCGCTCTTTCCGATCAGGGTACCGATCACTCTGGCGCTGACACCGTATGTTTCTAGACTGTTGTCAAAACGGGGGGCGCACGCGGCGGCGCAGGCGTCTGCTTCGGTCAGGAAAGATAGTCGATGACGGGCACTGAGCCAGTTGGTGCGGGGGGGTACGGAAGGATGGGATGCACTTTGGTGGTCAATATTTTTTGTTCTCTGGTCAGGAGATTTGTATAGATGAAAGCATTCTTTCAGAGCATTCTCAGTTCCGTAGTTCTGGCAGCTGTATGTTGCTCACTGAGATTGCCAGGATTACGGTGTGATCTGGCAACACTCTCTAAGTGGGGACATAAGGAAGCAGCTTGGGGGACTCATTCGGCGTGTCTGGAGTACAATCTAGAGGCAACAAGAGTGTACAATTGTATCTACACAAAGCATACGGCTGCATACCAGACCTGACAACTTGCAGTCTGAAGATGCTGCTAATCGACAGATTGAATTTGCGATCTACATGCCCGCACAATGCACAATGGCACCGTCAAGGAGGGTCCAGGGACTGGGCTTTTAGTCTGAACATATAATTGCCCATTTCCTTCGCAGTCAATCAGTGCGCGAACAATTGCTTTGGGCAGCATACGCCCCTTTGGCAGCAGAGAGAGGATCATCCGGGCTTGAACATGGATTCTGTTCCCTTCGGACAAGGTGCTGCTCATTGTCTTTATGGGACTTGATCAAGACTCCACTCTCAGCGGCATTCCCTCTGCCTAATGCATGTATGAGAAGTTTCTGTATCTGCAGTGCACGCGCCTATCTTTGATCAGTAGAATTACGCTCCACACGCAGCTGCCACGAGGCATACATCTGGCCAGACCGGTCTCGGCATCATGCAGTGAAAATCTCGTGTCGGGCCTACCGGAACACATATGAACATGTGGGCTCTGTGTATATACCTTGATACTCTGCTAAATGACAATTTGAGTCGCGGTAGCGGCAGCATCCATGAAAATGACCAGCACGACAGCAGAAGTATATGGTGTACATATCAGGCTAGTGCATGGCCAGGCGGCATGCGCGCGTACTAGGCAATCATAGTACATACGACTAAGGTCTGGCACGTGCCTCAACATGTTGGGAAGCTGTTGAATCCCTCAACTGAATATTCCATCAGTTTCCAAACGGAGCCTAGAAACAGAAAGCTTAGGTACAAACTCAGTGGGCCCACACGCTGCCTGCCAATTCAAGTGAAAATAAAAGTAAGTTACAATGTGTTAGGATCCAATATGATCAAGCACAGCGGTCTGGCCAGGCATTCTGCGCTGACCAGAGTCCTGCCCTTTCTGCAGAGACTCCGAGACCTTGTGGCGGCATGCGAAATCAAAGTCAGGCACTTCTGGCTCATTATCTACCTAGGGCTATCTTGTCAACTCGCTCTGATTCCGTCCTCTTTGCGGCTCCTATTCCTGACAGTATCTTGCACACATCCGTATTTGCGTTCCCTTTACCTAGTGACCCCCTAGATTCAGCGGCTGGTCATCCTCCTTTTGCTCCTGCTGCTTGAGGGCGTCGAGCGCTCGCTTCGTCGCCTCCGCCCTGGAAAGCAGACAAAAGAAGCCCAATAAGACGCTGGACCACTTAGGACACTTGCTCGGTAAGATCTTTTTAATAGCAGTCTCCGAGTACCCAGAAATCAAGCCGTCTGAAAAGGAAACCAGTTGACGTTTATCGGGCCCCGCACTTGACACACCCGCTTTATGCATTCCAGTGAAAACAACGCCAGTACTGCAAGCGAGACTTTCCAAGCTTGAACGGTCGGTTTGGCAGTTTTGGCACAATCTCCTCTCCTGTTCTCGCTAATGGACAATCTAACTGATATTTTCTCTTACCAAACCCCTTTTCCTTTACAGGTTTAGGTATCTTACTCATGCCTAAAAGATGGACCCTTTTTTGAGACTGAAAAAACGGACCCTTTCTGAGTCCCAAAAGAACTGTAATTCTATTGATTGTTGATTGAGCCACCCCCAATTATTTCCTCACCCTCCCTTATTTAGGGGGCTCTTAGTGAGTCTTCCGGACCCATCCCCGCAATTTGATTGGTCGAGTGACGTAAGCTAAAGCCACGATCGAGTCTACGACTCCCACAATAACGCCACAGCTTTGTCTGTACGGTGCACCTTGCGGCACACTCGCAGCAGAACTGTGGCTTGTCGCACCCAGATTTGTACTTAGTGTCGCCCGGCCGGGGGCCCAAGAGACGTGCCGGGCCCCTGGCCGCATTTAATTTTCAAATCAGACAACGTTCTTACTGCTTGCTTTACGCCCCAAACCCCCCTTCCCCCCCATCCCTCATCAAGATCAAACGTGCCTGCACGCCCGCTTTATGGAGTCCCCTAACAATTTCAAGTCCTCTGCTTCCTATCGCCCACTCTATAAAACTGGGCCCCCTTCTCCCCACCAACCCCCACAAAACAAGGACAAGCGATACGCACCTGCACGCCCGCTTTATGCAGTCCCGGTCGAGCAGCCCCACCAGCTTGCGCCCCCGCTCCTGCCACCGCTTCCCCCCCCGTGCCACGACGGGCAGCTGCTGCAGGCCACGTGGCTGCATGGCGCGCCACGCCTGCTTGAGGCTCATGTCCGGGAAGATGCTCACCAGGTCCAGCTCTTCGCCCGTCTCACCGTCGCGCTTGCCCGTGCACACGCACGCAACCAGCATCGAGTCGACCTGCGAGAAGTATGCTTTTTTGGTATCGAAGATTGGTTTGAGGCGGGGTGATGGTGATGACCAAAAATGGCAAAATCCCTCGTCTAATTTACGTCGCGCTTGCCCGTGCACACCCAGGCAACCAGCCTCGAGTCCACCTGCAAGGAGAACACGTGTTTGTAAAGCTGAACATCTCAAATCGGAATAAGAAAATCTGGTGATGTCGTGTTTGCCCGTGCCAACGCACGCAACCAGCGTCGAGTCCGAAAACGTGTTGGTGTTTTAATACGTACGTCCAAGACTTTGTTATCTCTACGTGAATATATCTGAGATTCGAAACATAAGACGGTCCTTTGATGTACCAAAATCTAGCTTGCCCGTGCACACGCACGCCACCAGCATCGAGTCCACCTAGAAAGAGAAACCGTCGTCATATTTTGTATACGTATGGAATGACCGGTGAGAATGTTCGAGATTTTGTATCCGAAAGGTCTCTTGCCGTGTGCTCGTGCACACACAAGCCACCTGCATCAAGTCCACCTGCGGAAATAAACAGGTACGGTGGTCTTTGATGAAGGTTAGGGCGTCGTTTGTGTGATGAGGATTGTTGAAAGCTCAGAGAAGCCGCCTTTGTCGCTGTTGCTCACCCATGTCCACACACGTCACCACCACTGAGTCCAATTACGAGCGACTTGAACTTAACTGCCATTGTGCCGCGACATCTTCCCAGGTCCGGTTCCTCTCCGTTCCGTTGTAACAAACCAAGATATTGAACGGTTGCACGTTTGTGTTGGATGTAGCGGCGCCATCTCTCGGGCCTCGCCACACTTTGCGCAGTGTCACCATCACATTCGGAGATCTTTGAAGAAAAATACTCACGTCGAGCGGTGCCATCTCGCCCCGCGCCACCGCCTTTGCCGCGCGCTGCGCCTCGAGCTCCAGGTCGGTCAGCGTCATGATGCCTTCCAACAGGTTGTCTTCATCCACCACCAGACAGCACCGCTGAAGCCCGCTGAGGATCGCACCCACCGCCTCGCGCACCGTCACGTTCGCCTGTGAAGGTGGGGAGCAGGAAACATGAGCCTTTCGGAACCTTTTGAATGCGTTTGAGTCCTTTGAGGAGTAGGGTCGCGCCCTTTTAATGGTGAGACTGCAGCCGGCTCAAACTCGCGCCCACCGCCTTGCGCACCGTAACGTTCGCCTGTGAAGGTGGGGAGCAAAAAGATAAGCCTTTCGGACCCTCTTGAGAGCGTTGGGATTCTCTGAAAAATAGCGGTCGCGCCCTTTTAACGATGGGACTGCAGTCGGTTCAAAATCGCACCTACCGCGCACTGTCAGGTTTGCCTGTCGAGGTGGAGAGCAAAAAGAATCAGCTCCTAGGTTCTGCAGCTCCGAAGAATAAGCAGACTCGTTTTCCTGACGATGAAAGCCTTTTTGTCTATACTACTTCAGAGCGATAGACGCCTACTTCTGACCGGATACTTTCTGATACAAGTCTACGACCGTCGTGTGACGATTCAGCGAAATGACAAACAGAATAGCCCTTTCCAGAAGGCCCTTTCCTTCCGGAAATGGTCAAGAATCACACATTCCTTGAACGTAATTCTATGCCGAGAACCATTACTGAGACCAGCTAGGACACGAAAATACGGAACTCATCTGGAAAGCCTATTGCCTACTAAGCCTCACGCAAAAACAACGCTGCACCGCTTACCGAGACGGTGACCAGTTTCGTCATCATCGCCTGGCTGACTCGCAGATCGTCCATCAGCTCATCCTCCGTGAACACCTCCCCCGTCGGCAGCTGAATCAACTCCAACCCCTGATCCCCGACACTGCTCCTCCCCTTGCGGTACGGTTTTCCCCCCCGCCCCTTGTCCCCCCCCTTCGCCCCCGCATACGCCTCTGCCGCAAGCACCCCCCCCCGGTCTGCCGAACCCCCCCGGTTTCGATTCCGGGGGGATCGAGGCGACGCGTGCGCTTTCGGCTTTTCTTCTTTTTTCATCGCGGTGGATGCGACCCAAGCGGAGAGTCCGACGGCGCCCGAGAGCGGGAGCATGATGCGGTAGTCCTGCGTCAGCTCGAAGAGGAGCAGGACTGACGTCATCGGGACCTGGCAGACCCCCGCGAGCATCGCGGCCATACCGACCAGCGCGTATGCCTGCAGCGCATCTGGATTGATTGTATCGATTGTGAAGAGGAGAAATACGCGGTAAGTTTACACCGAAGCGCCATAAAAGGAGATGGTGGCAATTCCAGATATCAGGACGCCACGTGAAGCTCAATCAACAAATAGCAATGTTGCTTCAGTGAGCAGTTAACACGTCTGCGCCTATATTGGGTTGGTGGACAACTGAATTAAGGCACGGTCGCGGAGCAATGATAACGTAAGGGCAAAAGGCAAATTCCTCTCGTTCTGTGCTTAGTTCCTCAATGAGTCTGACATCCACAAAATTCTGACTACGTATCGTGGTCTTTAAGAAATGTAGCTCGTTTCCAGCAATCAACGTTGTCACACGTCAGTGAATTTTCCAGAATGTTTACCTGCGGCGCAGCCACTCCCGACGGCCCCGGGATCGCAAAATCAATGAAGCTCCCCGCAATCGCTCCATACGCACTCCCCAGCGCGGCGCCCAGGAACAGCGACGGCGCGTAGATCCCGCCAACCAGCCCACTCCCTTTGCACAGGCTCGTCGCAATGATCTTCGCAAACACGAGTTGGAGCAAGAGCCTCGGTCCCGGTGCGGTGGGACTCGTCCGGCTGTGCAGAATCTCGTCCACGTTTTCGAAGCCCCAGTAAAGAACCCCCGGGTACTTCAGCGCGATGGATCCGACGAGGAGACCTCCGAGCGCAGGCGTGACCTCCTTCGGCACGCCGAGGCGGTCGCGCAGAAAGTCGAACATTTCTTGGGAGTAGGCGATGAGGCGCAGCAGGATGTACGCCACGATGCCACACAGGACGCCCAGGAGGAGGTGCAGGGGCAGCTCTGCAAAGAGGAAACCAAGGGTTTAAGGTCGGGTTTCGGGGTTCGGCCCGGGGCACACCGGTTTGACAGTGGCCATTTACCCTGGAACTAAGTTCGGATTTCCGGTTTTCGGGTTTCTGCGTTTCGAAACTTGTGACTTGGACTCATATATTAACGCTGCGGGAGACTTCAGGGTCTTCCGAGAGATAGAGAAGTAGGTGTAGGGGCAGCTCTGCGTGACGGGGAAACAACTACCCTCCAGAATTCTTTGATATCAACTTTCTAAGGAAAGTTCTGGGATTGACGGCTCCCCAGCTTGGGCGCTTGCGTTGACGTTCTGCTGCTGTCAGCCAACATAGCAACGTCAGCATTCAAGGATGTGAACGACCACTGCGGTCGAGCTGATGTGTTGCCCTAGTTGAGCGGTCTTCGTGCCACAACTAGGGATTCCGACAGCGTAATCTGGCACCTCAATCAAAGAATGTGTATCCGACAGTACAAAGTAGCTGAGTAGCTTAAGAAGACATTACCCTAAGACGTTGGCTGATGTCATCAACAAGGGGCTCAGAATAGCGGCCAACACGTCCGAAACGCTTATGTCGTGTGCGTATCAACTTTGCAGCATAGGTAGTTGCTCTCGGGTAGCTGGAAATTGAAGCTAACACAAGCTCAAAAGACCTCTAGCAACGATTTAGCAACTATCTCTCCACAGCAACAGAGCCTAGAACGCTTCGCTCGCTGAGATTGAAAACTGTGCTGTTCTCAGCTTACCTGCGGCGGAGCGAAGCTCGTACTCCGGGACTGTGAAAGCGGGCGCCGCACCCAGGAACACTCTGGCTACGGTGGACGACAGTACGGAGGCCATCATGACGATTGAGATGGTGAGGGTCGGAGCCGCTTCGCCGGATGCCGGCCGGAGCACTGTCTCGACAGCAAAGAAGCAGCCAGCAATGGCGGCGTTGAAACCTGCAAAAGAAGTCGTATTTGGTTGAGTATTGATCCGCCTGCATCATGCAAGTAGAGGCTCAGTGTATGAAGTGAGCAGATAGGTCCAGCTGTGTGTGGCCACATGCGGCCAGAGAGGAGGTTGTCGGAAGCGTGGCCAAGGCATCGTCGACAGCTTGTCAAGGAAGGTAGTCAAGTCTTACGAGCTCAAGAACGGCGATGGAACAACTCGAACTCACTCCAGGACTTTAACACACCATAACATCGCTTCTGATCCCAGTTCATCGAACAAATTTGCAGCTTAAGCGTCTGGTGACCAAACACAATCAACCCACCAACATCGCAACCCTCGTCTCTACTAAGCAGTGTTCAACTGTCGCAAATCAGCTCCTTTTCCCCAGACGCAAACCGCGAGTTTCATACTTCGAACTTCAGCCGGTCTTATACGATCCTGAACCCCCAAGTACTTTTATCAAAATCCTCACCCGCCGCAAGCCCGGCCGCCGCTCCCGCCGCCACAAGCGCAATCTTGTTCTGCCGGCTGTTCTTCAGGATGTCCGCCAGACCACTCGCCCACGCCTTGCCGATATCCACACTTGGCCCCTCAGGTCCCAAACTAGACCCCGTCCCCAGAGTTACAGCAGCCTGGATCGCTTTGATGATAGGCTTCACTGCGGCTATCGGGTTCAGCTTGTCGACCAAACCGTGTGAATGGCCGGCAGCCTGCCAAAAAGGTGTGGCAAACTCAGGTGAGAACCAGGGATGGAAAGAGCTGTCGGTTGATATCAGGTTTGAGGTGGAACCCTTGTCTGTTGCGTTAAATTGTTAACTGCTCTCTTCCCTTAGCACGTCTTCAGAGACTTCTGACCGACCACGCGCCAGCCTTATCGATCTGCAGGGGACTTGTGCCCGTGCACAGCTTGAATCTCACTGATTGCTTTCAACCTCAAGTTCTAGAAAGCCGACTCGTCAATCTTTAGCTCCCCTTATGACCAGCAAGCTGTCCAAGACAATTGTTGGACGATCTCCTCCTTGCTTCTGACGCAAAAAATCCTTTCACTGCACGGGGTTGAGCTTGGTCAATCTACTGGCAAACTAGACCTGCAGCTGAGAAGGGCACTAAATCATGCCGCTGGAACCTGTGGCGCTTGCTTGTCCACTTACCGGGCTGATGTTCTCAATGATTCCAACCAAGCCGTGCAGCATTCCCACAACCACCCCCCCACAGACAGGAATGAGCATGATCCGATGCCAGGTGTCGGACAGATGTTGCATCCTGAGCCAGGCAGCCCCCGTGGTTGGCGTCCCTGCCCAGGCCACATGGTGGATCCCATGCACCTGCAAATTAAATGTTCTGAATCTGGGTATCTACTAGGCTACTCTCCTTATCTGTAGACTCTGCTATTATGGACAGGCCATGCAGCTTCCATCAAACCCGTTGTGTACAGAAAGTGAACTTTGGAGTCTTGTAGTCCTCTTCCAGTGAAGATGCGCACAGAAACAATCGAGCTCCAGCTAGATTGCCCGGTTCCTTCGATAAGGCATGGAAGGGAGAAGCTAAGGCTGGCCAGGAGCTTTAGAGCTGTTGATCAGTTGGGAGGGCCTATGAGGATGCTGTTTTGCAGCGGGCGAAATAAGACAAGAGGACCAGCTAACCAGCTAAACATGGCAGTGCCGTCATTCTCCACTAGTGTATCTGCTGCGGGTCCATTGGCAGATGGCACAGATGGACCAGACAAGTGGTGACGGCCCAGAATATTGACTTTTAGCTAGACAATTTGATTTGGCGTTGTCAGTGGCCACCGCAGAGGCATGCTCTCTGTCGTTTGGTCTTGAAAATGAGCGGCCAGAATAGGATGCTACATGAGAACCTGACAACGGAGCTCCTTCCGAGGATTGTAGTTGAAGACCGTTCATAGTACAGTATGCAGATTCACTGCTTATAAATACATCTAGTTGATTCCCCTAAGTTTTGGCAAAGCCCTTTCCCCCTGTTTTTGCCTCATGACAAACTTGATGGGAACACGATTTGACAACTTGCGGAAGCTCCCATATGGTCAATTGCGGCACAAGCTTGCGCCTGCTCATGAAACAGATGAAGTGATGTGTGCGTCCGCCAATGTGCCCCTGCCAACCAGCTCAGGATGGTTGGAGCTACCCCAGTAATCAAATAAGGCATGATTAAGAGAGTTATCAACAATATCAAAGAACCTGGCTGTCCCTCATGTGAATTCACTCTGCAGATGAGCTGACTGAGCGGGAGGCTTCAGAGGGTATTCAGCATAACCCTAATTTTGCATTTTGGAAGACCTTCCAACCTTCACAGACACTTGTAGGAATGAATGGAACCCTAAGCTGAAGTCACCATGTTGCAGAACGCCAGTCATGGGAACCTTATCCAGCTGAACTCTGGACCATGCCAGGTTCCAGGCAAGGGGCTCTTCCATAGGAGCAAAAACGCTGCGCCCCAGGGAAAATGCAAGTTTACTCACCGTCAGATTGAACAAAACAACACTTGCTCCTGAGCACAAGCCAATTGTGCAACCCAGCACCAACACAGCCCATTCTGGAGGCGCCCTGTCTCCCCAGGGTGCTCGCCAATTGAAAGGCTGTCCTGACGGTTTTGCTTTTTCTCTAGATGCGGGGTGTGTGGTTATCCGCTTCACTGCGCTGCCTTCTTCTAGATCCCCATCTTGATCAGAAGAGATTGGCCCAGGATTTAGCAGGGGCCGGGACTCCTGAACAGGCGGCGACATTCTCAGTACGAACTGATCCTCCTCCGCTCAACGTTTACAATTAATCAGAATCCTGAGGGTCGCCTCTCGCAGCGGGTCATCAGCTCAAAGAAAGCGCTGCATCCCTGCCTGCTCACAGAAAAGCCCAAGGATAACGCCGCCTTTGTCAACCGTTCTGTGTGTTCTTGGTGAGCATGACACCATGATGCAACTCCCTTGATATCCGTGCGCCATTTTTGCCCAATTCACTTTTTCCGGGGGGGACGATTTTAGCAACAGCAGCGGCTCCAGCTGACGTCATGACTTAACACGTGGTACGACTCTTGGCTGTGATTGGCTAGAAACTAGAGGCTCAGAAGCTCGCTAGCTTGCACGCCCGTGGAAGGAGAAACTTCAATGGCGACTGCATTGCAAGCGGTGGTTCTTCCTCAGGAGTGAGCGGCCGTCATCCTCTCTCCCATGTCAGGCACGTTGGTCGCGTTTCATCGTTGTGAGCTCTGCTGAAACACGTTGCTTCAGCGGCAGCTACTTTTCTGAAGTGTTGGCGGGAGGGTGGGGCGCCCTTGTATATCCTCAGAAGCTCGTGTTTGGATTGCAGAAAGAAGTTCTGCAGGCTAGTGAAACCCGTTGTGACACATCGTTAAGAAAACAACACCATGGCTCTGGAGGCAGCGGTTGGCTCCTCTGCCACCACCGTCCTGAACCTGGCATCATGTTCCGCTTCTAGTTCTTCAGCACACAGCTCCCTTCGTCAGCCACGCACAGCCCCCCAGTATGTCCCTCAAAGTAGAAACCTTATTGCGCCAGGTTCTGGTGCACTAGGCAGGTGTTTAGCAGGGTTTAGCAAACCGCTCGCTCGGAGGCGAATGGCCTGCAGGGGTCAGGAGTACACTGTGGAGATTGAGAAGGGGAGTGAAACATACAAGCTGCACATTGACGAAGACTCTTACATTTTGGAAGCGGCCATTGATGCGGGGCTTGACCTTCCGCATGACTGCAAGCTAGGGGTTTGCATGACATGTCCGGCAAAACTGCTGTCTGGACAGGTGAGGGCCGAAAGGCAGGTTTTCTTGAGTTCGTTTCAAGTCTGTTGTTTCTTGCACAGCAAACGGTGAGTTCCTTGCGTGTCTTCACCATTACCTTGTAATGTCCCGGACTCGGGCAAGAAGCTGAATAGGATAACCATTGAGCAATGCCGTGTCGTTTAGGATATTTGAACCGGATTCAAGTGTCTTCGTGTCAAGCCTGGAACGCTTTTTCCTAAGGGAACGTAAAGATCTGATTTGAGAAGAAGTCAGAATGCCTTTGATAAGATGTGCGTGTATGTGGCCAGTGCTTGAAACTTTATGAATTGTCGCCACTCCTCATTCTGGCCCCTCTCACCCTCTGGTATGAAGTGGCATGACGTTTGATTAGTAGACCAACTCGGAACAAAGCCGCTTCCTCAAAGAAGTACTTGTCCAGCTTGGCTTCTGGCTTCCACCATAGAGAATGTTTGTGATGCTGATTTGAAAGGCAAACACCATAGTATCCCCAACAACGGACTAGTTTTCCCAGCGAGTAGAGTGTCTACTGTTACAATTTGGTGACACCGATCAGGGTTTTGATTGCTTGTTTGCTTCTGCAGGTTGACCAGTCGGAGGGCATGTTGAGCGACGACGTGCAAGAAAAAGGTTTTGCCCTCATGTGCATCTCCAAACCTCTCTCAGATTGCAAAATTCTCTGCATCGAGGAAGAGGAGCTTTTAGGCCAGATGATGCATTCTGGCGAGTTGTAGGAAGGCGGCCGGAATGTCAGAAACGAACATTTGAGAAAATAGTTTCTCGACATGTTGCCATGTAACTTTGGGGTTGCGAGGATATGGGTTTGTCTTCACAGTTTTGCCCAAGACACTTGATGTCACAAGTTCCTGAGAAACAGTTGGTTGGTAAACCTTGAAAGAATGCCCTGGTACTGAAAGGTGACTCCCAGATCAGCATTGATTATGGGATCATGCTTGGCTCAGCATGTGCTTGGCCACGTGTTAAGCACTGGACTTAGGCGGCCCCGCTATAGATTCATAATATATTTAATCCATACACTAGCGGCTCACTGCATACTGTCTTGGATCAACCATATCAGGAGCGCGTTCTGGCACATGTGGGATCTTGTGAAATTGAATTGGCCGTTTCTGCATTCCGTTGCGTGTACACCGTCAGCGGAAGCTTTAGGCAGTACGTGGGGCTCTTTGTAAATACTGCACAGTAGTGACTGAATATGAGAATGCAGTATACGTGAAGATATAAAGGTGGCGGGGCCCTGTGAGACGATGATAGTTGGCCCGGGACTAGCTGGCTAACTGCCGCTGCATGCATACTAGAAGGACTTAATGACATGGCATGTCTGAAGGCAGCAGCTTGACACACTGATATGCCCGCCTGCAGGTTATGTGTGCAAAAGATGATGCCTAGCTCAAAGATGTTTCATGCTTCGGGCTTGTGCAGTCGAACACCCATGTCATTCAAGCAATTCATGACATGCAGATTTGGGAACCAGAGACGTTCACGCATTATCACGCGCATTATCACGAAACACATTGTCATCGTCCATACAAGTGGCTTAGGCGGTCCAAAGAACAGCAGCTACAAGCGTGCCTCAGTTGTAGACGGGTCACAGACCAGTTCATGAAGTCAAAACAGACGGTGAAATAGAGCACCAGAAAGCTCCAATCCGAGCTCGATCTCGGAAGGTCACCGGAATAGCGGGCAGCAATGGGCTGTTTTGATTGTTAGAAATGACTTGCTCGTCTCTAGGCCCTTAGAGAGTCGTTTAAGCGCCTGGAGAAGGCGACCTTGTTTTTGACGCCGAGTTAAGAGAAGGCTGCTTGGGCGGACTCGACAAGGAAGGCTGGCTCTTCTCGTTCCTGTCACATGGCGCACGTTAAACGGTTGGGTTCGACTTGGAAGCTAGAGTTGACGAAGCAGATAGTACACTGCCGGTTTGCAAACAGGTGACGCACAGCAAGTATGCAGATTGCCGAAGACCAAACGAACGTCACCCAATGCTACAGCACATGTAAGACAGCGCTGCAACTTGGAGTGCGGATTCCTCCCTCTGTTAATAACATTTCATTTGAATGCACTCCAAAGGACCGACTAGTATAACACTCCACATGCTTGATGAACACCTCCCATCCTTGATTTGTCACACTCGCTTACAGTTGTGGGTGGGTTGCAGATCCTGAGAAGAACAGGAAGGATCTGCCTAAAGGGGCTCACTCTAAGCTCTTTAGCAGCCGGAAGAGCGTGGCGGCCTCCCGTATCCGCGCAAAGTCGATGCAAAACTTTTGGACCTCGATGAAGAGGTCCTGGACTGCACGCCCAAAAACGAGGGAAGCTCATCAGCACAAATCCTTTCCGTCAGGTTGGAAGATGGCGAGGGTGCTCATGTAGACTTACCGGCGCACCAGAATTTGAAAAGGACTCCGTAGCCGCCGTTATCTTAATACACGCACGTCTGAGGGCGACTTGGTCAGGGAGACTCCAGATATAAGTCGCGACTCCAGATGCATCTCCAAGCCCTCCTCAAAAACGCCAGGAAAGACTTAGCTCAAGGAAATTTCGACGAAACTTGGACAAACACACAAACAAAGATGGACGAACATACACAATGAACTGTTCAGTGTTGACCAACTCAGCGTCGAAGTCACATCCGCCAGTTGGACTAGAAAGGGGTCAGAGCCAAGTCCCAGGCTAGAGTCTACCAACCCGACTGTAGTTTTCCGCAAACAAGCCCAGAAAGTAGCGACAAAGAGCCAACATACGCGCGTTATGTTGGGATTCGGTTCAGAACGCCGAGCAAACGAAGCAGGCTTCTAGCAACGCACACAAAGTACACTGGGCGCTTGCATCAGCAACGTACCATTAATGATCTTGTTCCGGATCAGGCTCTGCAGGAAGACGCAAACAAGGCGGACCAGCCGATTCTGCATGTACTTATCCTGCAGGGGCCGAGGAAACAGAGGAAACGCGTCGGTCTACGGACATCAATTCCGCTCTTACCTACGACTTCAAAGCAATACCAAACAACGAGCTGTTAGACCACTCCGTCTCAGATACAACAACTACTCCAACGGCGTTTCCAGGCAAACGGGTAGATCCACACAATCCGCACACAACAAACGACTCCAACGCTTTGTCTGAACAAGCCGCTGCTAGGCTTTTCAATATCCAGTACGACGAAGTCACATGCTCACTCTTGACAGAGCGTTGCTACAAGCAACACAAAAAAGTCGGATTTACTTGAGCCTTGACGCCCTATCTGGTTAACACTGGTTGATATCAGAAGCCCTCGCCTCACAGCGACTATGACAAGCGGTCGGCCGACTGTATCCCAAACGACAGTTCTCCCAAACGACGGAAGTGAAGGCCGGTTTGGCCGGAACCTCGGTTGCGCTCAACCTAGCCACGACAAAGCTGCACTCATTACATCCACCTCGAGCTTTGACTCTCTGAGAGGCCGAACCGCGTACCTGGATCGTTTCGCAGGAGCGTATACAGTTGGAGATGTAGCGGTGCACGAACTCGGTCGGCAAATCGACGGCGGTGGTTAGCCGGTTGACCACCTCCATGGAGTGCAGGCTCATGTCCAGGTTTACCAGCGCCGACAGGTACCTGGATGCAAAAAAGTAGGTTTGACTCGACCGACGATTGACCCACAACCTTTCCAAAGACTCATGTCTAAGTTCACCGGCACCGACAGGTACCTGGACGCGAAAAGCGGGGTTAGCCTAACCCAGCAGTTATAAACAACCTCACAACAGGCTCATATCCAGGTTCACCAGCACCGACAGGTGATTGTGAGGGGGCTTCGCCAGCTTGCCAAATCCTTTTCCATTAGAGTCTTACCCGTCTAGGATCTGGGGGCTTACGTTGCTTACGTTTTCTTACCTTCTGACCTTACTCCTTACATTCTTGGAGGTTTGATTCCGGAAATGTAGGTTGCAAACGCAGGCAAATGCAGCAATCTAACACCGGCCACGAATACACGGTAACCGTGAAGGTCCAATTACTCGCGGGAACCATCTTTTATACTTGCTCATTCCTTTTCCGCATATGATGGAAGCTGGCAGCGAGGACATGTGGATAGAGAACACGTTTCCAGACTCGATACTTGATCCTGTCAGACAAACAAAGTTTCCAAAGACACCAAAATATGCAGGGGGTGGAGGAGTATGCTAGAAGGGTACTCACTCTCCGATCTGGCTCGAGTTCATAAGCCGGAGTAGGAACTCCGTCGCTACGGGAGGGTTGTTCTCTACAAGGTCCTGCATGAAAAGGGATCCACTTTAAGTATGCCCCGTCCTCTTAAGAGTAATAAAGAAAAGGCATTAGATTCCTTGCCAGGGTAAGTCTGACAGTGACGGTGCGCAGGCGCCAAAGTTGTCAAGAAAAGCGGGGGCCTCCAGCTTTGCTCCTCAAGCATTTGATGACAGGCAAGCCCGGCCGCAAAAGCGACCATAATGCATCCATCCGTGCCGTCTGCACTTGCCGCTAATTGTCGCCGTTTAGAAGCGTTGCGTTGCTATCACCCTCCAAAAGGACAAGTACCAAAAATGAGTGCACTCGGACGCGTATAAATGTGAGAAAGCCTGGTATGTTTCTCTAGGCCCCAGGCTGTGACTTGTAGGTCACGCAGTTTCCTCAATCGCCTCGCGCGCTGCTTTCCTTTCGATCGGAAATGCCTTACGAGGAGCGAAGGGCGGGCTCCGTTCCATTTCCCTTTTCCCCTACTTTTCCCGTCGCTAACAGAAAAAAGAACACCACATTTTATCTGACTCCGTAATCGAGCACTCACCGGCAAGTGTTTGGGCGCCAGGCCACCTCGATAAATGAGCTTCGGCTCCGCATCGAGGTCCGCTCAATCCTGCTCTTCTTCTCTCCTCGTTTTGGCTTCCCAGTTTCCCTCAAGCACAAATTTGGGAATCTTCGTTCTGTCTCCCTCTTTTCCCTCAAGCGCAACAAAAGGGACTCTGAAATACCAAGACCAACCTAATCGTCCTAGTGGACCACTCACCGGCAAGTTCTTCGATGCTAGCCCGCTTCATTGTATGAGCTTGGGTTTGCGTAAAGGTCCACTCACTCCTGCTCTTCGTCTCCCCTCGTTTTCCGATAGAAAAGCGACTCACAAAAATAACCGAGCTTCACCACCCTAAAAGACCACTCACCGGCAAGTGTTTGGGCGCCAGCCCGCACCGGTAAATCAGCTTGGGCTCCGCATCGAGATCCGCCAACAGCTGCTGCTGCTGCGCGGACGCGAGAGGCCCCCGGAGGGCGCGTGCCACCAGCTCGCGGACGGAGCGGCCCCGGCCGTCGTCCGCAACTAGGCTGGCGTCCCACAGGAACGCGTGCGGGATGGCCACGTTATGCCATGCAAGCTGCGGGAGAAAGCACGTGACGTCATTCAGGTTACTGATAATGCGGTATGCTAGCGGGTGACAAGGGCTCGAAAAAGGGGTTTTTGTGCCATGGTAGCTGGCCTCAAGCAACTAGGCTGGCGTCCCACAAGAACGGGTGCGGGATGGCCACGTTATGCCATGCGAGCTGCGGAGGGAAACGCGTGACGTCATGCTATGCCCGCTGAGCTTTCATCCTCAAGAATTATTTTCTATTTAGCAAGGGTCTCAAGTGAAGTAGTAAGGGAGGGTCTCGAGTGGCTCTAGGCTGAGTGTTTCTGCCCTTTGCAGCCCGACTTGAAAAGCTTGAAGACTCGCAACACTCAGAGAGGATTCGGTAGGCGTTGTTTGGGCGTCAAAGACCGGTGGGAAGGTGGACAAGAGCTGAGGTAAAGTGGCACACGACCCATGGTGAGTCGCGACATTTACTCCATCCTAATTGCCCCAAAGCCGGGCACAGAACGCTTCGAGCGTATGTTATATTTACGTGACGCAAAAAGACGACAGAAAGTGGGGAGGTATGATATACAAGGGGGCGAGAAGTCGGCCCAGGATACCGTTGGCATGGCGGAATCATGTGGCGCGGCTACGAGACGACATTACTGACTGACGTCACATAAGGGCGTCGAAGGCTCTGACTGAACCACGGCGAAATTACACGCTTACCCTTGCACAGTCAGTCAGCTGAACACGACGCTCGATCAGGTCCGGAAGAGGGCTTTCTTCAACTGTCTGACAATAAGCTCACCTCCCCTTCTTGCACCGCAAGCGGCGGCGGGGTGGGCCGCAGCCAGGGCGGCTCGGATTTCGCAGTTTCTCCACCTTCTCCACCGGATTCCGGTTCCGCAGTGAACGCCCCCGGTTGTGGTTGCACCGGAACGGCCTCGGCCGGCCTGCAATCCGAGAAAGCGCTGGTGTCTTCTCCGCCTTCGACGAATTCTCTATAAGCTGGCAGGCGAAACATGTGGACTTGCCTGTACCGTATTGCAATCCCGCGGGCAAAGCGCCATGTGCAAACGTCTGCTTTATATTCGTAAGGTGTGCTGATACACGCGGATGCAGAACGAGTAAGCAGAGAAGGAACTCCAAACGGCTTCTATTCATGACTGGTCCCGGGTCGCAGGTCGCAGGTCTACTTTCGACCAAAGACGCTGTCTCCCAACTTTGTGCGCTTGACGATTGTCAAAACCACGAAACGTGTTCTTTCCGAACATGTTCCAGCATCGCAACTGTAACGGGTGGCTTCTTCAGAAAAAAACAAGAAGCCTTACCTGGGCCCGTTCGGCAGCTGCGGTTGGTCCCTCAGAGGTTCTGCTCTGGCATCGCCTGCCGGAGGGTCATCCAAAGAAACTGACGGGCGGTTCTGCTCCCGAAGGAGCTCCCGCAAGGCAGCCGCGTTTGGCAGCTGCTCCTGAATGCCGGAATAACTAGGAGGTTAGAATCACTTTCTCCTTCTATCGTTCATAAGAGAAGCAATTAGTGAAGCTCAGCCGAAGTTTCTCCGATCAACGGAAGAACTTTGCAAATTCCATAGCCTCTGGTGCCAAACATGAAGGTAACGTTTGGAATTCGTTTAGGATTGCTAAGGCTGGAGAGAAAGAGACTTGATTATTGTCGGCATGAGGTGAAGTTTCCGTATAACCGCCCTCCGCGCTTCGCAGGAGGTCTATGTCAGATTGAACCGTTGATATCTCAGAAAAGCAGATCCTCTTTCAGCAGGTAAGTTAACATCAGGTTAGACCGACAAGATTTTGACAAGACAATGTCTTTGTTCGTCAAGGTGTTTCCAAGGGGATGAGCGACTTACCTCTATACTAGGACCCAACTCCTCTTGGATCAAATCTTTGGCCCTTCCAGCAAGATGCTGCAGAAGAGTGGCAATGCCGTGAGATGCCATCCTAACCCTGCTTATCAGTGCAGTCGCACGTACTGGTTTTATAGAAAGTAAGAACGACCACCACGGAAATGTATGAGATGACCAGTTACACGAGGGGAAAAAGTTCTTGAGGCCTGAAGCATGAAGATCGCTTCCGCATCGCAACCTCCCTATTCCGGCTCGTAATATACATCTTACATAGGTGGTGTGCAATTGAGAAAATGAAGCTTCCTGTTAATGAATGTACATGATTTGAGGGCACCTTTATCTAGAGGAGGATAAACGTAAGGGGAAAAAGCTGGAACTCACCTCAGGAGAGGGCGGCCTGGTTAGAAGTTGAATCAGATGGGCCCGTTCGACAGTGGGAGATTGCTTGTCGGTGGCCGCCTGAAAAAAGAAGGTCGTAAGCAAAGATCTCGATACCCTGGCTTATTGGCCTTTTCCACTTCCAACTTGAGACCCATCAACCGGTTCACCTTTTCTTACAAGATTTGGCTTTACGCACAGATGACACATTCTCGCACCAAGGGATGCACGATGACGAAAAGGGTGTCAAAGCTTCCATCTCTTAGCAAGCCCGAGAAGCAGTCCGTATCAGGTTACTACCCGCTTAGGACTTATAGCCTGAGCGTTGGCTCACTTGGATGAGGAAGGGCAGAAAAGGATGGTCGGGCCGCTCGTCTTCCTTGTAGAGATCGAAGACAACGAAAAGGGCCACCAGTCGTTGGGCGGGTTGCAATACGAGGTGATCCTGCAGGAGAGATCAACGCGTTCGTTTGCATAATCGAAGCAGTGAGAAAACACGAAGGACTATGCTCAAGGAGGCATGGATAGATAAGAGGGGGCCTGGGTGTGAGAAAACAACCTACGACCAAGCTGACGGACGATCCCCGTAGGGTGACAGCTAAAGAAATTCGATGCCTGCTGATTGGCAGTGGTCGCAGAGTCCAATACACCTCAGACAATCTCAGAAGGCTAGATTCCCTCTAGCGGGGAAACGATGGGTTTGCGAAGCTGAAGGACCCTTCAAGCTCGGTTGTGCTGCCTGGACTTTATCAAGCAGATCCTTGACGGGCATGGAATCTACAGCCCCACCTATGACGCCTGAGCATGCCCGAGGTAGCTGACCATATGGGACAAAACAGAGCTTGCACCCAAACAGCTCGTACTGAGGCCCGCTTCCCTTGCTTATGAGGTTTTCAACCAGCTTTCTGTTGCTCCTACCAAACATTTGTCACCTTTGGCCCCAAGGAGTTTGAGAAGTTCTATAAGGAATGCTTCAATGTGCTCAAATGGTGCAAGTGTACGACCAACAAGTCAGCTGCACAATGGCAGTCTGATTGCAAGTGGTCCGGTTTCAAAGGTGGTGTATTAGTGGTGCAAGCGAGCTCCCGTAATGGCCGTCCGTCGAGCAACTAAAGACTTGCATCGTTGCAGGTCAGAATCTTCGAGTCACTCCACACTTCCATATGTTCGTGCAGAGATTTGCAAGTAACTACTGCGCCATTCCAAATGGCAGCACAAGAACTACGTCGGACAAGCCTGTTAATGTTCCTAAACACTCTGGGCGCACACCAAAACTTTAAACTCAACATTGCTCAACATTCATCGGGTCACTGCTATGTTCCAGAAAGTCAAGGGTTTTTGGGTATAGTCAACTGCATTCGACACAGCGTTACCCGTCTTACCTCTAACAAGATGACCAGAGCACGGCACGCCTGCAAGCGCCGCCTCGGCGCAAAAGTTTCCTTGAATGCTTTCAGGTTCTCTGAGAAACTTCTCTCATCTTGAAGTACATCAATGAGCGCCGCACTCTCTCCAGCTGTTAGCATCTTGCCGACAATGGCATGGTGGTACGACGGCGGAGCGACGACTGGCTAGAAAGAGCTGCGCCCAAGAAGAGAAACTTTGCACGAAGAAGCGCTCGGAGCTTTGAGGCCACATGAAAGCCGGCCAATTGCTCGTCTGAGGACGGGGTTTGGCAAGGCGCCCGGGGCAAGGAGCAAGACGAAGGAGAGGAATTAGCTTGATGAATTCACCTTGTGAGTATGTTCAGGACAAAAAGAACCAGGCGCCCTGAACGTGACGTAAACCTTTAAGTTGAAGTTGAACAACAACGCAGTCCAAGTGTCCGCAATGAGTGGAAACTTTGAATGAAGTGAACACCTGGACAGTCCAGGCACAAAAGAAACCCGCTACTATTAATAGTAGTACCTAGTTCGGCGTCTACGTAGCGGGGGCAGCGAGCAGTGGGAATAGGCTCGACAACTTACCAACTGGCAGCCGAAGGAGGGACGGTTCTCAAGTTGAATCGACGCAATGTGATTGCACGATGGTCGCGCGGTTGACGCCGTTCCGAAACCGTCGAGACAGCCACCTGACAGAGAGGATTTTCACACTCCCTCCTCACCACTGCTTTTCTTGTCAAGTCTGATCGACAGCGATGCCAATGCAGTGCGGCAGAGCTAGGTAGATTGCACAAGGAAGCCGGTCGAAGGAGGATCATGGCGTCTCCCAACGTGAGCTCCTAGTTCGAATCATCTCCTTTGTTCTCTGTGCTCTGAATGTTTGCTGGTGCTTTTAGCTGCTTTCTTTGATGGCAATCGACTGAACTTCTTGTGATCTAAGCTGATGCATCTGAACAAGGAGATTCTGAAAAGCCCTAGTCCACATGTGGCATTGCATTTTAGTGCAGGAGCCTAGCTGTGTGCTCCTGCTGCTTTTCCAAAGCTTCTGATGTGCGTCGTCCTTCCAATTTCAGAGATATATCCCGTCAAAGAACCAAGTTGCAGGACATCGATTTGAAGGTGGGTAGCTCTGGAAGCAATGGTGACAGTTATGTTTCAGTGTTTTGGTACCAAACCTGCAAAATGGAAGGAAGAAGGATCAAGTCAGCTGCAAACTGTGTACAGATTCAAGGAGCTCTTGTTGCATGTAGTTCTCACTGCAGTCCTCTGTCTATGCAACCACGTAAGGTGCTCCATCATTCTCGTAGAGATCCTCATGCCGATGAATCTTTTGAACACCTCAGAAGGACGTGTTGGATCGCTAGTGGACGGGAGTGGCCTCTTCTTCAAACCACTGCAAGGAGATGAAAGAGGGGAGAGGGAGGTGGCATTCTACGACAAATTCTGGCAGGATGAATCTGTGCCTGCCAGCATCAAGTGCTTCTTCCCAAAGTTCTTCGGTGTGAAAGAGCTGGAAGCTGCTGGTCCGGTTGGGAAGCTCAAGCATGCTGCGCTGGAAGACTTGACGCATGCGTACAAGAATCCAAGCATTGTGGATATCAAGGTGAGCTCTTGTTTCATGCCTCGCTTTGGTTGGTAAGCCAATGTGCAGAGTATTTGGTCGCAAGATGGACATCTTCTGTGTGCAAAGTAAACTCAACATCACTGGTCAGGTGGTCAGTATCTGTGCCTAATGTCACATGTAGTGGAGGGTGCGTGGAGGGAGGAGGGACTCTGTCAATTCAAACAAGTGAGAAGCTGACAGATGTAGATTTGACTTGGGTGTTTCTTTGTTTGCAGATGGGGAAGCAGACGTGGTACCCAGGCTGCAGTGAAGAGTACGAACAAAAGTGTAGGTAGGTAATCCTTGGTTGCGCTCTTGCCCCCTGAACCAAGATCAGGATTGCTCAACCATCTTGGCGAGGCCTGATTTGATAGGGCTCAACTCTTGCAAACATCTGAAAACACTGACTTAACTTGCAAGTAGCCTATCTGCCTAGGTTGGCGACACCTTCTTATTTGGAAGTTTCCGTGTCTTCAAACATTCACAACTCTTGGGTGCAGGGCCAAGGATGCCACGACCCCGTCTCCAGAGCTTGGTTTCAGAGTGTCAGGCATGCAGGTGAGCCTGTGCTCTCAGTAACAAGAGTCCGCAAGATGGAAAGACAAGTAGGGAAGCATTGCGGGATGCATCGGCAGTCGTTCTGCTTCCATGGGGCCGGGAGAGTTCTGACCTTGGGAACAGCTCAATCTGATGAGCGGGGTGTTATGATCATTCAAGGGCTGACCAAAGCTGCGTTCGTCACAGATTCCCTTTGGAACGACGAAAATTGATCAGGCAAACGGAAGTGACTCGATCACAGCTGCTTCACTTTCGCTGCCTCACTCTTGCTGCTTCTAATGAGAATGTCGTCCTTGCAGATCTTTGATCCGAGGACAGGGGACACCTGGCGTGCGGATAGGCAATGGGGGAAGAGCCTGGACGCGCAAGGCACCGCGGGGGCCTTGAAACGATTCGTTCTCCCGTTCGACGATGAGGTGTCAAGGCGCAACGCGGTGGCCAGGATCCACGATTTGTTGGCTCGGCTGAAGGAGTTCCAGCAGTGGTAAGCCGTTTTGCTGCCTGGATCATGTCCAGACCGTCTTTTGGACATGCATGTTTTTCTAAATCTGCGCCTGAAATTATCTTGGTGAAGCGACGGATGTCTGTTGGTCCTGCAGTGGCGAAAACAGCGCACACTTCGGAGCTGGAAAGACTTGCAGACTTGAGAGTGGCAGTTTGTTTTCTCTGGAACCCCCTGCGTGAAATGAGTCGCCGATCCTTCTATTGCTAAGGGGAATTGACGCTTTGCAGCCTCGAAACTCCAGCGAGTCCGATACATGTCGAGATTAGTTCTTCTTCTTTCAGCGGGCTGATATCGGTCTGTTCGTTTTGCAGGTTTGAAAGCCAGGGGACGTATCATTTCTACTCGGCATCTCTGCTTCTCATGTACGATAGCATCTCGTCAGATGTCCCGTCAAACAGCTCCACTCAACCGAAGGCCCAACAGTCCGAGTCACCTGAAGCGGACCACTCCAAAGAAGGCGCCTCTGCATCCCCTCCGACGAGCCCGCTGGAAGTCCGATTGATTGATTTTGCTCATGTAGTTGATGGGAAGGGAGAGCCAGATACCAACTTTCTGTTTGGGTTGCGAAGTCTGATCGAGCTTTACAATCGCGTTTTCTCCGAGATTGAGTCAAAGAACTGACCGTCTCATTTTGTCACCAAGTTCGTGAGGTTGTATTTGCACGCGCGCAGCTTAATTTGCTTACGGTATGCCCACTGTGTATCACAGTAGTTAGTATAAGGATAATAGTTTCTGAGTAACTTGAACGTTTAGCACAAGGTCACTTTGACTTCACCTTTATGCGACTTGATTTGAGTTTGCACGTTGGAGCTCGAGCTTACGTGTTGCCCCATTTCCCATTCCTATGTGCGCGCATGCGACGCCGGTACACACACTTAAATGGGTCTAGCAATCTCCCCGGCATGTCAATCATCTATGTTCCCAGGCGGCAGTACGTGGCACGTTGCTGATCCTTCGCGTCCTTGAACTCGAGTCACGGAATAAGCATTAACGGTCGCCCATGTGAGACAGTAAGTGGATGGCTGCAGACGCTGACGGTACCTACATGAAAGTTGGCTCTCGATTCAGATGTGCCTCAGAGGCTCCATGCATGGTCCGACCTATGTACGGCCAGTTGCCCCCGGCGGGGCCCTTGGGCTCATGGCAGCAAGCGGCCATGTAAACTTTGTCAATGTCATATCAAACCTCCAACTGACTCTTCAACGAGAGTTGATTCGAAAACCGCCGCACATGATTGAATGATGGATCGATATGTACACATCGTCTCGTACGCTTGCATCACAGTCATCATTGAAATAAAAGTATGCATGATGCTATAAATTGCGGGTGCCAATAAATCTTGGGCGAAGACGGTTTGTGTCAGGGCGTACTGGCATATGGCATGGGGCCACTCGCGTGAGCGAAGACCGCTGTGGCGAGTCTCGAGACCATGGCATCCGCCGATCATGCAGATTTCATGATTCGTTCATTCTCAAGCGCACCTTCGGTGACGACGAGCCATAATGATCATGCATCTATAGCGCTAGCCACAAATGATCAAGGACTTTCCGGTGTTTTTGAAGAGATCCAAATTAACGAGCCGTCAGAAAGCTAAGTTGACCCGATGTGAGTGCACAGGATTAAGTCGACGCACTACGACAGGAACATTTCAACGGGCACCTTCGCTTGACGTCCGTTTTGGGCACATACAGTACGGCAACTTCTCGGGCACTTGCCCCGCCTGCACCGTAACCTGTTCTCCTAGATGAGACCTCAGCATCATAGCCTTGAATGTTGGCCACTCCCCCTCATGTGCCGGCGCTTCCGCCACAGCCGTCCGATTCAAAATCAAGCTGTGCCTCCGGCCGCTGAGCGTCCGATCGGACACCACCATTTGCTCCACGTTTGAATAGAACGTCGCCAGAAAGTAGTCACTCCTAGTTGCCACGTAGAAATCCAACGCGACCAAGAGGTTTGCCCTACCCCCGTACGGCTCCAGCTCTGCTTTCGTCAGCAGATCGCTTTTTCGGAACGTGTTACGGTACACCGACGTCAGCCCTTCCGGCTCCAGAAAGTCCCCCGTCGCCAGGTACACCGGCAATTCGGTAGGGATCCCAAGCGCGAGGAAAACCTTAGCGGTTTCTGCGGGGGTCAGCGGGCACAGGCCCTGCCGCCGGAGTTCCGCCGCCTCCACCTGTTTCCGCTTGTTGAACTTCCGGCTCGTTGACCGGATGCTCTGTAAGACGTCAGCGGAAGCGGGGAGCAGGTCTGGGTAGTCACACCGGGAGAAGGCCACCTGGCAGGGATGGACGCAGGATCTGTGTGTTTGGGCCACAAGCGGCAACCGGTTAAAGGTCCAGTAGAAATAGCCTGCCGGAAAAGAGTCGAAATTCCTCTACTTTGCCGCTCGTCAACGTTCTGCCGTTGAAAACTCTTCTCTTGCATAGCAAGACTGTTTGCTCGTGATTTTCCGTTCGATGCCACCCTTTTCGATCGAGCAATCTTCCTGTCCGACTCATACTCCCTTTTCCTTTCCTGTCAACAAAAGTCGGTTAAAGTCTTTCCAGATGCGTACACAATGTGGGAAAGCCACGTATCGACTGCAGGAAAACAAGGCCCTCCGCTTACTCGAGGTGTCTCAGTCACCTTCTGGCTGACACCTTGGACGGAAAGCTCCGAAGCAGAATCTTTTCCTGCCTTACAGTCGAGGGAGAATCTGGAAGACTGACTTCAAAAGTTCTCCTCACCATATCGGGCTCGAATCTGAGGTGCAGCGCCGCAAACCGCCCTTTCTCTCTCATTCTCGCCAGCAGCAACTCCCCCGTTTCGGCAACATGGTCCACAAACTTGAACGCGCCAAAGCACGCCCGACACCGAGCCTGCTCGAAGTGGTCAAACCCGGGCTCGTACTCGCCCCCAAACCGGGCTCGCAGCTTGATGACTGCCCGCCGTTGGAGAACTGGTAGAACCCACCGGACGTAGTCAGACGGCCTGCGGCTGGGGGCTCGATGTTACAAAAAGAAGGTGAGAACTTGGCTGCGCGGCATTCTAACGGCTGTCAGCAATGAAGATGAGCTTTTGAAGCGGGTTCGTGGCGATGTTCAGGGTGCTTCGAATCAAAGCGGAGGCGATTTCGCGAACCCGTTATTCTGCGAAGCGTTTCCCTTCTGATGCAAAGCTTTCTTCGGACGCTGTGAGGAGTTTTGTACCCAGAGCTCACGCGAGATGCTCGATTGAAATTTGACACAAAGTGTTACATTGGGTCTGAAAGATTATCTTGAACATGCAGAAGCGGACTGAGCACCGCTCAATGAATTGGATTCGACATCCAGATCTGACCCCTAGAACCAATGAGTAGCACTCACTTGTCGAAGCGGCTGACTTTGATCTCGGTCGGCGGCAGCCCTTGCAGAATCTTCGGCAGCTCGCGCACCACGGGGACGACGCCTCTCAGCCGTCCGATGAAATGATCGACGTCGAAGACGTCCTCAAACGCGCCGCCGTCCTTCCAGAACACGTCCGCCTGCAGGCGCGGGAGAACTAGGGCGGCGTGCAAAAGGTGCGCGAGCCCCACCGCGTTGCAGATGTAGCGGCGGATCTGGTTCAGCCCGCCGGTCGTTTCGGGGATGATGAAGCCCCGGATGCCTGCGGAGCGGAACGGGGAATCGGTTGATTTACCGACGCCGCGAATACTACGCACCACAGTGTCGTGAAAATGTCGTTTAATATGCTATCGTTCCGCTCAAATGGCTCTCGCAAGCTAGTAATCAGTGAGTGTCCTTTTTCTTAATGTTATCTTTCCCCTAGGAAGTGGTGTCTTGTGCGGGGCGAATCATCTGCATAGATATGCATTTCCCCCTGGATGAACGCATCAATTCTTCTTGGTATTCAGCCGTTCAGATTGGCTGAGAGTGAGTCACGTGCAGAAGTTCGGCGTTGAGATTGTTTGGCGAACTTTCGATCTGACGTCCCCGCAACCGGAACCTTTGGACATTCGGGTCGCTCGTTTACGGAGAACGATGAATTGTCGCCGACAGCAGGGCTACAACGATTACCTAGCCTTCCTTCAAGCATTAGAAAGCACTTTCGCTGTGGGACCATGCTTACTGCCTGCTAAACTTTCCCTAAGTGGCGAATCCGAAAGTTCTGCTGGATCTCGTGAGATCAAAGAAAGGGTATTCGCAGAATCGTGCGATACTCCAAGCTTAAGAAGTCACCGTCCCGAAAGTAGACTCACGGTAAGGCTGCCCGTTGGCATCCGCTTCTCGGCCAGGACACGTGGCTTCCTGTGATGAAAAGCTGAAACCTCCCCCAACGCTCTCGTTTCTGCACCAGTGGCAGGGCTCCCAAGCTTCGGGCGGCAAGTCGTCCAAAACATTCCCCGTCCCTAGTTTCTTTTCCCTCTCAAGTGCACCAACTCGCACGTCGAGTTGGCCCAGCGCCACATTTTCCTCCCCCCCTGTCCGATCATGTCGCTCGTCAAGACTTGTTCCCGTTTCGCCAGCAACCCCTTTCGTTCTTATCAATTGTAGACTTTCATTCTCTAATGTATCAGAATCAGGTGAAACCAATGCCTCTTTGACAGTCCAGTCGTTCCGTCCGAAAGCGCCGGCCGAGAGAACCCGAGTGGCTGCGGCTTTGGGGTTTGTGGTGGAGCTCTCTAAGGCTGGGCTATCGGGCACACTTAGATCTGCGGATGAGACAGACTTCTTTGTCAATCAGTTTTCAAAACTCCCGGGACCCAATTGGGGCAGGTTTGCGGTGTAATCCATCAGCCCTGCAACGGCAACATGCTGGCATCGGAAGAAGAGTGTGGAAGCGGGAGCTATTCTGACAGGTTCTGACGACAAGTACATCTCTTGGAAAGCGAGCGCGCACCACATTTTTGACAGCTTGAAAGGCATGGCATCGTTTGCATCGCTTGATCAGAGATGTGTCCCTGGAACTGGGAACAAGCAGTAGATGCGCAGTCGTTGGGCTCACATGTTGTCAAGCAGATGAGTGCGGTGCTACACAAGAAGAGAAAGCTTGCAAGCCCCTGCAACGCCCCCCTCCGGGCTCCCAGACACGGCCAGAGACAGCGCCCATTTTGTCGGGCGCGGGGAGACCTTATGAGATCTGGAGTCTCTCGACCGGAAAGACTGCCCCTCGCCAGTGTGTCGGGGCTGCGCTGGAGCTTATGCCTACTACTACAGAGGAAGGTTGAGTTGAAAGAACTGAAGCGTAATTTAATATGTTTGTATCTTGATGTATACAAGGGCTGATGATCGTATGGCTGGGTCTTTAATCGAGCTTAGTGCAAAAGGTGCTGATACTCTTACTTAGACGTTTTCCTATACTGTGCCACTTGCGCGATCGTCCAAGTTTCTTAATAGTTCACAACCACTTGATACAAGCAGACTTTCACCAGAGAGCGGAAACTAGTTTGAAAGTACCAACGCAATTTTCCAGGTGGCTTCAAATTTTACTAAAGATTCTGGAACATTTTCAACCGTCAGCTTTTTTTGTGGTGCAGCCAAATAAATACGGCACCAGGAAGTCTTGGGCCGGAGAATATCACGCTTATCAAAAGAAAGGGTAATGCCAAAGGTTGGCAATGCTGACAAATGCATTGGCTCTCATACACTCCTTATCCAGTTTGCAGCCCGCCTACTTGACGAAGAGCAGCTCAATGACTTGACACGGCCGGTTTTGGCAACGCTCAGAGGTCTTCATTTCGTAATCTGGTCGGATGGTCGTCAGTTCCACAGTTCCATAGTATACCCTAGCTCGTAGGTCTGACAGCAATAGAAAGCAGCGTCATGTAGGATTCGCTGGTGGCCAAATATGACTGCAGAGCTGCCATTGCCCCCTTTTGTTTCAAAGGATAGAGATGTGGAACAAGGAACGGAAGGCTTACCTGCCGCTATAGCCCACTCATTGGTTTGCTGTCCTGCTATACGAGAGCTCTTGGATGGACCAGCTTGGCGGCAGCCCTTCAGGAGCTGCTTGAAAGCAGATTGAGCTCGCAGTTAGCACACCAGGAGCTCTCGTGACACATGATGTTGCGTGATGATGTGCATATAAATCAATCACAAGCTCCGTCAGCAAGTTTTGATATGTCTAATACGTAGAGGAACCAAGTCTTCTGCGAGCTACAAAAGTTGTAAGATTGTATCGTCACTGACTTGTACCGGTATACCGGTATATATTACCGTACTGATGCTAGGTCCAGCAACCAACGTCATATTTGCAGCTTAGAAATAGGAACAAGCACCAATAAATAAGAACGCAGGCACAGACCATAACTGCAGGTGGTTCCAGCTCGAATAGGTAATTAGTTATAAATAGCCATTCTCATGCATTCTCATGTCGCTGTCTGATTTGGTACACCTACCTACTGTAGATACTGTAACCAAAGCAGATTCTCGTTGAAGTCGTAGCAGGTAGGTAGTAGGCATCGTAGGTAGTAGGCAGTACCGGTAGGTACTTCCAGTCCGTGTGGGGGCTTGAGTTGGTACCTAGGTTTCTATGGTGCAAGATTATAACCGTCGCTTATTGCAAATAGCACCATGGACAATGCGAGTCCAGCGCGCGCAGGCCCAAAGCGCACTCCCTTCGATCGCTGCGCCGCTCCACCGTCCACCGTCCACCGTCCACCGTCCCCCTGCAGCCAGTCTTGTAATTCACGGGGGTAATTCACGGGGGATTGAATTCTTCAGACTTTTGACACTGACATTTGCATAATGCACTGGCACTTCCTAATACTTGAGTCTTGTACTACCTGGCCATCTGTACTAATATTAGCTTTCATGATTTAGCGAACTCTTCTGATCTTGTTGGAAAGCCTGTCTTCTTGGAGTTGGCGCAGGCTTGCCATTGCATGAGCGGCGAACAAACAGTCTGGCGCCAAAATGGCGCCAAGTCCTCAGGAGGTGCAGAAGCGGTGGCGGACCTGCGCCTGGGTAGTCTACTTCTTCCTCTTGTCAGGCTACCTGATTTACTGCGGGTTCTTGATACAGAAAGCATACGGTCTGAGCAAAACCCCTCTAGTTGCAACATCCACAGACATCAAGAGGACCATAAAGCTGCCTTACATTGCGGTGTGCCTCAATGAACAGGACTTTCTCAGCGACTGCGGACAGGGTCAATATAAGATAGGGAGGCTGGTCTCACGATGCCTGGTTAGGAACTGGTTAGCACAACCACCAAACAGTTCGCTACCGCAGTTTGGTGCCAGTGGTGAAGTGGATGAACAGCTCCCTTCTCAGTGGTACAGCTCGCCGGTCTTCAACCAGAGTGCCACGCTAATAAACCTTGGCAAAAGCAACCCTGGTGTTAGTTTCCTCTTCCGGTCGCCAGAGTCTGGGGACACAGTCTCAAACTGCAAAGCGGAGCCAATGCCGGCTGTCAAAGGGTTTGAGCAGACTGGTTCCGGCTTGTTCTGCTTAGGTTATGACCTGGAGGGTTTCGAGTCGGTGCAACCCTCCCAGCTGAACCAAGGCGCAACAATCGACCTTTTCCTAGGACTTGCCGACTCAAATTATCCTGCGGAGTTCTTTGGTACAGATCCCACAAGATCCCCTAACCGACGCGCCCGCACGCCATCTACTTATTGCAGGAATAGGCAGAGTTCTGCCGGGTTTTGCGGCCCGTCGTGCGACTCAGTTCAAGTCCTCTTGGCAGAAAACAAGGCGGCCATAGAAGAGAATCTGGTGGAGCGGGGCGTGGGGACATATAAAGCATTAGCAAATCAGACGGGACTAGTGCCGATCGAGGTAACGTACCGGCAACCGTTTTCTTCCTCTGAAGAAAGTGCGTTCTTCAAGCCCGCTGAGATCAGCGTTCTGACCGGTGACCAGCAGAGGATCAATCTGTGCAATGCCGAAAGCGCGCAGTGTGCTGGAGCAGGGCTTGACGTTTACTACTTGGTTACCGACCTAGACTTCTATATCTTGCGGTTGAGGTTATCGGGCCCAAACCTCGGAGTCGCCATTCAGCAAGAGCAGAACCCTTGGCTTAGTCTGTTGTCCACCCTTGGGGGCGCGTGGTTTTTGATTCCACTTGTGTTTGGGATGATCTTTGTATCGGTTGAGTCCGAGTCGAGCGAACGCTTCCAGTTGATCAATCGAAGGTGGATCAAGGACAACCTAGTCACTCCGCTCTCGGCGCTGTTCGTGAAGTTTTGTAGGTCAAGGGTTCGGAAGCCGTCTAAGCAGTTTGACGATATGGATTTGCAACTGAGGGCAATGGAGCATGATGGTCGGGATGAACCTGTTAAAGTTTAAGCCCGCAAAGACAGGTAAACTTATGCTTTGCATGATTGATCTGCGCGCCTATAGATCTAGTAGCTGCACGTCCATACTAGTGCGTCATGCAGGCCAAGACTTTCATAATAAACATGCTCGCTGTGCTTTTTACTCTGAGGCAATGGCCCGTTAACACATGCCATCTTATTGCATTGAATGTAATTAATGTACACTGAGTTGAACCGCAATACCTTAAAACGAGCAAGTCCCAGATTGCAACATGGGATTGGACTTGGCGGCAACTGCACAATGATCGGCCCCGCGGCCTGATTGCAGGCTTTACATTATACGCTGCATATGATTACACATCCTGGCACGTGCAAGCGTGCACATGGTTGGACACATCGCTTACGCATACCTGGACAATGATCAAGCTAGATGGACGCCTGCATCATGATCGTCAAAGTGCTCGACGACCTCTGCTTGCCTTCCCAAGGAGCTGGCTTGCAGACAAAAACTCACATTGAATGCTTCCAATGGGCACGGGTGCTTCATAACTGGCTGCCCTCAACCGCGGGCACAACCCGGATGTCAACACTGCGGTGCATGTGAGGACTCCTCATGACTTAACCAGGTCGGCCTCCGGGTTTATCAATTTAACCTTAACCTCCGGTTGAATCAGCCAACTATGCACGGCGGGCGCCTCGGCCTCCAGCCTGGGCCCTCCGCCCCCACTCCCACCCTTTTCCCGCAGCACAAACGGACTCCCCATATCGTCCAACGTCTCCTTAACCGCGCCTAGCCCGATGGGCAACCCGCCAAAGCTCCCCGCTAACCCGTCTGCGCTGACCGTAACCGCGTACCGCTTTGGTCCCTTCTCCTTCTGCTCGAATGCTAACCGGACCTCCGCTAACCATACCAGCACCATCCCTTGGCACGTGCCCTCGGACGACGTATCCAGTACGAGCGTCCATTCGTCCGGAGATTCCTTATGCTCCGCGGGGTAAAGCCCGACGTTGCGCGCGGTTTCGAGCACGTCGAGGACCGTTTGCCGGCGGCCGCGGTGCCACCAGAGCGACTCGGCGAGCATGTCGACAAACGTGACGTCAACCGTGATGCCGTGGTCCTCTAGAATGTCGAAGATGTGCGGCCGGGGTGCGGTGCGCGAGCCGGCGAGCTCGCACGCGCGCACAAGGAGGAAGAAGGCGTACGTGGACGGGAGGTAGCCGACGGCGGTCATGTAGCGGAAAACGCCCAGCGCCTGCGGGGAAAGATCGAGCCTGAATCAGCAATTTACAACTTACAAAAGCTTCCTTAGAATTTTGACACGATTCTAGGGCACGGAAGCAGAACCTCCTGCTGCTCAAGAGGAAAATGGTCGACAGCGGAGGTAAATATTAGAGCCGAGCGCCAGAGGAGACGGGCAGACTTGGGTTGGGACCCAAGAACCAGGAAAGACAACAGGGCCAGACTTCGCAAGGACATTGAAACGAACTTCTGCTCCCGTCAACTTCGTCGATTTTCAAATACTTGGTATGAGACCCCGGCAAGTCGCTGAATCGCCAATGCAAATGGCATAGCATATAGGAAAGATACTTCCTTTTCAAAACGAATCAATCCATGTGCTAGCTCCAGGGACATCCTGCACCAAAAACATGTATTGCGCAGCAGCTTTTCTTGAACCTCGTCTTTTCGCAGATCGAATACACGACTGTCAGGAAGCGGCGAGCCTCTATTCCACTATTCCAAGAAAATTATGTCACAGTGCCACTGCAATCGACGCTGTTTGAACGCGCTATCAAATAAGCTAGGTCGCCCGCTAGGACCCGCACCGTCCATGATGCAGATTGAACTCAATTCCGCGCGTCCAGGATGCTTGGGTTGGCCCAGACTGCGACGGGCACTCGTCTCTTACCTGGTCAACTTCGTGTATATCCGTGTACGTGCTCTCTAGCGTTGCTCCCTAAAATAGAACTCAGGAGGCCTAATGAGCGCTCTTGCCTTTTCTCGCGGCCATCAAACCAGAAGCTTTCACGCTGGAGCACCCTGCAGCTGACAATAGAAAGCCACCGCAGTTCTCAAAACGGCGCCCTTTGTTGCGTCTTCAAGCTGATGCCGTACCTGCTTGACGTCGTGCATCTCCGTGTACATGCTCATCAGCGTTTCGAAGGTGACCGCGTCCGGCTCCACCTTGTTGTCCTGCATGTGCCGGTACATCTCCTCGGCCTCGCTGTACATGTTGCGCACCGCAAACGCATTGATTGCGACGTTGTAAACGGCAGCGCTCGGCTCGATTTCTAGGTCGCGCATCTCCTACAAAATGAAAGCGGGCAGACTGTTATCAGGGAACCAGGTTGAGTGAAGCAGATGCTTTCCCACAATATGGTACCTGGCGGCGCTTGGCCTGACTCCCAAATTGCGCATCTCCTGCAAAACCGATGGGAGGCATTTCATTCAGGGGCGCTTTTCTGCCAAACACAGTGCGCACTGCAAAGGCGTTGCTCGCGACGTTGCACACAGCGGCGCTCAACCGATTCCTAGATCGCGAATCTCCTACAACGTAAAGGTGGGCAGAATCTTATTCAGGGAGTCCCTAACGCGAAGGAGGTTGCTCAAAGAGAGGTACGTAGGTCAAGTTGCAGTGTATGGCACGCTCCATTTGCTTTGCAATGGGTAACTCTTACAAAGGGCAATCTTTTCAAGTTGACAAACCGCCTCGCCGACGTTCAAGTCATATTCCGACTTTGGAATCAAAAAGCTCCAGTACCCTCGGAATATACGCGTCAGCGTTGCTGGTCAGGTTCACTCAAGAGCGCTGATTCTCCATTGATGATGATATCTACTTAGCAGGAGGAACAAGAGTAAACCTTATAAGTTCTTGTAACAGATGCATCAAAACCAATTGAGACCGAGGCGTCGCCAGGAAGCATCGTGAATCAATGGTATTGCCACGTTAAGATCCAAACCACAAATCATCGGCCAACCCCTGCCGCTTCCGAGATCCGTCGACTCCGCACTGCTTTGGTCCAGCCGACAAACCGGAAGCTTAAGAGACCCGTACAAAGTCTCCATCGAACTCATAAAACTCAACCCTCCAGTCACAAACACACACCTAGCGCGCCCCTACCTGCAAAAACTCCAGGATCCGCTCCTTGCGCAGCACCCCGTCGTCCCCCCCCCCGTTGCAGTAGGCCAAAATGACCCCCGAGTACGCGTAGTGCGACACCTCGATTCCCTTCGTTTTCATGTCTTCGAGCGCTAGGTATGCGTCTGCCGCACGCCCCACTTTGGCTAGCAGGTTGATGAACTGGTCGTAGGCAATCTTGTCGGGGGCGGGGATCGCAGCGAAGATGGCCTTCGCCTCGTCGACTTGGTTCTGCAAAGATGCCAGAAAACAGGTCAGAAATGCTTTAGATACATTTTCATGTCTTCTACGGCTTGTTATGCTGCACGCCCCACTTCGGTTAAGTGGTCGTAGGCAATCTTGCCGGGGGCGGGAACTGCGGCGAAGAAAGCCTTTGCCTCTCCGACTTGGTTCTGCCAAGAATGCCAAAAAAACAAGGTCAGAAATGTTCAAGGCACATTTTCATGTCTTCAATGGCTTGTTCTGCTGCACGCCCCACTTTGATGAAGTGGTCGCAGGCGATCTTGTCGGGGCGGGGATCGCGGCGAAGATGGCCTTCGCCTCCTCAACTTGGTTCTGCAAAAGTGCCAGGTGAAAGTCGAAATTTGGTTCTACACGCAGCGACTGTCGCACTCACGCCTGCAAGCTGTCTCACTTGGGGGCCATGTCGAGGGAATTTGTCCATATTTGTTTCCAAATCAGATCTGAACAGAACAATGATTAAAACCCCGAGAACACTTTTAGCAGACTTTCTTCAGTTGCTTTCGCACAGGGCGCCACCGTAGAAGTCAGGAACCTGGTGTTATGTCTATCTTGATATGATCTCAATCAAGATACCAATGAAAATAATGAAACTGGTGTAGTTATTGACTGAGGCATCGCTGACGTGATTTGAGGGTGCAATGGGAACCCACTGCTTCAAGTAAACGTGGTCTTCGACCCCTCTTATGAATCCCACATCGAAGCAGACAGTCCGCATCTCACAAAACCGGAGGGCTCCCGACCGCTCTTTCCAAGGCACCACAAGCTCTTTCTGCATCGCTTAAACCCGACTATCATACAATAGGAGTCGCGGCGCACAAGCGTCACTTTAAACTTCCGTTCTCATATTTGATCGAGCATCTCCATCCCACAAAGACTCGGACAAGGCTTTCCTCCCTCACAAAACCAGATTCTTCTCGATCTTACCATCTTGAAGTAAGCCTCGGTCCGCACGAGCTCCACTTTGGCCCCCGGCGTGATGCGCGCTTTCAGCAGCTCCTCATACACGCGGGGCACCTGTTCTGGGGCGCCACTATCGACCAATGCGCGCAGCACGCACAGGTAGGCCACCTCGTCTGGCTGCACCGAATCTTCCTTCATGGCTTCGAAAACGGTGAGCACGTCTTCGTACCTGCAAGGAAGCGTCCAGAGGCTGATTAGCAAGAGTTGAAGAATCCCATAGTCTGGGGACTTCTTGTGCGCTGGCAATCACCAGGAGGTGTAGCCGCCTAGGTAAACTACTTCGTCCGGCTGAACTGCGTCTTCTTTTATCGCCTCGGAAATGGTGAGCACGTCCTCGTACCTGAGAAAAGGCGTAAAAAATAGATGAGAGGATCTGGGCGTATCCTTCATGATCTGACACGCCGCTGTCGACCAGCGCGCGCAGCGCGCACAGGTAAGCCACCTCGTCTGGCTGAAGTGCGTCTTCCTTCATGGCCTCGAAAACGGTGAGCACGTCCTCGTACCTGAGAGGATGCGTTACAAGGTTAATGGAAAAATGTGGGGGTATTGCGGTTTCATTTTTTTGATGGGCCGCAGCACGCACAGGTACGCTACTTCGTCAAGTTGGACCCGAGTCTTCCTTCATGGCTTCAAAGACGATGAGCACGTCTTCGTACCTGGAAAGAATGGTTCCGAAAACTTAATAGAGAGGGTCTAGGGGTATCAATTTTGGGACTTCCGTAGGGCCGATGTCAGTCAACGAGTGCACACGCACAAATACGCGACCTGGTCTAGTTGCACCGAGCCCTTCCTTCATGGCCTCGAAGACTGTGAGCACGTCCTCGTACCTGCGAGGACTTGATCCAATGATTTGATCCGTGACGTTCTGAGGGTCAGCTATTGGAGGTTCTGATGCGCCAATGATCACCAGCGGGCGCGACGCGCGAAGCTGCGCAACTTCGTCCGGCCGGACTGCGTCCTCGTTCATGACTTCGTAGACCGAGACCACGTCCTATTTTAGAGGAATGGTTGGTAGAATACCCAGATGGTGTCAGGTATTGAGATTCTGGGACTTCTGATGCGCCACCAGCGCCCGCAGCACGCGCAGGCACGCAACCTTGTTTGACTGCGGAGAGTTTTCCTCCATCGCCTCAAAAAGGGAGAGTACGTCCTAGTACTTGGCGTTTGGAGTACACGAGTCACAATCGTGCAACTGCCTTAGGAGCCCAAGAAGCAGATCTGACAGACCCCTAATGAATCTCAGCAGCCCAGAACACCAACCTCTACACACTCCTTAGGACCCGCGACTTACCGAATCGCCTTCATGAAGGCCTGGATGAGCGACGTGTAGGTGGCCTGGTTGGGCCGGCACCCCGCATCTTCCATACGTATGAGCACGTCCTTCGCCTCCTCCAGCATGCCCGACTGCCCGTAGTGGAACAGCAGCGACGTCCAGGTCATGATGTTGGGGTACAAGCCCTGAAAACAGGTGGGTACCGTTTTGGTCAGTGACAAGTGAAAAAGGAATTCAAAGTGGCTTACAGGGTGATTTCACCTTAATACAACGTCCTGCTTATTAAGTGAGTGCCTCTGCCTCATCCAGCATATCTGCCTGCCCGTAGTGAAACAGCAGCGACGTCCACGTCATAATGTTGGTGGTACAAGCCCTGAAAAAGAGGGTTAACGCTCTGTCAATATAAGTTAAGGTTGAGGAAAAGCAGGTTAGGAAAGTTTTATTGAACGTCCTCGGTGTGCTGAAGTTCTTCGCCGTTCCTGACAAGTCACACGCCTGCCTGCCCGTAGTAAGAAAAGGCGACGTTCACGTCATGATGTTGACTTACAAACCCTGAAAAAAGGTGGGTTCTGGCTTTGGTCAATGAAGGGGTAAGTTGGGGTAGGGTGACAGACTAATCATCAAATAGCGCCGTGATATAGCGAGGGGCTATTAAGTCCTTCGCTGCTGTGACATGCCCGCCTGTATGTAGGAAGTAGCAGTGGCACGGTATGATGCTGCGACGCAAGCCCTGGAAAAGCGGGTCAAGTCTTGGTTCAAACAACGGTTAAGAGCAGAGTGGGCGGTGAATCGTTTTAGGGAACGTTTTTGTTGTTGCAGTGAGTGACTGACTCCTGCGGACTTTACGGTAATATCTTAGGAGATCCGAACATCTCTGACTCTAAAGCTCCAGTAAGGAAGAACACCCCAAAACCGCTTACCGCTGCCTTCATCTCGCCGATAACTCCCTCCGTTTAATTCGACAGCAGCTTTTGCTACGCCATATGCGTTCAATCAGGCAGCTCTTATAAAACAATCTCGATGGATGTAAACAAACTCAAAACCAAATTCCGATGATAAGCGAAGGTCCAGCACCCCTCATCGCTGCCATCATCTCGTCAACAACTTCCTGCGCCTTATCCATCAGCTTCGCAACGCCATTCTCGTCCGACTATGCGGGTCCTCCTACAAAATCTTACGAAAGCTAACAATCCAACTCACAAGCCCGACGAAAAGAACTCCAAAACCGCTTACCGCTGCTTTCATTTCGTCGATGACCCCTTCCGCCTTATCCATCAGCTTCGCCACGCCATACGCGTTCAGCATGCACGTATACGTGACCACGTTCGGCCGCTTCCCTTCCTCCTTCATACGCTCCAGAATGGCCTCCGCATCTTCCCAGCGACCTCGCCGGCTATACGAGTCGATCAGCGATGTGTATGTTACGATGTTTGGCCGCCAGTCCGTGTTTTCCATGCCCTGAAAGATTCCAGATCAACAGTATGTTAGCTAATGTGTAAGTGAAGTTGGGGAAACATGATTGCACCGGCTGTAGAAGTTGATGAGCGCCATGTAGGTCAGGTTACTGGGCCTTCGATCCATCATAGACGGGCAAGTCGAGTTTCACTTGGCGTATCACTGTGTCTCTGTAAATCAAGCGCTCGCTCTCAAACCTTTACACCCGACGACTGATTCAAAATCTCAACCCTAGGCATCGCTTACCTCGAGTACCGCTGCCACCTCGTCGCACGTCCCCGCATTGCCGAGCGTATCGATGAGCACGTTGTAGACGGATAGGTCCAATCCAACTTTGGCGCTCTGTCATACCTTGAAACACGCAAACGCCTGCGCTTGAATTCTTGGGGCCCGACCATGACGAACCCGTAAAACCCAGACTTTCTTACCTCAAGCACTGCCGCCGCCTCGTCGCACATCCCCGCCTTCCCAAGCGTATCAATGAGCGCGTTGTAAACCGGCAAGTCCGGCTCCACCTGGCGCTCCTTCATGTCCTTAAAGAACGCGAGCGCTTGCTCCGGAAGGTTGCGCTCGAGCCGCCCGCAGCCGCTGATGAGCATGCTGTACGTCACTCGGTCTGGGTCGATGCCTTCCGCCAGCATCTGCCGGTACAGCTCCTGCGAAGGGAGAGCGGAATTTGAGACAGAGTCTATTTCCCATAACTGAACATGATCACGAAGAACGACTAGTTTCAGACGAAGCTGCCGCAGCCGCTGATGAGCATGCTGTATGTCAGTCGGTCCGGGTCAATGCTTTTTTCCAGCATTTGCTGGTACAGCGCCTGCGCGGCAGAAAGAAAGAGTGGAACAACCGAGATTCTTGACGGCGCGTATTTGGGATGGTTGAAACTGATGGGCCCTCAAGCTGATGAGCACGCTGTACGTCACTCGGTCCGGGTCGATGCCCTCCGCCAGCATCTGGCGGTAAAGCTCCTGACAATATAGAGCGGAAAAATAAGTCCTATTTCCAGACAATGTTCATGAATGATGACTACCTTGAAGCTTAGCTGCCGCAGCCGCTGGTGAGCATGCTGTGCGTCATGCGGTCCGGGTCGATGCCTTCTGCCAGCATCTGGCCATACAGCTCCTGAGAAAGGAATGGGGGGTTTGTGAAAGAGCATACTTGTTTGAACGATATATTAACGTATACACAATGTAGCACCGGTGTCGCATGAAGTTGCCGCAACTGCAGATGGGGCATGCTGTACGGCACAAGGTCCGGGTCGATGCCTTCTTCTAGCATTAGCTGGTACAGCTCCTGAAAAAGAAAAGCGGATTTGAGAGAAAGTATACTTTCAAATCAAACGTAATCATGAATAGGAATTGGGCTTTAGATGAAGATGTCGCAGCCGCTGATGATCCTGTCATTAGTGACGCGAGTCAGGTGGATACCTTCTGCCAGCATTTGCCCGTACAGCTCCTGAGAAAAGCAAAACGGAATTCTCGAGACAACCTGCACATATTATAATGAAACTTGAGGAGAATAGAGGAACTACCGGCAGCGTGCTATACGTCACGCGATCTGGGTCAATACCTTTTGCCGGCATCTGCCGGCACAGCTCCAAACGAAAACCGAGCGGAATTCTGAGAGAAGCGGAATCAACAAGAACGGTTTGAAGATGGACGGATCGAGCTGCCCGCAGCTGCTGATGAGCAAGCCGTACACGGGTCAATGCCTTCCGCCAGCATCTGTCGTACAGAACCCAAAAAGAGAGGCGGACCTTTGACAGAAAGAGGAAGGAGATAAACGGAACTGGCCGCCCGGAGTTGCTGACAAGCATGCTGTGGGTGATGAGATCCGTGTTAATACCCTCTGCTAGCATCTGCTGGTACAGCATGCGGTTGAACGACTCACCAGCGCCTTATCGAAGCCCCCCCTCCGCTTATAGTAATAGTCGATAAGAACGTTGTACGTCCGCGCCTCGACCACCACCCCTGCTGTCCGCATCTCCTTGAAGACCTCCTCCGCTTTCTCGATCTTCCCTTGGCGCGTGTAGATTTGCATGACGACATTGTACGTGAACGTGTTTTTGGGGCACCGTTCCGAGCGGAACAGCTCGCCCGCTTCCTTGTAGCGACGGCACCGGCCGAGCGCGTCGATCGCGATGTGGTAGTAGGACGCGAGCGCGAAGTTGCGGGCTTCGAGGTATTCGAGGACCTGCGATTCAAAACGGGGCATCGTTTGAGCAATTCGTGACTCCACCCTTCTGTTGTGGACGGTTTCGGTCTCGTGGGGCAACTCTCTGCTTGATAGGGACGCTCCTTTTCCAGACGGCTTCAGAGACGAGGTCAAAGGTAAAGAAAGATTGTTGTGATAAGCTGGGGCTGATTCAGAGAGCTTCACGGATTTCTGTAATGATGCAGCCGACGAGACGAGAAAGGGAGAAAGTACGTCGTTAAGGATTACGTTTTTCGTCCATTGAGAGGCTTCGCCAAGGTGCAGCATACCCATAACCACGTCAACGTCTCCGCGCAAACCTGCTTAAAGTAGGTACCGGGAAGGGCTCAGAGAACGACTTCCAAAGGCCGAGTGTCTCTCGCCCGTTTGCAGATACGTACCGTCAGACTGGTCACAAAAAAGAACAACAAACTGCCGTTGTTCACAAAGGATGACTCAAAAAGTACCCTTTTCTTCAATCCGCAGCTGCCGCCGCCAGGGCAGTTGCTGCAACAGCGCTTGGACGAACATAAGCCACCAACTGGCAATCTTGAGCGCAGCACTGACGAGGCAAACGCATTGAATCGAGAATCGCCGCTTGGACGTTGAACTTCTCGCCGCCAGCGCTTGTGTTCATTAATAGTCTAACCAGACCAAAGCTAGGTATCAAAAGATGGGTCAAAAGAGAAGCAGGTTGACGAAGGCACACTTCTCGCCTTCACAAGACGCCACTCCAACCCAGGAAAAGACCTAACCGCACCAACAGCCGCCACCTCCGCCGCTCCAACATCATTTACTCATATCCAAAGCTCTCATAACCGTAAGCATAAAAAGACAGGAATATTTACTGCCTTCAAGACACGTCACTTCGATTGGAACAACTCCTCCCTACCTGCAACAAGCGCCGCCACCTCCGCTGCTCCATCAACCGCTTCATCACGTTCCCCATGTCGGAGACCGTCACGGGCGCTTCCTCGAGCATCGTGTCCAAAAGGTCGTCCAGCTTCCCCTCTTTTGGCTGCGCCTCGAGCGCGCGCATGACCCACGTCACGCACCCGAGCGAGCCTGGCCGCAGGTACAGCGTTACGCCAAACTCGTCGTTGTGAAGGTCTTTCGTGGCGCCACCCTGCGTGGAAGTACGAATGGGTTGATAGGAGTTGGTTCAAAGGAGAGGTGGTGGCAAATTCGAATCTCTTGTCGTTTTAGTTTCCTTCCGCGCCTCTCCAAGTTGTATGTGCGCACTGACCTAAGGTGCTTGGGTAAGGAGGCTCGCAAGGGTGTGGCCAGTGAAGTCGGTTAAGGGGATCACTTGTAATGCTGTCTACATTTTCTCCTCCGGAAGAGACTTTTGGCTTAATAATCTGTAATTGGAACTGCTTAAGCAAAGCCTGGTCAAACCAATACACGAGCATTCGGCCGAGGGCATCATCTAGAGGAAAGTCCTGGGGCAATCCAAACGAGATGTGAGACTTGGGTGCCTTGATGGGTAGGTGGTGTAGCTTGAAAGCTCCAATGCTGCCACCTCGAGTTCGTTTCGCAATCACGTCATAGATGTACAACTTGAGATGACCAACTGTTTGCGTCATATGCCAAACAGATGGCTGGCCAGAAGAGGGTCTGGAGTGTCCTAGCCTTCCGCTCAAACTGGTTACCATACTTGTTTCACGGCTGTCTAATTGCATGTATTCCAATTGACTTTACGCAGAAACAGGGCCTGAATCCTTAATGACAAAGCCAATGCCTCGACGCTGGCCCACTCCGGTAAGACTTATGCTGGCCTCACAAAAAGCCAGTGCGACGGCTTTAAGACTTGGTTACCTTTCTCCACTTGTGCTCGTTGATTCCCTCCGGGCAGTCTCACTGGACCAAAATTGACTCTGGAACAAGATGATCCACTTTTAATCAAGCTGCACCACCGTGTCTCACCTGATCTGACGCAACCGCAGCCGGCGCCCCCTCTGTCGATCTCCTTTTCGGCCTACTCGGGCGGCGGAGACCGCTGTCTAACCGCGCGCCTTTAAGCACCCTGAGCTCTAAACCTTCCCCCCTTTTCGTAGCTTTACGGAACCCCCTACGAGGTTCTGGCAGCTTTTCTAAGTGCGGCGCGGCCCCCAAGTAATCATCTCGCTCTTCTTCTTCCTCCTCCTCGCCCTCTGAGTCAGTCTCATAAAGCCAAGGTTCGCGTTCCCTCGCAGAGGGTCCACTCACCTGATTCTTATAGTGAGTCTGCGCCAAATCGTGGCTGGCCGACCGGCGCTCGGGCTTGTTAGGCCGCCAGGGTTTGGTTGACCGCCGGCCCTTAACCTCCTCCCGCAGCTGCCGATGCGGAAGCACCGTCTCGCGCCGATAGCCCCGCGTGTCTTCCTCCCCCTGACTAGTTGTACCCCCATCGAACGAAGTCTCGTCATTCGAAGATGTCCCCACCTCCTCTGACCCAAAGATTTTTTCTAACGGCCCCGCGTCAGTTTCCAGCTTGGACGGAGAGCTGGCAGCTTGGCTGCCGGCGCTGTCCGACCTTTCGGACGGTAGGTCTGACGCCATCCCGACAGCTGGCTCAGCGTCCGAAGTGCTTGCCCGTAGAGGACAAAGCCTACGAGGAGCATGGCAAAGCGGGGCAGGAAATTGTACACGTACGAGACACGGCCGTTTAGGCAAGCATTCCGACGCCCTCCCCAAAGTAACTTTCACAGAACGCGGTCCTTTTGTCTGGGCCCCCCACCCCTCCTCAACGCACTCAACTTTTCTAGCGAGGGTGTCGGCGCCTTGTCTGTACCACCCCGCTGCTTTTCTATGCAAGGGCGCCCCCTGACACTGCCGGCGCCTTTCTGATGATGCTGTATGCAAAAAGATGTTTCGCAATGCAACACCATTACCAGGTAGCTTGCAATCTGCAGCCAGGGGAGACCTCGTGCTCAACAGGGGTTTGCTCGTCCTCAATGCTGCAGCTTTTCCTCTCCCTAGAACCGCATTTGTTCGCATCTCATTTGTTCCAGCCACAAGTTTGGCTGCTGACCCCTCTCTGGAAGCCAGGCCCGCGCTCCTATCCAAGTTGGAAAAGCGCGCCAATGCCTGTTTTCCTGCCGCCAAAGAACATAACAAACACGTTCCTGCCATTCGCACCTACAGAATCAGGACAAAAGCAACGCTGAAGCGACACAACACAAAACTAGACTCTGCAGCTGCTGACTAGAATGCTGGCCTGTGCATTAGCATGCAACGCCCTACCCACCGCCATCAGCAGCTGCTTCTTGGGCCGCCACCACATTCTGCAGGAACTGTGTGCACCATGTTTCACTGGACATCAATGGCAAGACCAAGAACGCAGGCCTAAGGCTACGTCGCACCATGAATATTATTACCTATAGTAATACGTGGATCAAACCAAATCATATGTGAGCCAGTTCATATGAAGGTCCTTCTAGCCCTTATACATGCGCGCGTTTATTCTAGCTCTTCCAACCAAGGTGACATGTTCGGGAAGGGGTAATGAAATTAGCATCAAGTGTCAGGTTTTACAGCCCCCATGCAATACGGGAACATTATATAGGCTGGTCAAAGTCGCTGGGTTATGCAAGAGAATACGACTTCGAAGCCCATTGACGTACAGCCCAATCTGTATAGGTATGCAAGTTAAGGCGCAGGCGGCAGGTATCATTGTGGACTCTGGCTCAGCAGGAAGCGCGCTCTACGCTTCTATGCCATGCCAAGGGTGCCAGGAAAGCACGCTGGAATCCGTCAGCAGAGACCTTTGTCGTGGCAATCCTGAAAGGCCTAAAGATCTCTCTGTGGCTTCTACCTATTCTCTGGGAATACAGAAAAGGAACGGAAGGATGCGCAGGATTTCTAAGTAGGGGAAGCTGATCAAGGTGAAGCGTGGTTGAGGTCGCCGTAAAATTGTACAACATGCCGGTAAGCCTGATGGTCAAATGGGCCAGCTTGCATTGCACCTGCTAACTATCTTGTGTTGGGTACTGTTGGAGGTTGCGATAGCCACTTTAGGTGACGAACACTCGGATTTTTTGTCGGCGGCTACTTTTCTGCTTTTTGTCAATGCTGGTGGCGCACTATGGGGATCCAGGCTCCCACAAGTGCACAAATCAGGCATCAACTTCAAGCAATTGCTGGGGTTGAGTGGATCTCTGGCATCAACTATTTCCTGCTACTTCTTAACGTTCTTATCTCCTGCCACTTCGTAACGTTCTTCTCCCCTGAATATGAACTGTCAATATAAAGTTTTGGAATAGTGACGTGACTGGTGCCCTGCGGACATTGAGGATACTAATTGAGGAAAGATTGTTTACCGTACTGCTGATGCCAGCTGGGAAACTCATTGTTTTGGCACAGAAACTTGACCTGATGGCTGCGCAGTATTGACTCTTCCTTTCGATCTGCCGCTCGTCTTGTGATGCAGGTTCGTCACCTGTTAGAGGTTGAGTCACCAACTCCCACAAGGTGGGGCAACCGCTGCTTGCACACCTACCTTGAGTGGTTGCTGATGTCGACGCCGTCGTTAGCTTGTAGGCCCAATAGCAACATTATGGATTCAAGAGTTTCATGCTCAGGATGTTGCTTTGGCAATTTATTTCTTTCAATTGTCCTTGATGGAAGACATTTAAAACTCACGCTATCCTCTCCAATGTCAGGTACATCCTGGGAGCAGCTGTTATGGTTGTCGGGGTGGTGCTTCCACTAGTGTACGGCTTTTTCAGGACAAGAAAGTCGGCGTCCTCTTCAGCCTACACTAAGCAGACGTAGGTGGGCCTGTCTGTTTTGCCACCATCTTGTTTCCTTTGAATAAGGGCGGAAACATTCTGTCCAACCAGATCAAGCTGCAAACTGTCTCGCTTTCTTAGTCCTTGCCATGTGGTCAGTATGACTTGCCGCTGTGATTGCTTTTCAGGAACGAGTCCTGCCTGGTCGAGCTTCTGCTTGCACAAGCTCCCCACAAAATTGGCAGCGGAGACGCTGTTTTCACTCACTGTCTTTTCTCTGGTACTGTGCAGCGGATATTGAATCTGAAGCAACTGTATTTACCTTCTATACTTACCTGGTAAGTAACTCCATATTGAAGTGCGAATATTTGTGTCGCGCGCTTCGTCTTACCATTCCAGACAAATGATACGTCTGCATCTCATTCAACTTGAGTACCGGCTCTTGCAGATTAAGGTCACTTGCTTGTAACGATCTCTGATGTCACCAAGAGCTGGCCGGATGTTGTCGTCTCTATGACAGTGGTTGGTGTTTGCAGACAAAAGTAACCGCAAAGATGAGCGAGACTGAGGGGGCTCCGGGCCTTTCAAACCTGGATGAAGGGGCAGCAGTTGAGGATTCGACTCCCTCTGAATCCAATGGTAGGTTCCAACCTTTGTTCTGGATGGGGCATGAAATGTGGATCTGCTTCGATAAGCCCCATTGTTTTAAGGCAGTATTTCCGTATTTGCCCGACAAGGCAATTCTTGCAAAGATTCTTTGAGGGGGAGTTAAGCTTGAGCTTTGGCTTTCTTTTGCCATAATAAGGTAAATGCTCTCTGCAACCCGTTCTTTCTGGACAGAACCAACCTTCTGGCAGAGCTGGGGTCAAGGAGAGAAGCAATAGTGGGACAAAGACCAGGAACCGCTTTGGAAGCCGTGACGTGGCGAGCCTTGGGTGCAATAAGAAGTGCAAAAAAATTCAACCTTTCTGGCCTTGACGTAGTCTTGCCGAGGAGGCCGCCCAAAGCCCTACACCTTTCCCCATGTCATCATTTGCAACAGCAACCCCAGTCTCGGTTTGAATCAAGGATTTCACGGGCAGGACAGGAGGTAAGATTTCTGACTCACACCTCGGAAGGCCTTGCTGCAGGCGCTCCAAAGGAGACCCGCGAAGAGGTGCTGGCGCGGCACCGCAAGGAAATCAAGGCCCTGCAAGGCAAGGAGATCGAGCTGAAGAAGCAGGCCGCAAAGGGCAGCAAGGCCGCGCAGAAAGCAGCCAAGCACGCTGTTGACGAGCAGATTGCAAAGCTGGATGCATCGCTCAAGTAAGGGTGCCGTCTCTTTCTTCTGGTGCGCTCCTGGTTCCAGATCTGCTTGTATCGTACTTCTTACCGATATCCTGGTTTGCGAGGGGGCAGTTTTATAGGAATGAGGTACAACATATCCGGAGAGGCTAGTGGACTCGCTACCTCGAGTGTTGATTTTCGAGATGGATTTTGCAACATCTTGCAGGAATCCTTACCTGGAGGATGTTAGTGGACTTTCGAAAAGGATGAAACGGTACAGATAGAGTTTTATGTCGATGCTTCAAAAAGAAGTAACAACCACGACGAATATTTGATTCCACGTTACAGAATCTAGTCACCATCTCCGGACGGTCTTGATTCTTTGTAAGTCGCACGATGTCAGGCGAAACCTAAAAGCGGCCAAGCCTTCTGAAGTTAGTCGAGAGGCTCCAAGCCAACGCTTGTGGCCCCCCATCTGCAGGAAGCGCCAAGCGAAAGAGCTGGCCGCCCTTGGGTTCGGCGAGAAGGAGGCTGAGAGCGCCGAAGGCAAGAAGCCGGACGATATGGACACTTTGATCCGCGCAATAGCGGGGACAAGCGTGGGTCCGCAGCGCGGACCGAGCAAGGCGCAGAAGCGGAGGGATGCGAAGATGAAGCAGGAGGTGGAGCGGGAACAGCGGATCCAGCAGGAGCAGAGCGGGGTGGTTAGCGAGCGGGTTATCGAGAACCAGAGGTTAGCGGAAAAGCTGAGTCCGCTGGGGTTGGCGCTGAAGGAGATCAAGCCGGACGGGCACTGTCTGTACCGCGCGGTGGAGGATCAGTTGCAGGTGAGGGAGGACGTCCGCTCGAAGCGGCCCAGCTGCTTCGACGGCAATGCGGTTCCCTTTCTCGAATCGTCTGCTCAGTTCGTTGTGCCCAGGAAAGGTCTGCATCCTCACGTTCAGATTCCACTTTTTTCTAAGGGTACGCAACGTCCTTCCAGTCTCCAGTCTTGGCAGGTCGGAGATCGAGAAAGAAATCTACAAGCTGAGATGGTCAGACGAAGTGCTGAATCTGCCTTGCTTTAGGAAGTAAATCCCCCAATGGCTTCGTGAACGCATATTTCGAAGAAGGATCGAAAGCGCTGCGCAAAACATTCTGTGCCAGGGCAGTCGTTTGCCCTCTATGCGGTTTGGGGTACCCTCCTTGTACAGATGGATCCTTCTTAAGGTTGCACCAAGAAGCTGCTTGAACTTTGATTTACGAGCCGATTGCCAACTCTGACCTGTCGTATCACCGATTGTTGATTCCTTTTGGTGTTCATCCCCGGTGCTCTGGGGCCAGAATTGTCCGTCAGATGAAGATGTAAACACATTCTTTCATTTTGGCCGTTTGCAAAGAAGCTGTTTGCAAAGAAACGGGTTGCCCTCACACACGGAAGCAGGGGTTTTTTCTAACCCCTTTCATTCTTAGGTCGATGAGATACCCTTACCATACGCACCTGTGCAACATCTCAAACCCGTGCCTTCGTTTCTGCAGTTACAAGGGCAGCCCTCCAATCTCATCCAAGACTACCTCAGCCTTCGGAAACTCGCTGCTGTCTACATGCGGGCTCACAAGGACGATTTCTTGCCGTTCGTCACGGAGCACGCGACAGAGCACGAGGGCGATCCCGATGCCCAGTTCGAGGCCTATTGTAAAGAGGTGGAAGAAACGGCTACCTGGGGGGGGCAACTAGAACTGGGGGCGTTGGCACACGCCTTGAGGCAGCACATCAGTGTCTATTCTGCAAGTCTGCCAGTGGTGGAGATGGGTAAAGAGTACGAGCGCGGGGCGACGCAGCCACTCCGGTTATCGTACCATCACCATGCTTATGGGCTTGGGGAGCACTACAACTCGGTGGTCCCAGCACAAGAAGAGGACGATTGAGGGGAACTCGAAGGACATTTGCGGTGCAGTCCACACCAAACTGTTTACCGACATGATTAGGGTCTGAGCAATCTTCTGGCGGTTGCTAGTAGGCTTACCTTCAAGAGTGATCTATATTAAGATTCTACTTTCATCATGCCAGCATGTAATTGAGGCAGCCATCGAATGGAGGCTTATGCAAGCCGCCGGTTTCAAAAAGTAGCCTGCACAACTATGGCAACGGACACGGACATAATTGTATCGTTTTTATCCCATCTGGCATGAAACACATGTTCGACGATTCACTACACATGATCGCTTGTTCTCTGCAAAGGTCCATGTACAGGCCATTCGCTTGTCTGGAGGCTCACATGCAATTCATTTGTTTGCCCTTTCCACAAATGCCATGCCTGGCCTGTGCATCTACATGGAAAGTGTGGCAGAGTGTACTTTAACGATGCACCCTGTTCATTTAACTGAATATAGGTATATGGAAATTTGAGTCAGAATTGCATGCACAAGCTTGTACATGGTAGACAAGACCGTGGCCGGGCAGGCATCCTCTACCTTTACGAGTGTCAAAAGCACGGGAGTATCGACCGGGTTCATTGCCTCTCCTTCTTTCAGGGTCAAAAGCTCCCGGTAGACCGTATCCGCCCTGCTTTACATACATGTGGCATATGCCTCGTCGAGGACTCCTCGCGAGACAAAAGGAGGATGAATCATGAGCTGCTCCATGGATGAGATCTGCCCATGGAAGAATCTTCTGTTTTATCCTCCTGATCGAGTGGAACTGTGAAGTTGCAGTGTGAACACACATTGCTTGGAAAATGAAGTTGAAGTGCAAACCTTGTCAACATACCTCCTCCATACCTCAGAGGTCCAACTTTCACAGCACCGCACATCACACCAGCGTTGGGGAGCATTGGTTGCAGCAGCAGTCTTAAAAGGGCGGTTGGCCTATTCTCGCGTCGTTCCATGCAAGGTAAGAATGTCTATGGGGTTCGCGACAAGGGTGAAAGAATCAGAGTCGTGGGGCTTTGGTGGTGATTGACGTCAGCATCAGGAAGGTGGAGCTCTGCATGTTTGAATCTTTGTGGCGATCAGGACGTGAAGGAAGGAATGGCATGCTGGCTGAGTATGAGCAATTCAGTCGGTTTGAAAAAGCTTGAAAGCTCATTACATGCAAATGTCCAGCCATTCGCTCCTCAATAGTATGTGGATCAAAGATCAGTTGCATGATTTGTAGTCACAATCTGAATGCAATGCTGTCTGACAGGAGTACAAGCTGTGTCGACATCATGGCTCATGCAGCTTATAATCTGAGTCCCGCTCCCCGTGAAAGTTTCCACCTTGTTCAATGCTCGATTTTGTTGCTACAAAGCTCTGAAACACTTCAAAGCTTCTCAGATCTTAGAGGGGACTTCCATGTGCCAGCTCAGCTTTCAAGTATCCACTATGAGAGGGTTTCCTATTGATATCCCACTGTTTGTGCACAGAATATTCGTTGCCCTTTTTCAACAGAGACCTCATGTACATGACAGGAATGCAGATGAAAAACGGGGTGCCCCGCCGCCAGCTCCAAATCATGCTAGAAAAAGTCTTGGTCTTTGCCCAAGTTGATCATTCATAATTCTCCCAATGCGGGATATTTACCGCGGTGTTTTGACAAGGGCATGACATTTTGGGCCAAAACCATTGTGTCTCTAGAAGACCCTGGTTCACCTAAACCCTTGTTTTCGTGTTCTGCAGGCTTCTACACGGTTGAGTTGAGTTAGCAGCCTGATTAGCAGTCTTTGCCCTCATGTCTCCATGCAACTTCTGAGAGGGCAATCGGGAGGCATTCTATGACAGTACTCTGCAAAGCTGCAGACTGACATGATCTGTCGTCTCACAGCATAATTTCTTAGTTCTGAGAAACCAGTCCGCAACTCAAAGTGACAGGTAGTGGTAAAATTTGGATTTAGCAGTAAAATCCAGAGGCACTGTCATTTGCCAAAAGGGGTAGTCACAATGGGGCCATCAGCAGAGACGCAGCCGCCCTTTGGGGCGGAGAAGGAGGGCGAGTTAAGCCATGACATCCGTAGGAAGGGCGACCACAAGTACTCAACCAAGGCGCGCAAGCTCATGAGCGCCGATGTCAACAGGATTGAGTCCTTCCTAGACATGGCAATGTTGGATAGCTCCATGAAGGGGGGGCACTCCATAGAGGCGGAACACCACCCCTGGGAGATTGATCTAGATGACTTGGTCTGCAACACTGTGATTGCGAGCGGGACATATGGGACGGTGTATAAGGGCGTGTATAAGGGGCGGGAGGTTGCAATCAAGGTTCTAGACTGGGGGGACAACACCACGTCGCGGCAGCAGGTGGCGCAGCTGCGCAAGGCGTTTGCGCAGGAGGTTGAGGTGTGGAAGGATTTGCACCATGTCAACATTGTACAGGTGAGAGGGGGCAGTCGTTTGGATAAAAAGTTCTGAAGATGATATGGTAAGAGCCAAATCGGAGGTCTTTCGCTTCGAAGCTGACGCAAGATTGCTAGTCGTGTTCCAATCCATCTCAATAATGGGATTCGCCGTGACATACCGGATTCGCTGTGCCATACTCGGAGCACTGTCGTGGTAACAAGCTGACACAGTATTCCATTTCTGGTTTTAATCTATCTGAATACTGGGGATTTGCCGTGACCTACTCGGAGCATAACCGTTGAAATTCCGCATGCAATGGACTGCATTTTTCGGCACCGCTGTTGTTCGACACTTCTCATCCTATCAAGCAGACCTCACGCCCTACCGAGAGAGTCTCGCGAGTATGCAGCGTACGTTGACAAATCGTCATAACACAGCTTTTTGTTCTGCTTGTTCCCTTGTTCATGGCTCAAATCCTTTCATTTTGCAGTTCCTGGGCGCCTCGCTGGGCGCGTCTGAGCATGCCATCCCAAAGCTAGCGTCCGCAGTCCCGGGCAACATTAAGTTCAGCTCCAATGTTTGCTGCGTCGTGGTTGAGTATGTCGGAGGGGGAACAGTCAAGGTGAGGAGGCTGCGACAAAGAACTTCTTTCACACCCACAAGGGTTAGATTGGCGATCGGTTCATCATTCAGCCGACCGTTCTTCCGGTATGGGTACATGAGTTACCATGCATTCAGGGATTTGTGGTATTAAGGAGGAAGTGAATATCGGGTTTCGTCGTTTCAACCCTTTTGTGTCTGCGCTTGTGTTACTGCTGCGGTCTAGGCAAAAGTCCCCTCGTTTTCGTAGCTGCTCACCTCGAAATCAGTAGCTTTGGAGCAGACTCAGCTTCGTGGATTTGATTGAGCACCGATGCAGGAGTCCAGTACAGTACCATCCTGAGTCAGACCTTGTCCTGTGGAAGTCGACAAGTCGACCTCACATGCTCAGCTTGAGCAGCTTGGAACGCCCTCTAGCGTCTACAGACCTACTTCCGTTAACTAAGGTCGAGGGAAACGGAGTCTGCGCACTCTCGTATCTAGTCAGACAAAACGTTGGGGTTCCACCTTCACAAACCGGTCACAGCTTGTCCCGTCTTTGCTGCCAGGACTGCTTGATCAAGAAGAACCAGAAGCGGCTGCCGTACAAAAAGTTCCTCAGCATGGCGATTGGGGTCGCAAAAGGCATGGAGGTGCGTCGCATGTTCGAGCCGCTCGGAAGGGAGGATGTCTTTCTTCAGAAAGATCTACGTACCTAAGCATCTGGTGGTTAGTTAAACCATGCAACAGTGGATGACGATGCATATCCTAGGAGTTGCTCGGAGTCGTCTTGTTGGCTTGCTTCCGCTCGTGAGGACGGGACGACAGGAATCACTATTCGCTGTTTCCAGGAACATTGGCACTTCCGGGAGTAGTTGCATTTTATGACGAGTTGCACCAGGATCACAAAATGGAAAGTTCAACTGCTGATAGACACCAAGAAATGCAAAAAGTATTTACTTGGAAGTCTCACAGTGACGTTGTCCAGTCCACCGCCGCTCTATAAACTTGTGGTTTATTAAAAACTGCAGTAATTGCAACGCAAGGACACGCTGCATCCACGATTCACTATAGGGAATTCTTTGCTGTATTTGAGGTATAGACAAGATTACCCGACCCGTAACAAACAGTTCCGGTCATGTGGCAGCTGCCGGGGTGAGTGTCGATTCAATTGATTGAGCCAGATTGAGATACACAACGAGAACCGGGAGGACTAACGCCTGAGGACAAACTCACGCGCTCCGCCCCGCCCTGACCTCAACTCAACAGCACCTCTCCTCCGAGCACGGACCTATCTTGACCTGGCTGTGTCTCAACAAGAAAGTGCTGGTGCTGCTGCCTAGTAAGACCAGTTTCCCCCCCGCAGTATCTGCACAGTAAGGACACACTGCATCGGGACCTCAAAACGGAGAACCTGCTACTGGACGCCAAGAGCAACGTCAAGATCACCGACTTTGGCGTCGCGCGGCTCCAGGGTCCGCCCTCCGAGATGACTGGAATGTGCGGCTCGGTTGGCTGGATGGCGCCAGAGGTGGGTCGCAAAATCGAATTAGTAAATCAAGTCCGACGCTAGCTGTGTCTCAGTTCGAGAAGGCAGTTGCTGGTTTTAGTATAAGCAGTATTAAACGTGAGACGTCGAGAACGGTCGCTGGTCTGAACGCTGATTGATGGGACGGCGTCCAAGGCCGCTACTTTCTGCCGGGTTCGTTTTTGGGTTAGGTTTCGTCAGGGGACAGTAGCAGGTTGGGTCCGGGAGCCGTGTTGCCAAAACTTCGATTCATCGCATGAGGAGATTGCTTTCGAAGATTCAACGAAGGTTGGTTCTCGACTGGGGTTGGTTTGAGCGTCCTCCTTCTCCAGTGACCTTTTCAAGTTTTTGGGTTTTTAAGATGCTGGCTTTCTTGAGGTCGGCCGTTATGTGGCTTCGTTTCTGCATTCAGCCGCTGCTTAATGATTGGCAAGTCGTTTCATGTAGTGGCTGCTCAGGAAATTTTCCGCAATCTTGGATGGGCCGTCGTTGTGTGGGTTTGCTTACGGTTATAGCCGCTGGTTTAGACAATTGGGCCGTCACTAAGGTGCGCCCAGTCAGCAGAGGGTTTAAGGGGTTAGTACATTTATTTCCATTCCAAATACCCTAGAGCTCCCATACTATCTGCGGGACTGTCGATTCAGAACTGTCGAGACCCAGCCCCGTTCACACCCGCGCTTATAGATTGAGGTTGAGATCTGGGGCTTGTTCACACCCGCCGCTCCAGGGGTGTTTCCGGTCGCAACTAAGATCACGGTTCAATCTACACCCGGTGTAAGCGACCGATAGCAAGCCGTGAGACAGGGATGCCGTCGTTTTCGGCAGGAACTCTTCGTTGTAGTGCTTCCGGTCAGATCCATTGGCGGCAGAAAATCGACCGATGCTTTCGACGGCCTACATCTGAAACACGGCATTGACCATGTTTTCCGCGCTGATATTGGGCCTTATTCACACCTGCTATCTGCAGGTGATGGAGAGCAAGCCGTACGACAAGAAGGCTGACGTGTACTCCTTTGGCATTTGCCTTTGGGAGATGTTCTACTGCGACTGCCCCATCCCCGCCATGAACTTTCAGCAGCTCACGTACGCCATCACCAAGCAGGTGGGCCGCCCTCTCCGCTCTAGTTCCTTGTTGGTATCTTGATCCGCAAGCAAGATACAAGCCACCAGCAAACAGTCGTGGCTCATAAAAAAGTGTCATAGTCGTTCGCGGCCCTCCGTCCAGCCTGTGTCTGCTCCTGTTCTGCGCTTGGCGTCGCCGTGACTAAGCGTAACATCCACGTCAGGATGGCAGCGCGTCTGCCGACAGCAATCCGTCAAAACGAGGTGCTCAGCTGTGTAAGCGACACGTCGAGACACGGTCCAGTGGTTGCTAAGGGCGTCATTTCGCACACAATCTCATCTGCGCTAAGTGATCCTCCCTTGCTGTGAGTGCCGATTGTCAGGGTGGGTCCCTAGAAAGCTGCTCGTCTTTTTGTCGCTTGACGACTTTTCACCGCTTAGCCTTAAGACTAGACCATACCGTTTGGAAATCATTCTGGTGGCCGCTTCTTTTCCGCAGCCGATTGAAGCCGCTTGAGTTTGAGCGGAGAAGGCAACGGAACGTGTGACCGACGAGATATACTTCTGCAAACCCGAACCTCTTATTCCATACGAGTGCATAACAAAAACATTAATTTGCTTCTGACGCTGACATCACTCTGCAGCAACTTCGGCCGGACATCACGTCAGCATGCCCCTCCGCGCTCGCCGACCTGATGCGCAGCTGCTGGGACGTGGACCCCAAGAAGCGGCCCATCTTCTCGGAGATCGTTTTGCAGCTGGAGGAGATGCAGCGTAGCGGGGAGAAGCCGGTCAAGAAGGAGTTTGACGAGGCGACGACGACCTGCGGATGCTTCGGGCCGAAACGAAAATAGTCGCCATTGACGCAGAGGTCAAGTCGCGGGTCGTTATGGGCGGTAATGCGCGGTAACAGGGAGGTAAAAGTGGGGCGGATTCGGGGGCGACCGCGGCGGGGGCACTGATTTTGTGTGAAGCGTGGCATATGTGAGCCACTCATCAATGCCTTCTGAGTCCTAGCGGCTGCAGTACCGTGAAAGAGACAGGTCAGACCTTCCTATAGGTAGCATTGGATGCCCAACGATAGGGTTCCGTGGTGGCATCGGACGTGCACGCAAGTTCCCTTTGTGTTGATAGTGGCAGATCGATCAGATCACATGACGCTATATTCGAGAATGCTTACGACTTTCTGTACAGAAGTATGTGTATGAAATAGACGGTTATATAAGGTTGGTGGTGAGGCACGGCGCATAGTGAAAACTAGAGAATCTGATGCACTAAATAAGTCCTTCCATTGCTTGTCACTGACATGCAACGATGATCAGGCTGCACATGTGCTGCAAGATTGCCGACGTATACCATCACGTACGACTCAAGGTTTCTTGACATTGAAATGCTTATGGCCAAACTTGGTGTTGGTCAGATTCCGGCATGATGATGCCGATCTTTACACTTCGTCTCACGTGGAAGTGCCTAAGATCATATCACTGCGCTGCGTATGTCGACATAGATGCTGGCGGTACCGGACTCGCGATACTCGCTGGCAATCTCGATACACTATGCATCGGCCCCATGAGCTACTTTCTATTTGAATCTTCAGACATGGCCCGAGGCTGCACGTAGGCCCGCCGAAACATGCAATCGAGTGGGAGCGGCAGCTCTAGCTTGCGGTTGCAATCAAGTTTCTCAGTGCAGGACAGGCTGCGTTTCTACCAATGACTGAGCAGTTAACATTGCAAACTTAGGCATGTGAACGTCAATTTGCGTCAGCGTGCTAGTTTGTAGCACGCAACCTTCGATCACTTGTGTCCCATTAAGCAGAGTCACAAGTGATGGCACCGTGCCTTGGTGACGCACCCATCGCGACTCAGCTGATTTGGGAAGCCAGGCCCGTAAGTTGCACAGATCAAGGGCACTATTGACTGTTGTTAAAAGCGCAAAAAGCTCAGTGTCATAGCCACGTCACAGGAAACGACTGCAGTTCAATACGGTCTGCCCACACCCCACGTCTCTTTCTTTTCCACCTCCTGATTGCAACTTCCTAAGTAGCAGGGACGAAGCCACTTGCCGAATCCCTCTCCTCCTGTTTCTTTCTTCATTCAAACTCCCTCCCTTATCCGAGCATCTGTACCCGAGGACCTTGCGTCAGCACCGTTGGCCCTCCACTTGTTGATGACGACAGCGACGCAAGCAGCGCCGGATTCGCGGCAGTCGGCGCGCCCGCTTGTATGAGCTCCATGGCGCGCGTCGCTAGGTTGCTTTGCAGTTGGAGACAGGCTTCGCCCATCTGCCAGAATACACGGAGATGCACGTCAGCAGAGCCCGAGCAACGTCAGCAGCGTGCCGCAGTAGAGGCAAGGGGACCATCAAGGTGGCATCCTCTGAAGCACGTCGGCGTGTGTTTCATACTGAACCAAAAGCACGTTTCTTGAGTTCCTTGTTATGCTTATCACAGCGGTATGAGAATGACTCGGTCGGTGGACGATAGCTGCAATATCTAGAAAAGAACAGAGAGCTTTACTTTCCAAGTGGAAACCTCAAGGGCATCCAGCAATGCAAGCATAACTACCTATATGAGGTTAAAAAAATGCTTCGCCCTTTCACGCAGAATGCTAACCGCACGAGAAGAGCATTTTCAGCGTTTTTATCCCGACATCGAGCGCGCGACACGTGTCAAAGCCCCACTCACCTCTCTGCACGCCTCGTCCGGGTCGTTCTCGGCGACCTCGGCCGCCCATCCCCTGACCCAATCCAGCCCATCAGCGGCCGGCGAATGGTCGCCCACCAGAGCCGCAATGACCTGAAAAGAGCATCGGGTCATACTAGCAACAATGAAGACCATCGTATTTTTCAGTTCGCTGAAAAATACCAGGTTAGGGGTTTTCCCACTTCCTGCGGTGAGAAATGCTTCTACACGTGAGTTTTTGATCCTGCTTTGGAAAACGTACGAAGCACGAAAGCAGATCAAGAACAAACTTGAAGATTCTTTCCGTCTACTTGTCCGTCTAAACATCGCCCGCCTCTGACTCCCGCTTGAGCAGCTTTCAGTCAGACGAGGAGGCCCGGGCATTCCGCAATCGGATGCTCTAAGCAGAACAAACAGGCGCTCTGCAACCCTACCCGTAACTGCCCTCAAGTGAATCTAGCGGTCCCCCCAGAAGCTCATTTCTCTTCGACCGGTTGTTCGTGCTGAGGTTCACGGTGAATCTGACTCCTGCAGCAATTGGCTGCACGACGCTATCTGACCGTCCGTGCTTGCTGAAGGTATCTTCTGACTGTTCGATAAGGCGGAAGATGGTAGATGCAACGTGATGCGCTCAAGAGCAAGTGTCAGGAAGTGCAATTGTGGCTCAAGAATTAGACGAAGCATACATCAGTAGGTCCCAGATTCACGTGATAATAAGCGTCAAGTTAGTACGCTTTCAACCCCACGTGTACCCCAATCACTGACACCCTAACTAAACCTTTACCTTCTCCGCGCTTGTATCGACCCCTAAGCCCTTGATTAACCACTCCTTCCAGGCTGGCAAATGGCCTCAACTCAAACTGTTAACCTTCTTACTGTTGAGAAAGTGCGTTACCTGGGCCGGTGCTAGCGTCATCAGGACGGACGCGGCCGCGAAGAGCGCCTGGCGCCGGACGTACGGCTCCACGTGTCCGGACACGGCGCGCGCGCGGAGCAGGTCCAGTAGCGCGGCCGCGAGCGGCTGCGTCTCAATGGAGGGGGCGGAGCACTCGACGAGCGTGCCGAGGAGATGGAGAAACCTGTGGGAGGCGGAAATATTAGATTCGAGATAGTCTCGAAATGAGGGAGTCCCTGACTCACTAGATGATGAAAGTTCTGTCAGACGACGTTCAGTTGTACCCATAGGTGGACTAGGTGACTAGGAGAGCACTCGACGAGCATTCGAGATCCTCTGTAGGAGGCGCACAAAACAAAGAAACGGTATGAGGCGGTTAAGGACTTTACATTTAGTGGTCTTACTAAACGAGCTTTCAAGGAGTACCTTGATGGATTTGAAAGAGCACTTGATGAGCGTGCCTAGACGATGGAGGAAATTTAGGATAAGCCGCTTTGCAGCGCACTTTGGACGGATTCTCAACCCTCAACCGACTGTTCGAGCACCTCGTTATGTCATAAGGCATGCGTTTCACGAGTGATACGGTCACAGAGCAACCTGCGGGGATCCCAACCGGAGGATAAACTCTACGCTGCCATATCAAGTAAGCGGAAGATGAGACCGATTTGATTTGCCACAAAGGCTGTCCAAACGATGTGTTCAGGTCAATAAAAGATTTAAAGCTTTGCAATGTATGACCAAATGATCCCCATCGTCCAACCATGTATTATCACACATCCCAAAGTCGTCTTTCGAAACCTGACACCACGTCAAACGCAGCACTCCAACAAGCATCATCTTAGCCCGCTTCTTAAACCCTCACCTGCCGAGTACCAGAAATTCTCGTCCCAGCCAGTCCACCCCGTGCGACCTCTTATCAAAGTCCCTCATCAGCGGCAGCATGAACGCCGCAGCCACCGGCGCAAACCGGTTCTTAACCACCCGGGTTATCTTTTCCCGGTCAGTTTTGCCCCAGTACCGGCTCTTCCCCACCCGCTTTTGATCCGCCCGGAGGGGGAGGTTCCGTTCAAATGCGTGAGACCAGGCGGACCCCCCCGGGGCGTCGATCTCTTTCCAGGGGGTTGGGTTGCGGGCTTGGGGAGGAGGGGGGGCTTGGTCGATGGAGGGGGGTTGGGGGGCGGTTACCGTGCGGGATTGCAGCCCAGAAAGCTCCTGAGCGGCGCCTGGGAAGAGGAAACTAGACTGGTGAGAATGGCAGGGAAAACAAATCCTTCTTGAAGGACGCCGTCGCGCTTTCGCCGTACTCAAATAACAGTTTACTTCTGCCGGGAAAACTCAGAGGCGGGAATCGAGGATGGGGAGGACGCAGAGGACTCACGGTCAACCCACAATCATCCCCGTTCGCTTTCTCTGTCGTCAATGTACGGTTTGTATGTTCTTTTGGCTTGCCGTTTCTTTCCTTTCTCGTCACCCGCTTGCGACTGGTCCTTCCTTTTGAATACCTCCTGTTCTTTCTTCGCTTCTGTTCTGCTTTCTCCATGCTGTCTCCTAGAAGCAGCAGGCAAGAGAAGTGTCCTTTCTTCGGACCTTAGTGTAAAGAAGTGACCTTCTTTATCTTTTCGTCAGATAAAGAAGGCGGTTCGCACCTTGCAGCACGTCCAGGATCAGCAGCCGCTGGTGCACGTCTAGGTGCGGCGAGAACACTTCGCTCGTCAAGAATGCAACGACGGGCGCCGTTGCGTGCGCGAGAAGCGCCACAAGGGCCTTGTAGCGGCGCTCCTCATGCTGGTCCTCTTCGCCGTCTATGGAAAATTCCGACACCCTCACGTGCAACAGTGCCCGCGCGAGCTGGGAGCAAAAAAGGGTTTAGACCGGGTTTAAGGAAAGAATTGTCGGAGGTGGTGCAAAGTAAGTCTCAAATTGATTCTGGTTAAGAGTTCGTTGACGGACCCAGTCGCAACATCTCTAGAGAGTCTTTTGAACCCGTTCGGCAATCATGTGACGTCGCGCTCATTGCCGACGACTGCAAAACTTGCACGAATCTGCAGATTCGTCTTATCGATTCATCACTTTGGAAAAGGGCTGGCCGTGTTTCTTCGAGAAGCAGTCTCATTCGCCTCACTTCCGTGGCGCATCGCAATATCGATCATCGTTCTTTTACCCCTGTCAATCGACAGCGATTAAACCGAATGTAGAATGAAATGGGCAAAAACCAGCCAACACCATCCTTTACCCGAGATGCAACGGACCTCCCTATTGTCCGATCGTCCCACTTTTCTCGCTGATGTCACCCTCACCTCCAAGCTGACGTCACCCAGCTCGTCGGGGTCCGCCCGCACGAGCCCCTCCGCCGCCGCCAGCGCCTTTTCCACGCCCTCCCAGTCCTCCTTTTTCCGGAGCGCCGCCGCGCACTCCCTCAGCTGCGTGGGCACCTTCTCGCCGTCCAGGTCCGCCACGTCATCCTCCATGTCGTACGGCTCGAGTGACGTCACGCTGTCGTCATCGCTGTCGGGCTCGTGCTCGGGCGGCGGCCCGGGGAGCTCCTCGATCAGGAGCCGCTTCGGGGAAGCGTCGGAGGGGGAGGTTTTGGACTTCGGTGTAAATGCGCCCGGGAGAATGATGTCATCGGGCGTGTCAGCGTCGTCGCCAATGATCAGCCGGGGCCGTTCCGTGCCGGACAGAGTCTCTCGTCCGCTTATCGAGGCCGTTGCTCCTCCATCGCGCTCCGCCGCTTTCCCGCTCCGTTCGTTCTCTTCTCTCTCCTCGCCAATCGCTCCGCGCAAGATACTCCTCGCCTCTAGTTCCCAGGCTTTCTCCTCTTTTTCGAGCTGCGCCAGTGCCTTTTTCGGGTTAGAAGGTTTTGCGTTCCACGACTGCCAGCTCCAGTCCTCTTCCCCGGTTACTTTAACCTCTTCGTCGAAAACGAGCGGGTTTTGCGGATCCAGAACCATGGAAAACGCCGTTGCGACCCTCATCCCCAGCCCCCGGGTGTCCCAGATAGGGCTGTCCAGTCTGGTGCTTACCCCCTGGAGGAGAGAACCCAGCAAACCTGGTGTTTGCTCCAAACCCTCCTTGGTTAGGCCCGAAATCCCGAGAGCAAGCGCCGCACTCACGTGGCTCTGCTGCTGCAGGGGGGCGTTTCGCACCCACTCGGGACCCCCCCAAACCTGCGCAATTTGCCCCAGCACTCTCCCTGGCTCCTGGTTCGGCGTCAAGATATTGCTAGCCGACCCGTCTTCTTGGTTTGGAGGCGGGTTGACGATAATGAACCGGACTAACCACCGGAGGCACCGGAGGGGTAAGACCCGCTGAAGCAGTAACCGCTCTGTGAAGAGCTGTCGGACAGAAGGGCTCGAGTGCAGCAGTCTCCCAAACAGGGCCCAGAGGAGCCCCTCTGCCGCAGAGTCGTTTAACCGGGCCTTGTCTGCTGCTCGGAGGAGCGACTCTGTCCATCTTTCTGTGGCGGCAGCGTCGATTGAGACGAGAGAAGCGAGGGCATGCCACATGCCGTCGAGGAAACGGGACGGGTCGCTTCCTGAGGGGTGGATTTCGCCAGGGGTTCTGGGGGGGGCCGGGGTGGAGCGCAGGAAAGCGAGCAGGGTGCTGTTGGCAGCTCGATCTGAGAAACAAAAGAAGACTGTGTTCAAAGGTGATTGTGAGGAGTCTGTTTGAAGCGCCTGTTTCGTGGATAAACAACACTGTTGTGCATAGGCCAGCTGGCCATCTGGCCTAACCTTCGTATTTCGTCTGTTGCAAGCTTCCGAAGCCTCACACTTCCTTGAGCTTCTTGAACAAACTTCTCTTTTCTCTGAGCGAAAACGTAAGCCACAGCCCTTGCCTTGATATTGTACAGCACTTCCTTTGCCCACAGCCCGTCCTCTGCCCACTGTATGCTTGCATCGCACAAATGAAGCTCATCAAGGGGACGCTATCTGAAAATTGCAACTCTTCATCTTAGCAGTCAAGTGTCTATTCACTTTAAAGTTCCGCGTCTTTCATCACTCTGGCCGTGCAGCTCCAAAACGATCACCCTGAATCAACACAGTTAAAACACCAACATGAGAATATACACTGCCCTCCCAACTTATAAACTAACTTCTTCGACCTCTTTTGGTTATCATCTGGTTTGGAACCACAGGTCGAACAGCAGGCATCAATGGATGAGAAAGTGTTCTCACTGACCTGCCTGGCCCCTCCGGCTCATCTTAACCACGACTTGCGACACAAACTCGAAGGTCCCATCAGTCAGAGCAGCCTCGCAGGCACTGTAGCTGGACCGATGCTCTCGCACCAGTTCCGACCATCGGGCGTTCAGAGCAGAAAAGCACCCCTGGAGCAGTCGTGGGAAGAAGAACCTGGAAACGGGATATGCACGGGCAGTCATGCACGAGGAAAGAGAGAGTGCCCATCTAGTGAGGTGTATTGCAGAGTTCAAATGTGAAGCAGCTTTCGGAGAACGGACCAGGTTACCAAGACACATGTAGGGGCGGTCATGGTACAGAATACTGTGGAACATTAGCTAAGGCTAATCTGCATAGGTTGTTTTTGATACCCGGTTGACATTTCAATCCGAAGAGGGCAGTCAGAGACGGGAAAGAAACCCCGATGCAAGCCCAAGTTAACCAGCGCCTTGGAGAATTCCAACAGGGAAGCCTTTCAAGGACCAATGCTGGACCTTTGAAATGTTCCCAAGAAATGGCAAGCCTGTGTAATCCCAGAATGCACGATCGTTGGGGCACGCTTTTGCAAAGTCTCAACACCTCAAATTCAGGCGGTTCAAAGAGAGAACCATCTTTTGCAAAAAGTCCCTCAACACACAGACACCCAAGTCACAAAACCTGCAAGAGATCCAAATTGCAACCATGAAAGTCCTGACTCACTGAGCTTGCAAGAGCTTCGGTGCCTGAGGCCCAGCTCGATCAGGCACAGATGACATCAGCGCAGCCGCCTCGCGGGGCGTCAGCTCTTCCTCCATCTCCCATCTTGTATTGGCGCCCCCATACCCTTCCACTTCTGACTGAATTCCCTGTGCTGCAGTAGCTGCCCTTCTCCCAAAGGAAAGTGCCAAGAATGTCAAACCTTTAGCTTTGCAGGCAGATAGTGGTGGTGCGACTCCGCCACTAAGAGATAAGCTTTCCTCAAAGTCTCCTTTACTTTTTGGCCACAGGATTTGGCTGACCAAAAGTTTCTGCCCTTTCTGCTGGAGTTTGAGGCTTTCACTTTGGTCAGCATTGTCCTCCCCAGCTAGATCAAGAGGCGCGGACGCAGAGAGCCAGGGTGCCAGAGCAGAAAAGAGAGCAATCGGAGATGCTTCAGCCAGAAAGGGTTTGGAGAGGGGTTCTAGAGGGTCCTGAGCGTCTCTCTCAGTGGCCGCCATGGCTGCCTGTGCTTTCCATGAGCACTGCTGAAACTTCGACTCCAGAGTCCAGACTCGATCAGTCTTGGGTGATGTCAACAACTTGAAAAGCAGTCCCGGAAATCGCGACGCTCTATGAAGCACAGCAGAGCTCTATGTCAGAATATAGCCTGAATATACGTAAACATGTCCATTGCAGTCCCGAAAGTGTGACTCTGTGAGACCCAAACGGGCCATGGATCGAGTTCATGGAACAAAAAGTAGTGTCCTTATACCTGAATCAGACATTGGGATTTGACGGGAACGACAGCGATTATCTCAGCCTCCTCAAACAGAACGCTCGATGATTCAGACAGATGGCAGAACCTGGGCAAGGCAATGGTGGGCGTACACCAAATGTTCTTCCCGCCAACCATTCCCTGACAAAGTTGGGGTTGAAGCAAGTTGGAAGGAGAGCGCGACTCCAGCCTGAGGGAGCTTCCCACCATGAGCAGAAAGGTAAGTGGACTCTTGCGCATCGAAGGGCCTGGGTTCCCCGTTGTAAGGTGTACTGACGTCAAATTGTACTTGAATTTCGCTTAGTGTATGCCTGATGAAGCCCTGATAAGCTGGCCTCAAGCAATCCTGCCTATTGTGAGGCGGAGTCACACGGCTATGCAGTGCGCATAAAAGACTTTAGAAAGTCACGCACTTCATTGGCCTGCAGGCAAAACGCGGGCGCGGCAAGGAGCAGGAGGCTGTAGACGGTATGCAAACTTTTTCATCTTTTTGTGGCCTTCTTCAGCTAGCCAAATCAGCTAATATGGAACAGCATTTGAACTATGAGCAGGTTTCTTATCAGAACTTGGCACAGAAACAAGATGGTGGTAGAGCTCCACAACTATCAGAGCACAAACGAATCTAGAGCAAGATCCGATCTGGGGGCAAAAGCTGTCTTTGTCCTAAAAGCTGTTCTTGTAGAGACTATGCTGAAAGGTGCAGGCAGAAGCTCTAAATGGTACTGCAACCTAGGAACTAGCAGTGGTTGCCCCAAAAAACCTGAGTATCACAAAATCCTTGGGGGTGGTCAATATGGTACAAATCTGAAGCAGTCAGATTTTGTGAAGCAAATGGAGTCTCTTAACAAAGAGTTCTAGCTTTTCCCTCTTGCAGACCTGCTTCATACCCTATTGCATGATGGAGGGGCCAGCGGCCTTCCGCTGGCAGCCGATGCCCCAGGTACGCTGCCCGGCTCCAGTTAACACAAGTTGGTATAGCCTGATCAGTTTGGCTCTTTTCGTCTCGCTTGTGCCTTACGAACGCCCAATCTTTGGTGACGAGAAAGAAGGCGCAGGATACTAGAACTCAGCACCTACTTTCTTGGAGTTCTTGTGCAGCCACATCTGATTCTCAGTGGACCTCCTCCAAACTGACAAACATTGTTGGATGGATGATTTCATTCAAGGCTGGTGCCAGTCGTTCGAACTGCTGGAGTAACAAGGCCATAGTCTCTGCAATTCTCCAAGTTCGTCGTCCTGACAGTGGTCCACTCATCCTCAGGCACCTTGGCGGACGCCTCTCTCACAAACGTCGACCGCCTGCTCGATCGTGTCGGGACAAGGCGCAAAGCGGCCGAGGAGAGGAGGGCAGCAGCAGAGTTGGCTCAGGTCAGAGTCTGAGCTGCAAACGTCAAAAGCATCGTGATTGCGTTGACAATTGCAGAAAGTTGTCAACTTGAACAAGCGGTTTTGTTGGCAGTCGTTTCGCATGACAACTGGCAGGACGCTTCACAGCTGGAGTCTGAAAGAACCTTTTTTAAAGGAACCATTAAATCTCCCTGGGTTGAGAAAGCCGTCAGCCTGGCAGTGCTGACGGACGGATGAAGCAGAAGGAGAGTTGACATTTATCACATACCTAACCAACATCATAGAGCTACGGAGATATCAATGGCAATGGATAAGCTCTCCCCCTCGAATGTGATTCGGTCTTGACTATCTAGCTTTTTCCTAACAGGGGGGGCGTAAGCGGAAGCAGGCGGGAGACGACCACCCGCTCTTCTTGCAGAATGGCTCAGGGAGGGCACTTAAGCGCCGGACGGCCGCTTCCAACGATCCCGCCTGTGGCGCCCCTGCTCAGACTGCACATAACCTTGAACACGGAGTAAAGGAGAGGGTTGGTGATTTGGCAGACGGTTTAGAGTCGGAGGGAAGGTTGGAGACAGGCACCGGGTTTGTAGACGGATTAAAGTCCGGGAACGGAAATGGGTTGGGACATCTTGCAGGAGAGCCTGCGATTGAAGGATGGCCTGAGGGGAGTTTTCAGGAAGGGTTAGAGGACGAGTTAGGAGCCGGGTTACGGGGAGCAAGTGGGTTACGGAACAGGTTATTGGGAGACGCAACAGAGGAGACGGGGGGTGGCAAATCTTCGGTTGAGCAAACCTTGCTTCTGGAGGAGAGAGTATCATTTAAGAGCGGGGCCCTGGAAACGGAAGAGGAGCACTGGGAAGAGGGCTTTGGGCATGGGGCGCCCTCCACAACAGGGCCTTCCGGATTAACCTTTGCGAGTTGGTCGGGGCAGGTAGCGATCGACACCGGGGACGAAGAAGAGGGGTTAGGCAAACCGCGCGCGAAACCCGCCCTGCGACGAGCCACCGCCCGTGACAAAGAGTTTGCCGCTCTAGTCCACAAAGCGCATCTCCTGTGCCTCCTCGCCCGGGGAACGAGGTTCGACGGGGCGAGCGACGACCCCCTTCTGCAAGCCTCGCTGCTGTCTTGCGCTCCGGAAGCCCTCGGGAACCTGTCTCAGAAGGGTGATGTCATCAAGGGCCCGGAGTTGGCTCCCCTGGTCGAATGGTTTCAGGAGCGGTTTCGGATCTCGGAGGGGGCCGAAAGAAAGAATGGGAACGAGGGGGTGGAGTTGAGTGGGTGGGAGTCGGACGCAGAGCGGTTGCAGCGAGTACTGGAGTTGAAAGTAGGGACGACGGAGGAGCTGACGGCGCTGTTTGTGGCACTATGCAGATCGCTAGGGCTGACAACGAGGTACGGGCTTCTTCAGCTACATGTTGCACAGTGGTGCTTAAACCAGAGGTTCAGTGTTCGGGAGTCCATTCTTCCTCGTTCTACGGATCTATCCGCCATCTGTTGCCTCTTATCTCGAAACATGTTGTTCATCTGGCCCATTGATATTGGCTGGGCAACTCGACCTGTTGAAGAAAACGTTCATTTACATCCCTTTTCCTGCTCTTATAGACATTAAAACTGCTCCAGTGCTGCGCAAAGTCTCGTCATTCCTTGGCTTCTAGTCAATCGTAATTCAGCGGGGTTCGACGCTCAAAAAAGAACAGGTTGGCAGGGGGTTTGGTTCTGTCGACATTCAGTCTACTCCGTAGTGTTGCTCCTATCGAAATGCAAACAAGCTCACGGGGACCACGTTTTGCCTCACTCTAGAGTTCTATTTGACGGCCATACCCACGCATACTCAGGGTTTCTTAACCCATTGAGCAGCGAGTAACCGCTTTCGTTCACTCCTAACCAGGTACGTGTCCGTTTTGGACGTCACCCCCCTGAAACCTGACGCCGCCTCCCTAGACGCCTCTCTCGATTGGGATCCGGACGTCGAAGAGGAGGGGTCGTCAATTCCGTACGCTCGGGGGGGGCCCGCGCTGGCCCAGATGCTGAGGCAGCTTGCCCCCCCCGAAAAGACGATCATTACGACCGGGTTGCAAAATTTCAAAGCCCCCGTGCAGAATGTATTCAAACCAGGCGCGACGGGGCATTTGAATGGGTTGGAAGGGAAGGGGGGAAAATTGATGAACGGTGGGGGAAAGGGGAAGAAAAGTACGGGTTGGAATGGGTCCGCGAAAGTAGTCGATGCTGGGGCTTCGAAAGCAAAGGGCTCTACTGCCGGGGGGGTGGCGAAAGGAGATTCTAAGAAGGGGGGGAGGGGCAAGAAGCGGGTAAAGGAAGAAGAAGAAGAAATTGGTGGGCACGGGGGGATAGTGAAGATCGAGGATTTAACGGAGGAAGAACAGATGGCGCAGGCGATAGCCGCGAGCTTAGCGGAGGAGATTGCATCGCCTAAAGGCAGTTCGAACGGGAAGAGGCGAAAGAAGGGTGTGAAGGAAGAAGTGGGATCGGTGAAAGAAGAGTCCGCGGCCGAGCGGCGGAGAAAAGGCGACGCGGAACTAGAGATGCAACTCCAAGTCGCAATGGCCGCTACCGCGATCGAGGCCGCTATGAAGTTGCCGAGCACGCCCGAAACCCCGTCAGCTTTATCGCGGCTCGCGAAAGGAGAGGCGCCTTTGAAAGGCGCGAAGAGTTTGTCAAACGGTAAGGGGTTCGGTTCGGATGCTGGCGCGGTTTGGTCTCGCAGAAGAGGGCCGACTTTGCACTGGGCTGAGGTATACTGCGGGGGCGGAAAAGAAGGGGGGCGATGGGTCCACGTGGATCCGGTTAGGGGGGTGATGGACGCGCCGGGGGGGGTGGAGAGCGCAGCGGGGGGGGGGAAACAGCCGCTGAGATACGTGCTGGCGTTTGCGGGAGGGGGAGCGAAGGATATCACGAGAAGGTGAGGCCAGTGAAACGAAAGTAAAGGCTGCTGTTCAACAGGCCAGAGATTGGTCCCCTCGTTGCCTTGTCTTTGAAAGAGGAGAGGGTGACAGAATTCTCTTGCATCACGCACGCTGGTTCTTTCTTTTGCCGTATGGAGCAATCTGCGAACAGTGTAGGACAGTATGCGACCAATAGATATATCCGCTAATGTAGTGTATATAGCTGACTCTGATCTTACACTCTGACGAGTAAATAGCAGCCGGCGCGGTTATGTGCCGAGCAGATCGGCAACGTCTATCTTACTCCCACATAATCAGCTTTTGACACGTGTCCCACTGTCCACTACAGGTACGTCTCCCGTTGGTCCACCGTCATGCCCCTGCGAGTCGATCCCGACTGGTGGGAAGAAACTCTGCAGCCCTTGCGCCGCCTAGAAGCCGCGGCCACCTCCGGGCGCCCCTTAGCGCAGCTCCCCGCCTCTTCCCCAGGGTTTAAGGAGGGTCTACGCACTTCTTCCGAGTCGCCGTCCACTTCAAACGCGTCCCCCAGTGTAAAAACGCTCGAGTCTGGGGTGACGACACTTGACACTGCAGCCGCAGGGAGCCCCGCCGCGGGGCTGCGCAGCCCGGACGGTGTCAAAGCCGGCGCTTCGTCGAAGAATCAGAGTGCGAAGATAGCGGTGCACGACGAGAGGCTGAACGGGGTATTCACATCGGTGGACGACGACAGGGCCGCCAGGGAAGACGTGGAGATGGAAACGCGCACTCTGACGGAGCCGCTCCCGACGAATCAACAGGCGTATAAGAGCCATCACTTGTACGCGCTTGAGCGGTGGCTTACTAAGTATCAGGTGTTGCATCCCAAGGGGCCGGTTCTGGGGTATTGCGCGGGACAGCCAGTGTATCCGAGAACGAGCGTACAGGTGCGAACTTTGTCACGAAATCCAGAGAATTCTTGTCAAATCTTTTGACTTGTGCTTTCTTCCAGATTTCTACACGGCCAATCGGTTGCCGCTGAGCATCAACCGCTCTCCATTTACGTGTGGAGATGGTTGATATGCCTTGTTCGGCGTAAGTCTCAGACACTCGAAAGATAATTCTGTGGTTATAAGTTGTATTACTAAGGTAAGTCTCCTTAACCTAGTCGAAGTTCTGTCTGGGCGCTGCACACGGTCAACCGGTAAAAACCGGTGCCTCCGCGAGGGATGCAAGGTCCAGCGCGGCTGATTTTATGTTACAGTCATCCGGACGTCCAATTCCACGACAAGCGCCTCGAGCACTTTGCGGTACAGTACCTACCTGCCAAGGCAAGCAGACGAAAACCTTTATGCGCAAACCCGCTCTGAAAAGCTCTTGTAAATCTACCAGGTTCTTCACACCGTCGACCGGTGGCTTCGGGAACGCCGCAGAGTCCAGCGCGATCTGGTGCCCGTCAAAGTTCTTCGGACTGCAATTCCGCGCCATCTACCTCGACCATTTTCTCTACCTCTTAGAGCAAAGCGCTCTTGAGAAACTCCTTCAAGCATGAAAGGCTTGAAATGCAAAGAATTCCACAAACCCTAAAATCTCAAATTCCTAAAATACTTTCAGGTCCTTCACACCGCTGACCGCTGGCTTCGGGAAGGCCGCAAGGTTCAGCGCGGCTCGTTGCCCGTCAAAGTCCTTCGGACGTCCAAGCTGGCGTCAGCGTCCGAGGCCGCGGAGCAGGCGGCGCTGGGGGAGGAAGGCGAGGAGGAGGGCGCCACGTCAGCACTCTTCGGACGCTGGCAGACGGACGCGTGGAGGCCGCCACCCGCGAGAAACGGAAGAGTGCCACGTGTGAGCAGAGTTTGACTCTTCTGTACGCTTGAAATCTCCTGTGCTCTTGTCGGTTGCTAGCAATCGGCGCCGAACGGTCTGAAATTGCATTCGACATGGATCAAGGCGTTCACCATTTTCGATCAGAGAAGGTTGATATCCGGACGTGGGAAACGGCTGTCATGCGTCTTGGAAAGAAGACGTCCTTGTCTTCATGCTGACTTCCTCATATCAGTGTTCTCACATTGATTCTAAAGCCTCTATTATACCATTCGTTCGCTCACCTGCCGTCACCGAAAAGATCCCTGCTTGCTCGCTCCAATGCTCCTCCCTGAAGCCCCCTTTCTCAACCACCTTTTCCACAACCATCTCTTCTTAACCTCCGGCTGTCTTGCATTCCGTCCTGTTAACACGTGGCAGCCTCCGATTGGTTGCAGAACGAGCGCGGCCAGGTGGACGTTTGGGATGAGAGCTTCCTTCCGAAAGGAACGGTGCACCTGCGTTACCCGCGCATCCTACAAGTCGCCCGCATGCTCAAGGTCGATTACGCGCCCGCAATGGTCGGGTTCGAGGTGCGGGGAGGGCGGTCCGTACCGAAGTTCGATGGCATCGTCATTTGCAAGGTGAGGGGTGGGAACGACTTGTCTCTCTTGTCATTTCAGTTTGTAGTAATCTTAGTTATTCGAGTTTTGCGCAGAGGCTGGAGTGAGTTATGCGCCCGCCATGGTCCGGTAGAATATGCGGGGAGGCGTTCCGTAGCGAAGAGTCGATGGCAGTGTCATTTTTAAGGTGAGCTTTAGCAGCGACTCCTTGTTGGCTTTGACTTCTTGCGCAAACGCTGGAGTGAGTTATGCGCCGGCCTTGGTCGAAATTGGATGATGACGGAAGGGGTCCGTAGCGAACTTCGACGGTATCGTCATTGTAAGGTGAGGAGAGGGAAACCCTGCTTGTATTCGTATCGGTTTTCAGTTTTGCGCAGAGGCTGTGTGAGTTTAACAGCCCTTCATTCCGGATTTGAGGTGCCGTGTAGGTATTGGGACACAATGGATTAGTCATCCGCAAGGTAAGGAGCAGGGGCAATGTTTCTATGGACGTTTCTAGGTTCTGAAACCGAGGTCGCTCTTCTGCTTGAGCCAAAGTTCGAAAGGCTCTTCAGAAGAGACCTGAGAGCTCAGAAGTCGGGATATCGACTTCACGAGATCAACTACATCTCAAATGTAGGAACACTAAGCGCAGCAAATGTAAGCTTTTGGGCTTATTTAAACCTTCCAGTCGAGAATCTCCGCGCTTCAGCTTGTTGGTCGCTAGATTGAGTGGATCCAAAATGAAGACCGCGCTTCGGCTTATCGTTCACTAAATTGAGTGGATCCGAAATCGAGACCACGGAGCGCTACGTCTTCGACCCGCGTGCAGGAATACGAGAGCCAGGTGTTGGACGTATACTTGGAGGAAGAACAGCGGCTGCACGCGCGCGAGCTGCGGAAGCGCGAGCAGGAAGCGGCGCAGCGCTGGCGACAGGTACGGACGAGTGGCGCCGGCGAAAGTCTGTCTTGACCCCAACGCCTTGTCAGCTTGACTGGGCGTTATGTGCTGTGATTGGAACTCTGGAATCCGTAGTCTGGAGGTGTAGGGCGCGGATCATGGTCTAAGCTTTGGCTGTGGCAACGCCTCGTTGGTACTCCGTTTGCCGCAGTGTTGAAATATCTGGTCTGATCCTGTCACGTTGCGGTGGCGCCAACCTTCACTTGACAAGATGGCCAGTAGCAATACCGCACAGGCCGTTCAGAAATCACCGATAATTCTCTCACAATTAAAGCTTCAGAGTTTCATGGTCAGTGAGGACGTCAAAGGAGAAGATGGATTCGCACTGCTGCGCAGCCCCGAGATGACTCGTACCCGCTTTTCTGTTCTCGCGCAAAGACAACCGTGGAACGCCCTGGCAGCATTTACCGCTTCACTTTTCGCTCGAGGTATCCGCACTGTCAAAAGGCGCTGAACGGGGACGTGGAGACGGGTACTCCCAACCGCTGCTGAACTCCCAGAACAAAAGTTTTGGAACCCTCTTGATGACGTCATCCCCCGTGCACTGCAGCTCCTCAAGGCGGTGGCCCTGCGGCAGCGGCTGCGCACCACCTACGAGCACAACCCCTCCCCTGCGCCGCCCGCGAATCCACCCCCCCTCAGCGAGAACACCCCCGCACCCCCGAGTACCAGTGGCAAGCCTGCGGACCGTCCGGATACGGCGGTTGCGGAGGAGCGTCCGAAGCGGGGTCCGAAAAGTCGGGCCGAGGTTGATGAGCAGCACGAACATTCGTTCCCCGAGGGAGACCAAAGCTACGATCCGGACACGGGGGTCCGGAAGAAGCGGTGTCCGTGCGGATTCGTCCTGAGCGTGGAGGAGATGTGATGGGATCAACGGACCCGTAGGGAGCGCGTAATATCAGTACCAGTGTACCATAAACTCTGAAGCAGAAGGGGTCCAAGGAAGATTAAGCCTTACAAGCACGTGGCTCTCCTCATTAGTAGAACAAAGCGATGGGGAAGAAGCTGGAACAATCCTCCGGCAGATGTGCAGCGCAAATAATCCTATGTATTGATCTTCGAAGCACATGTGCAACGCTGGTTGCAGTAGTGAAATGCGGATGCCTGTGATGTTGCTGGTAAACCCGGCCCCACTCATTGTCGTCTTTGCTGACTGGACTAGTATAGTTGCATCTCGACTAGCGACTACCCTTTACTTGCATGCCATGCACCTCACCATTTTTGAGTGGTTGTGATCTGTTGCAAATGGCTTGGCAGTCAGGCTGCAGATTCTATGGGCACATAAGCCGCCAGGCGAGAGTATTGATCAGATACGTCCCCACGTAAGCAGCTATGAGCCTGAGAAGACTGTTTCAAAGAAGCGCACATGAAGATGCGGGGCGTACGGGCCCGCTCAAATAGTATCTCCGTTGGCTCTTGTTTCCGAAGTATAAGCGATTGATTTTCCCGAATTCCGACTGCTCTCACGCTATTTAATGGAATTGATTTTCGCGGAGGGATCTGATGGATTCATCTCGTGGATTCATCTTTGTGACCTGTCGACTACTACGTACGTGCATGTCTTGCATGAGAACTTTTTAACGAGATAGTACCGATCACATCCCATGATCCTTCTCTTGGTGTGCTTGCGAGGGTGGTTTATTTCGGAGCTGCTATGCATGATTGCCACGCGTTTGAGGATAAACCACTTACAGAAGGCGGGTACTAGGAGGTGCCGTTGTTTCTTTAGAAGCCTATTCACACTCCTCGAACAAGAGGAATCTCATCAGATCAGGTCTTCGCAAAATACTCACTAGTAAGTGGAAACGGGTGGTCATCACCCGATCAGATGGGCCGCCCTTGATGTCGATGTATTAGCGCTCTATACGGCGTTTCCAAGTCACAGTTAGACAAAAATTCTAAGCATTTATCTCATCAGATCAGGTCTTCGCAAAATACCATACTCACTAGTAAATGGAAACGGGTGTCATCACGCGATCAGATGGGCCGGCCTTATTATCGATGTATTAGCGCTCTATACGGCGTTTTCAAGTCACAGACAAAAACTCTAAGCATTTCTGGTTTGTCTTCCGTTGAGTCCCCTGGGATCGATCTCGTCTCGCCCTAACCAACTTAAGTTAGCAGCAAACCGTCCCTGTACGCAGTTACTCCGTATGCGCTCTAGCACCCACCGTTGGTCGGCTGGGCCATGCCGCAGTTAGGAATGCACACACCTCGGAAACCGCGGGGCGCAAACGCCGAGGACCCGCCACAGCTCGGGGCGCAGTTATAGTTAACCGGGCAGTTAGCGTCGCTGTTACAGCCGGTCCTGCACTGACCGCACCCGTGCGCCTGGCAAACGGTGGGGCTGCTGATTGCGCCTCCGACGTAGCTGCCGCAGGCGCAAGCAGAGGAGCCGGGGCCGAAGGGGGTGCTGATATTGGCGCACTCACGGTTGGTTCCGTAACCCAGGTTGACGCAGGCGGTTAGTGGGGATCCTGCAAGGTTGGGCATGGCATGCGGGTTAGTGCACGCGTTTGCAGAAAACCCTGCAAGGTGAATGACGTTCACAGAGCTTGCTTGACAAATGTTTCACACATTTCGGTGTGAAGTTTTGTTAGACCAGTCCGGACGAGAGCCAAACGGTGACGGCTTTCCCAAAATGGATCGGCGGCAATATCGAGAGAGAGAACCGCAGCGTTACATGGGCGCTTCGGAACGTCGCGGCTTGCAAAACAGAGCGGCCCGCGATCATTGGGTTCGGATTCTAGTCTTGCTACCCAAATACTCCGAAAGCGGCGACAATTGCTTCTGAAAGACCTTGAGACATTTGAGCACGGGATGGTTCCAAAGTGACCAAGCAACACACGAACTTGGACGGTCCAAATTGTGGTGTGTATCCGTTTATATGTCAGAAAGGCAACTAGTAGTGACAGCGTTTTTCGAACTAGTGTGCGGGCCAACACAGTGCGAGCTCGGCAAAGCGCCAAGACGAAGGAAAACAATAAAGAGAAGCGTCCGGGAACTTCTGAGGAACTGTTTGATCAAGTCGTGCTCGATAACGAAGAACCGCCACGGCTAGAAGCGTGGAAGCTTCGAAACTATATTCATTGCAACAGCAAATGGTCGGCAGCTATTGCATTTTACGCGTCAAGTGGCATCACCGCAAGGAAACGGAAACGCAGGGCTGGGAGAACCTTACGCTTCGGTGTCGGCGCGGGAGTGGGAGGGGGGGGAGTCTTGGCCGGGGCAGTGGTGGCCGGGGGAGTCGTGACCGGGGGAGTCGTAACCGGGGGAGTTGTAACCGGGGGCGTCGTGGCCGGGGCCGTTGTCCCGGGCGCTTGGGGAGGGCCACAAGTGATCGTGACCACAAGGTAGCTCGCGTCGTCTGACGCGCTGCTGGCTGTAAAGGTGAGGAACCCGGGGCCGCCCGGAAGGGTGTTGATGAAGGAGTCGCTGTGGCTGCTGATGGCGATTCCGTCGAAGCCGAACGGAAATCCGTCGATGTTGGGCGGAGGTAAGCTGGGCAGATCGACCTCGGCGAAGACCGCGACAATGGTCCCAAAGCGCGGGACTCCCTGTGGGGTGGGAAAGGGGGACGGTGAGAATTGCGGCAATGGGACGATTCTTTGCGCTGTGCAACAGGCTTGTCGATCTTGTGATAAGCATCTCGGTTTGACTTCCTGTCGAGGGAGTACAGACTTTCCGCCGTTGGTCAAGGGGTGAATCGGCCATTTTCAACCTAGATGCAGATCGAAAAGGAAATAGAAAGCTTGCACAGAAGAGGTTTCATCGACACCCTTGATCAGACAAAGATGACCTGAGAGACAGGACTACCGTTCACAAGAAAGGAGGTTCTAGTGATGGAACCTTGTGTTCCAGTCGCAAAACCAAGGTCTTGAAGGCTTTGTGATCTGAAGTACTCTGCATCCGATCAACGGCCCGAAATGTGTGATGACGACAGCTCCTCTCACAAACGGCTCTGAAAAGTCATTCTGAAGCCCACGCACCAGGAAAAGACACTGAAAAAGTATACATTTGCAGTGAAGAAGCTAAAAGGCTCGAAATGAATGATGCGATGAACTTAAGCTTCCAAAGGAGACCAATTCCTTGGTGATTTCGAAGGAGGGGTAGAACGGTTTGGCTTCAAAGCACAGCATGTCTGATTCTGAGACACAAAAATCGAGCAGGTGCAGACTGGGAGAACGACAGCTCTTTGTTTCGGACCTGGCATCCGAGCTTCTGAGAAAACATTACCGGTTCCTGAGCATTAGGGGCCGTATGATGACACACTCAGGAAGATCACAACGGTCTAAAATTGTTTACCAGCCTTAGGAGATCCAAAAACCGGTGCCAACTTCAATGCAAATAACGGGAACCCTCACAGTCGGGTTCGGGGAGGTGTTGACCAGGAGCAAGTTATTCTGGGTCCCCCCGGGCGCTAGGTCGAGCTGCCAGGGCGCCGGCTCCAGAGATTCGCCCAAAAGGCGCCAAAATTTTTCATTGCTTTGATTGCTCGCAAAGGAGACGATGATTGGAGAGGCGCAGTTGTTTTCAAGATAGACCACCGCCGTTACGCTGGGGAACGGGGCGGCAGGGGGAGTTGTCGCGGGCGGGGTCGTGACCGGGGGAGTAGTGACCGGGGGAGTAGTGACCGGGGGAGTAGTGACCGGGCGAGTGGTCACCGGGGTACTTGTCACCGGGGGAGTCGTAACCGGAGGAGTGGTAACCGGGGGAGTCGTAACCGGGGGAGTCGCCGGGGGCGTTGTCCCGGGCGCTTGCGGAGGCCCACAAGTGATCGTCACGAAGATGTTGCTCGGGTCGTCTGTCGCGCTCCTGGCTGTGAAAGTGAGGAACCCGGGGCCGCCCGGGAGGGTGTTGATGAAGGAGTCGCTGTAGCTGGTGATGGCGATTCCGTCGAAGCCGAACGGAAATCCGTCGATGTTGGGCGGAGGGAAGCTGGGGAGATCGACTTCGGCGAAGACCGCGACAATGGTCCCAAAGCGCGGGACTCCCTGTGGGGTGGGAAAGGGGGACGGTGAGAATTGCGGCAATGGGACGATTCTTTGCGCTGTGCAACAGGCTTGTCGATCTTGTGATAAGCATCTCGGTTTGACTTCCTGTTAGGTGAATTCAAGTGTTCAGGGGCAGGTCAAAAGTTGAAGCGGCAATTGTGATGACTGATGCAGATCGCGGTGGAACTAGAAATAGCGCGGCAAGAATTATTTTATCGACACCCTTGGTTAGAAGATGCAAAGACGCATGTGAGAGGAAAGACTACCGTTCCAATAAGTGGGGTTTTTAGGAGTTGACCCTTGTGTTCCACTTGCGAAAAGCTCTCAAAGTTGTTGTAATCAGAAGTTCTCTGCATCCGATCGACGGCCGAGATAAGTGAAGACGACAGCTCTTCTCACAACGGTTCTGAAAGGGTCTCACTGAAGCCTATGCACACCAGAAACTGCATCAAGATTGTTGCACTTGCAAGCGAAAGAAGCTCAAGGCCTCGAAATGATTGATGCAATGAACGCGGAAACTTTTAAAAGAACGGCGAGGCTTCAACTCGTAGCATGTCTCAATTCGAGACAGGGAAAACGAGCAGAACGGGAGAACAACAGCTCTTTGCTTCAAACATGCAAGCTTCTGAAAATCAAACTTTGGTTCTTGATCTTTACCCGTATGTTGGTACCTTCAAAGAGGACTGCAGTACGCTCTGAGATCAGGTCTCAGCCTCAGGGATCAGAAAACAGGTGCCAGGATTCGACGCAACCAACTGCAGAACTCACCGTCGGGTTTGGGGAAGTATTGACCAGCAGCAGGTTGTTTTGGGTCCCCCCGGGCGCTAGGTCGAGCTGCCAGGGCGCCGGCTCCAGAGACTCCCCGCCCATCTCCGGTCGGACAATGCGCCAAAAGTTTCCGTTGCTCTGATTGCTCGCAAAGGAGACGATGATCGGAGAGGCGCAGTCGTTCTCGAGATAGACCAGCGCCGTTACGCTGGGGAACGGGGTGGCAGGGGGAGTTGTCGCGGGCGGGATCGTGACCGGGGGAGTAGTGACCGGGGGAGTAGTGACCGGGGGAGTAGTGACCGGGCGAGTGGTCACCGGGGTAATTGTCACCGGGGGAGTTGTAACCGGGGGAGTCGTGACCGGGGGAGTCGTGACCGGGGGGGTCGTGACCGGGGGGACGGCCGGGGCCGTTGTCCCGGGCGCTTGCGGAGGGCCACAAGTGATCGTCACGAAAATGTTGCTCGGGTCGTTCGGTCGCGCTCCTGGTTGTGAAGGTGAGGAACCCGGGGCCGCCCGGGAGGGTGTTGATGAAGGAGTCGCTGTAGCTGGTGATGGCGATTCCGTCGAAGCCGAACGGAAATCCGTCGATGTTGGGCGGAGGGAAGCTGGGCAGATCGACTTCGGCGAAGACCGCGACAATGGTCCCGAAGCGCGGGACTCCCTGTGAGATGCGGAGGAGAACAGTAAGCAATGCAGCTGTCTACGCTGTGCAAATAAGTTACTGTTTCAGGATTTCGACTTCAAGCGACTATACATGCGCTCTTTTCGGGGAAGGTGGGGGGCAACTCAAGAGATGAAGGGGGAGACGTTCGGTGGGCAGCGTGATGTTGAATGCAGATCGCGGAAGACATGGAATTTTCAGGGGAAAGTAACATCGACGTCGCAAATTGAATGGCTACCACGAACAATGGGACAGGACAGGACTTCCGCACCCACGGGGGTTTCCGGCGAGAATGACCTTTCAACATGTTTTACTTGCAAGAGATTATCAACGTCTTGAACTTGAAACTAGCAATCCTGCGTCGACAGCCAAGGAGAATCCTCCTTAACGGTTCTTAAGAACGGTTCTAAAGCCTACGAGCACAAATAAATCACTGCAATTGTGGCTGGAAAAGACACAAAACTGATGACATCAGGTATTCCGAGAGAAGACCAAACCCAGCTCGCGGCTCTTGGTAGGGAACCAGAACGGCACCGCTTCAATCTCTCAGCAGGATTACATTCTCAAACGGGTGAACGAGCGATTCTCGACTGCATAGGAAAACTGTACAACAGCTTTACTGCTGAACCAGGTCAAGCTCCAATGTCAGTCTTGGACCGTACGATGATTCTCTCAGGGAAGTCCCACAAAATACGATCGTCAAGCAGGCTCCGAACCAAATACCTGGCACCAAGTTTGATGCAAATAAATGCAGAACTCACCGTCGGTTTTGGGGAGGTGTTGACCAGCAGCAGGTTGTTTTGGGTCCCCCCGGGCGCCAAGTCGAGCTGCCAAGGCGCTGGCTCCAGCGAATCGCCCATCTCCGGCCGGACGATGCGCCAAAAGTTGCCGTTGCTCTGATTGCTCGCAAAGGAGACAATGATTGGGGAGGCGCAGTCGTTGACGAGATAGACCAGCGCCGTTACACTGGGGAAGGGATCTGAAGGGAAAGATTAAGTGTTAAGATTAAGGTTAAGATTAGGATGAAGATTAAGAATAATTCTGATTAGATTAAGTTGTGCACTGCCCACTGAGCTTGTTGAGCTGTTCATCTACAAAAGATCGATGAGATGGACCATTGCAGTGATCGACGGAAGTATCAACGAATGAGATCGCAAAAAATCCACGCATCATTGAGTTGGAAAGACAAGGATCCTATGACAAATGAACGATTTCTGATCAGTGCTCTTTTCTGCTAATGAACCTAGAATTTACATTTTCAGTGCGCCTCCGTAAGCCGCCGGGGGCCTTCTTGCTCTACACAAAAGACTCTGCCAGTTGCGCAAGGCAATCTGAGCAAGCTGCATGCGCGGTTTTGGCTTGTGAATGAGGACCGGTTTTTCTATGTTCCCGAAAGCAGAGTCCTCTTTCTTTCCACATGAGAAGAAGCTGCCGTTTGCAAGCAGATTGGGGGCAAGCTGGGATTGAAAAAAAGTTGTAAGTCATTGTCGCAAGCGTCTAGTTTTCAGCCATGCTTGAAAACTGTTCTTTTTCCGAGCTGGAAGTATTCATAGTTCCAAGCAGTCGGGACAAAAGTCACAATATCGGATATCCTTTGAAGTCACGATCGAGTGTCGCTATTTTGTAACAAAGCCAACAAAGCAGACCTCAAGGGGGACCGTCCCCACTCCATCTGAGCAGAAGGCTTAGGCCCACTCCTGATACACTCGCGAAGAACGGATCTCGTCCTGTTAGATAAGCTTCATGGCCAGCTGCTTTTTGAGTGAACCAGCCATTCAACCAGACCCAACTAATTTTCTTGTGGGCGCAAAACAAAACAAGAGCTTTTCAAAAAATCAAGCGAGCATAAGAAGACGGTAACAAGCACGCAGGACCTTTGAATCTGATAGTTGCTCACCGCCAGCTTCCTGTAGAAGCTCCCTGGAGTGGCTCAGATGATTGCCCAAAGTAGATTGGAGGGCACCATCCAACTCAGGCGCGCGGTCCAGGGTGGGGTTTGAGCGGGCGACCACTGAGCTCAGGAACAGCAGGAAAGTGACGCCCCTCAGCAGAACGGAGCGGCGGAACAGTGGAGCCATATCGTTGCTGCAAGCTGGATGTGCTGAAGAGAGAGCCCAGAGAGAGCGACGGCTAGGGCTGAAGGGAAAGGAGTGATCGAGGCGGAATTGGAAGGTTGATGATTGGATTTTAATGGTGGGGTGGATGGCTTACGGCCTTTATAATGAATTTGTGAGGAAGGGTGCTGGCAAGTGAAGGTGGTCTAGTCAAATTGAAAGGGTCTGATCAAGGTACCAGAGTAGTCCTCAGGGCTTCGAGGACGCCGAAATAACTAGTCTGTGTGCTCTCCTAGTGCAAATATTACTCCGCATGGAGGAGATTTTGACCTAGGCCCGGACAGAGAGTGGTTGAGCTGGCCGATCTGAATTCTGGACCCCGGTTATGCTTGGTGTCGACACTATGGGATCATGTAGCGAAGTCGTCGCATTATAGCTCTTCCAGCCAGGGGGGGCCTTTACCAGTGGAGTTTTGTACCCCGTAGTGCGGAAGTGGTTCGAGGTTTGATTTCGACATGACGGACCCGCTGACCCGCGTGATTCCGACGTCGGCTGAGGAACTCCCCCTGCGTGACAGCAACGCGTATTTACTTCTGCGGTTTCGTTCTGCGTTGCATTATGCAGGACTGCTCGATATAGTGCATAATTCACAGGAGCTCTTCTCAGACACCGTCTACATGATTCTGAACCATGAACCATTGGGGTGCCGGCGGTTCTTAGCTGGCATCCGAAGGCTCTCTTTTCTTGGTCACATTAATACAGCTGTACGCGATTTTTACTGCATCATGCATTGAAATCGAAGTGCCATCATGGCCGTGCGGGGCCAGCTTCTTGGGAACTTGGATGTATGTTCCAAAGCGCTGAGAAGACAGATCCATTTTCACATTGCAACGTACTCTCCTGATCAGGCGCCGTCCAGATTGTGACTTTTAGAATGGGCATCCCTGTCTGACCATTTGGAAGTGCCGCCGTGATGGTTTGAAAGCTTAAAAGCGGGTTGGGTTTGATGCAGTCAAAAGCTTTGATCCATGACGATGCTGCCTCATCTCTGGGCGTCATCGGACGTGGTACTGGCGTATCGGATTCCATGGGCATGGCATACTAATTAGCTTGTATTTCCGCGGAGAAATGCATAAGTGGACCCCGATCAGGCAGTTAGCTCGTGTTCCCATCCACCTCCACATAAGCGATGACCACCTGGACAGTGATATTGGCCGCCTCTCTTCCATTGGCCAGTGTTGCTCCAATAACCATAAATGTAATCAACAAACCACACCCCGGCGGCGCTTTCAGATTCGCCATGCTTCTTACCTGCACATGCAGCGGACTTGCGCTGTAAAGATCAGCTGGCTCTTGATTCTTGATCAGGCGCGCATGCAGTATTCCTGGCCGGGCCGCGGCCGCGCGCATTAATCGCATGCCCCAGGGTTTCGAGGTTTTCGCGGCAAGGACACTGGCCGCGGCGCGCCCGACGCAGCGCGGCCGCTGATGCAACCCAGCCTCACAGATTTTATGAGGAATCTCTCATATGACCCAAGTCCGGAAAATGGTAATATTGCCATAAGTCAATGACGAAACTTCCATACTGGTATGAGAAAATTGAAAAGGGTGTATGAAGAATCAGGGTGCTGCGGCGCGGATATGTGCTACCCGGTGTGCTGTCGCCCGGCGGGCCCCGGGCTCAGCAACATATCCACAGCGAGGTATCTGCACCGTCCGATCGACTGTGCACGGCTTAATATCGACCGTGCAGGACGGCCGAAGCGACCGTTTGACCCACAAAGAATTGCTCGCCGCGACCGTGTGGATTGCAGTACATAAGGGCGGCGCCCCTTCTTGGAGGGGGTGGGGTGGCGCTCCGCGACGGCTTGCCCCGGGTGCCACCAAAACTGCAAGTCCACTAGCATTAGGGTCTCGCACACTACCCGGAGAGCAACCGGGCCCTCCCTGTGACATTAGGGTCTCGCGGGCAACCGGGTGACAACCGGGCACCTCCCAGTGACATTAGGGTGTGGCGGTCACATTATCCTAGGTTTTTAGTTTGCCCGGTACTTCCCTGTGACAACCGTCCGGGGATTCAAATTCACCATAAGCTCTGAGCAGATTCTCCAACCGAACTGGAAGTTTCGTCATTGACTTATGACTTATTTGCCGATTGCCGGCCTTAGGTAATATGAGAGATTCCTCATAAAATCTGTGAGGCTGGGTTGGCTGATGAGGAATGGACGGTCGGACCCTGGCAACCGGCCGGAGTAACTGTCGGTGTCCGAACGGTCCAATCGGACACACTCGACGCCCGTCGCGGCCGCGTTGATCAAGCCACGGCCGCGCACGTCCTCCTGAAATATGTTGAATGCAGGGGCGCCAGATTCTACTGCCGAGTGCAGTTCTTATGAAGTCGTGTTAATTGCGTCAATTGCAGCTTCAATAAACGGATCTGATCATCAAGAGAAGCCGCCCAGCAGCTGCGCGCTTCCACGGTAAAAGCGCTCGCCGCCGGCTCCCCATAAGAGGCTTTCACCATGAATGTAGTTAGCAGTTTCACGGGAGAGAAGATGCTAAGAATTTCCAGTACGTTCTCTCTAAGCACAAGTGCAGGTCACGACATGTATACCAGGATCAGAGTCCGAAAGCAAGTACTACTGCTGTGGCGTATCAAAACTTATACCAGTAAATTGAAGAATCAAATCAGCACGTTCGCAAGACTTTCTTCCTTGTTCAACATGGTCTGGCTTCGAAGGTCGCGAGGAGCTTCTTGTAAACCGTCCCCTCACAGAATTTTTCCGACGCAACAGATAAGGCCCAAATATCAAATAGAACATTGGTCTACTAATGGAAACGCACTTATCCAACTGACTTGTGATGCTATATTTGTGGTCCTGTTGGAGTGACAAGCAAGCCTCTCAAATGGTCAGTAAACGTCTAGGAGCCATATCCTCTCTATGCGTTTGATGTCCACTCGACGCCTATGTACAACCGTGCAAAAACTATCCGAGCTAGAGAGCTCCCTCAGAAATGCTACGGCGACTCACAGATGAACCTGTTTTGCCAAAGCTAGTCTGCGGTGTTAATTGTCATTCAAACGCCGGTTGAATTCAGATCGTGACTTGGCTACGTTCTTCAATCAGACGATTTTGGGCGCCTTTTCAGAAAAAGACGCCGGTCGTGGCCGGGGCGGACGTAGTCGCCGGGGCAATTGTTGCTGGCCCAGTGGTGGGCGCAATAGTCGTGGCCGGAACAGTCGTGGCCGGAACAGTCGTGGCCGGCGCAGTCGTTGCAGGGGCACTTGTGGCCGGCGCAGTAGGGGCCGGGGCAGTGGTCGCCGGCGCAGTCGTGGTTGGCGCAGTGGTCGCCGGCGCCGTCGTGGCCGGGGCGGTAGTGGCCGGGGCGGTTGTCGCCGGGGCAGTAGTAACCGGGGCGGTGGTAACCGGGGCGGTAGTCACCGGGGCGGTCGTCGCTGGGGCAGTAGTGGCCGGGGCGGTCGTCGCCGGGGCGGTAGTCACCGGGGCGGTTGTCGCCGGGGGTGTAGTGACCGGGATGGTGGTAGCTGGTGGCGGTGTCGTGAGCGGCCCTGCAGCGGGCGTTTACATCGTTCAGAAAGAAGCCCATTGGCAGGAATTCCTGTAATTCAAGCTCTGCGGGCAAATGAAGATGCAAAGATGATAGCTGCGGAGCGTTCCTCGACCACGATGAGCCCTCCATCGGATTCCAAAAAAATTTACCCTCATTGATGCGACGACCCGTCTGCTCAAGTTAATCCCATCTGCTCAAGCTATTCATTTGAGTGCTTGTTGAAGGCCGAAAGCGCTGGACTACCGGTGATTTCAGTAGCTTTTGCTCTTAACCACGATTAGCTGGTCAAGGGCATCGAACGAGAGCTGAACCACGTACCCTTCGTTAAGAGCACTTAACCGAACCACACACCTTCGTGAACGGATCTTGCTTAACACAAAATCCCGAATGTGAACTGCGAATTGAGAACTTACCGGTGGGGGCGAAGGTAGCGGAGGCAACTTGGAAGTTGAAAACGATCCGGCCCGTCAGGTTGTTGGCGACGTTGAAGAGGATTGGGAAGCTTTGCCCCGGGGCCAGACCCCCGGGGATCTGGGCGACCCCAATGGTGCAGTTGACGGGGCCCGGCGGCGTATACGCGTAGGTCCCATTGACGAATACTTGTGAGCACCTGTCAGGTGACGTCACGACGTGACGTCAGCTTTTCGAAATCTAGAGCTTCCGTCCGCACTATAAATCTCGTTTAGAGTTTTTCATTCTTCAGGCGAGGAAAGGTAGGCAAAGGAGAAGGGCTGTCAACTTCTTCTCTTGTCAATTCCTTCCGAGTCAGCCTTCTTTATGATGCACATGAGAATCACTTAGTTATCAATTGAGGACAGGAAGGCAGAACGGAACATCTCGTGCCGTACAAATCGAGAAGAATCATGTGCTAGTGTGAAATTTGGAATGCTATCACATGCTTCTAGCTTATGCTGCTTTATAGTGTAGTCTGGGAGGAGCGTCACGAGCAACTGTCAGGTGACGTCACTCCACGTCATCTTCTCGAGGTCCGGAGCTTTTGTCCGCAAACCTTCGTCTTCGTTCAGCGTCGCGATCATCGAAAAGTAAAATGGAACGGAAAACGAAACAGAAACCGAAGGAAAGTGAACGGAATGGGAAGCGAGCATTATGGGCTGAGATGCTGCGACAGCACATTCTCGAACAGCGGCATTGCATACCCCGTTCAAAAGAAGCAGCCAACTGTATTTGAGCGCGCACAGGGTTGAAAAGAACGGAGCCGAAATCCACACGCAAACCAGGGGCAGACGCTCACTGGCTCAAGGTGCTGACAGACAATCGACTTTTAAAGTAGTCGTATGCTCCATTAGGCAACCCTCTTTACACGTCTTTTGGTCACAACAGAAGACGAACCGAACACTCAGAGGAACTTTTGGCTGCTAACCAGGCTGATCACCAGACTTGAGTCTCCGGTTATGGAACAGATGAGCGGGCTCTCTTACCGTGTTAAGGCTGACTGATGGACAGAACCGTTTTCTAACCATCCCAAAACCAGCCCACCATCATACACAAGCTCCTTTGTTCTAACGTAGTCTCATGCTTCTATAAGGCAAACTCAGCTCGTCACATGTACATCAGACTCAAAAAGACGAAGCGAACACTTACTGGCCCAGTTGAGCGAGTTGCTGAGAGTAGACGTTCTGGAACGTCTGGCATACTCCGCCAATGAGGAAGCAGCCGAAGGGGCTCCAGGGGAACGTGTACGGGAAAACGGGCGACACCGCGAGCGTGACACGTGTCAGGTTCCCAGGCGACCCGCAGTTATTGGTGAGCGTGAAATTGTACGGCGTGAAACGCGAGCGGCCCTGCTGCACGAACGCGCCCACGTTCTGCGGGCCGATAGTGACGTCAGCAGCGGTGCAGCTGACGTTCCCAACGTTGGCCGTGATGGGCGTGATGGTCGGGATGGTTCCGCTGGGGGTCGGGATGGTTCCGGTGGGGGTCCCGCTGGGGGTCGGGATGGTTCCGCTGGGGGTCGGGATTGTTCCGGTTGGGATGGTTCCGGTGGGGGTCGGCGCCGGAGTCTGACAAGAGAGGTTGCTCGAAGCGCCTTTGTTAGACACTACGCTTCTGGCGCGCATACTCAAGTGACCGCAAAGTCAACGCTTGATTTGCAAACTCCCCGATCGCGATGGACTCATGAGAGACTTTTTTTCTGATGACGGGACAGAAAGCGCTTTTATTTATTGAATGGTCTACATTGAAGATAATTCAAAAGAATGAGATAACCTTTTACGAAACAAAGGTTGCGGCAGGTTGCGGATTAATGCCAGAAGAATGGCCGACTCTTGACCCTTGGAAAACAGCTGCAGGGGGTTTGCCGCGGCTGGCCATCGCTTTCAAGCCTTTCTTTTTCGAGAGGTTCTTTAAGTTAAGGCTACCTCTGATGCACTATTTGGAGCTATTTCAGCTCACACTCTCCGCTTTGTGTCCAGTATCAGGTTGAATCTTAAAGCGATGCTTCTCGTCAAGTACGAAAGCGGTCAAGCCGTCAGCTCTAGTCCTTTTGCTTTCTCATCAAGCCAATCATATGCATGGTTGGATCTTCTAAAAACGTTTAGCATCCCTGCTTGAAGTGGAAAGCAAGGGCTGTGGGCACATCCGAGATCAAAGCCTGCGGGACGTGCCGTGCAAGTCGATCTTATTCTTCACAGATGAAAACGTCCAGACTTGGTTCCTCCACAAAAGAAAACGATGGGACTTGGTTCCTTCACAAAAGAAAACGTTCGGACTTGGTTCCTTCCTAGGAGTCGGACCTCACCTGACCCTCCACCCGAACACAAGTGAACGACAGCAGCAGCAGTCCCGCAAGAAAGAGCGGCATGCTACGATCAAACCCCATTTTCACGCACCAGAGTGTCTCCTTCCCCTGCGGTTGTTTCTCAGAGCTCCTCCGATGGTGTGCACCTGAGTTGAGGACAGCTGTTCAAGCGGACTAGCTGGAAGAAATGTGTTGAAGGAAGCGTTTTTGACTTGCGTGCTTTTCAGACGTTTTGCTAGAGTAAAGACTGGGGCACTCGAAACAACCAGATCGCTCAACCTTCGCTACAGTAGGATACGGAACAAGCCACGAAGTGCTGCTCAGCTGTGTGGGAGATGGGTATGACCAGATGAGACCTTTGGAAAGGTAAAAGACTGGATCTAGAACGCCCAATGAAAGTCACAGATGCGTCACGGACTAAATGTGAAAACATACCGACGATCAGACTGTTGCAAAGTACAGGGCTTTCTCGGATCGCGGACTGCTTCAACATAGTACGGTTCGAGGGTCTCGCGGCATTCCCGGCTTCCTCCATTCTAAGCATGCCAACAATGCAGAAGCCCATTCCCGATATTGCGGAAAAAAGCGCTCCCTTTCTCGTAATGTTGGATCAGTGCCTCGGATTGCTTTCAAAAGTGGTTCGAGTCGCTAGGTATAGTGTTTGTTTCGGTCAGGAGTGTAGTGCGTACTTTCCAATGGGCATCGAGAGACTAGGATCAGAAGATCCTGCAAACAAACCCCCTTGCCATCTAAAGCGTGATCAAAATCTCGCCTCGACTCCTTGGAAATGAGCGAAGAATAAGCGCTCCCGGCAATCCCACCGTGGAACCAAGAAGCGAACTCGGTACTCTGCCCCTTTGACCTCGCACCCAAGATGTTGCACGGCCAGTCTGCGTTTCGTCAGGTGCGGACTTTACGAATCATAAGGTGCAAACTTTACGGATTCCGACGATATATTATACTAACCCGGCCTTCGTCGTCCTGACGAACACGCCGTCGAAACTACATCTTGGGTGCGAGGTTAAGGGCCCCGAGATTCTCTGCGCTGCGGCGAGACCAACACGAGTCGAGGCCAGGAGCTGCATCAAATCTCGTTGCGGAGTACGACGTTTCGATCGATTGCCCTGTTTCTTCCGAGGTCGTCTTCTTTTTCTTGTAGACGTCATTCACCACCCAATCAAACGCTTTCGCGACCGGAGTTTGCGGAAATGCAATTATTTGCACTCACCTGGTGTTCTAAAAATCTCGCCCCGGACGAACACCTCAGCATCGCTGCACCTAACTGTGCAAGGAGACTGATACACGTGGCTGTACCTCCGTTGTGGTAATTCTGTAGACTACGACGCATGCGTACAGTCAACGCATGTCTGCCGGCTGGTTGGAGCAGTGTGTGCGTGTCCGATTGTGCCCTAAGATTCGAAGGAGCCCAACGGGCGCCAAACCGGAACGGTCCGCTCCGGATAAGCAGCGGAAGAACCAAAGGTAGGCCCTATTCGATCAGTCTGCGTTCGGGGCCGGTTCTCGAGAAACAAGAAGCGGCTCCCGCAAATCGGAAGCGTTTCTCGTGACCCGTTTGATCACCGATTCTGCTTGTTTTCGTCAAGTGCCCTTTCTACCTCTTGATCTAGAGGCTATTTTCGCTTCATTGAGCGTGGCATGCGGTAAAGCGTCTTGGCCCTTACATCATACTTTTGTCTGACTCCGGCCTCTTCCCATTGACCAGCGTTAAAGCTGCAAACGTTACAAGCTGCCGCGCACATAGTCGTGCAATTTTCATATGCCAAGATTGTACTTTTGTCTTTGAAGTCCTGCTATGAGCGCTAGCACGGCACTGCTGATCCCTGAAGCACCCCTTCGGATCCGGACGCCTACACCAATCCCAGTTCAATGCTTGAAGAGTACGTCATGAAATGCTTCTTGTAGACCGTTTCCTCACACAGATTTTAGCAGACAGTTTTAGGACGCAACCAAACAAGCCGATCATGTATTAAGGAGAACAAGCTACGAGGAGGAAACGCCACTCTTTCATTCCAGGTGTGTCGATGCAATATATAGGCGTGGGTCGTTTCAAGTTGACAAGCAAGCCTCTAAATAGTGGTTCCTTTACAAGTCATATTGCATGGCAACTCTGCAGCTCTGCGTTTGACATTCCATTCGACGACTATGTATAATCTTCGATGTCGATCTAATTATCTCGTGTATTCCGAGCAAGCTCGCTCAGAGGTGCTACAACGACTCACAAGTTCCGGCCTGTCTGATCAATCTTTTCTTGCCAGGCTATTCTGGGTACGTTATTCAAATGCTATAAACGACACACAAAGCACGGACTGTCTGATCAATCCTTTCTTGCCAGGCTATTCTGCGGTGTAGGTTATTCAAATGCTATAAACGACTCACCAATCACGGACTGTCTGATTACTTCTTTCTTGCCAGGCTATGCCGCGCTGTACGTTATTCAAACGGTCAGCAGCACTTAGTGACTCTGCTGCGTTCCTTGACCGGACAAGAGTTATCTCTTCAAAGGCGCCGGTCGTGGCCGGGGCGCTTTACGCCGGGGCAGGCTTGGCCGGAACAGTCTTGGCCGGGGCAGGCTTGACCGGAACAGTCTTGGCCGGGGCAGGCTTGACCGGAACAGTCTTGGCCGGGGCAGGCTTGACCGGAACAGTCTTGGCCGGGGCAGGCTTGACCGGAACAGTCTTGGCCGGGGCAGCTTTGCCCGGGGCAGCTTTACCCGGGGCAGTCTTGGCCGTAACAGTAGTCGCCGGAACAGCTGTGGCCGGGCCGGCAGTAGCTGGTGGTGGTGTGGTGAGCTGCGGCACTGCTGCGGGCATTCAAAACGTTAAAAGTTTTCAAAGCCGACATGAAGAACTGTCAGATCAACTTTGGGGGGCACTGGCAGAAATTTCGAATAAAAGCTCTGCGAGAAAACATGGATGTAAAGATGATAGGTGCGGGGCGTGTCTAATGGACCACGTCGGACCCTCCATCAGCCCTCCGGCGAGGATTGGCCTCACAACAAGCGAAGATCCGTCTGCGAAAAGCGTTCAAATCAAGTGATACTTGAAAGCCGGAAGCGCTAGAGCGCCGGTGACTTCCGGAAGCTTTTGCTCTGAACCACGGTTAACGTTGGTTGGTCAAGGGCATCGAACCAAATTACAATCACGTTCCCTTGGTTAAGGGCAGTTAACCAACCACACAAGTTGCTTAACGGAGCCTGGTAACCCAGATTTCTTGCTTTATGTGCGACTCGGACCTTACCGACGGCGGCACCGATGGGGGCGAAGGTAGCGGAGGCGACCTGGAAGTTAAAAATGGTGCGGTTTATGTTGACGTTGATGAAGCTGGAGAAGTTGATGTCCAAGCTTTGCCCCGGGGCCAGACCCCCGGGAATCTGGTCGGGCCCAAGAGTACAATTGACGGGGCCCGGCGGCGTATACGTGTAGTCCGGGAAGAGGGTTATGCTCGAACACCTGGCAGGTGACGTCACGACATGTCAGCTCTCCGGCTTTTTGTCCGCAAACCTTCTTCTAGATGTAGTCTGGGAGGACGGTCGCGAGCGAGCAGCTGTGAAGTGACGACACGACACGACAGCCCCTCGAAGCCCAGAGCTTTATCCAGCTGTCGCGATCAGACGAGAATGAAAATCGAAATGGAGTCCGAAATAGAAGCATAGAGAAAAGGAACCCAGAATGGAAGCGAAATTGCTGGCTGAGATGCGCGCGGCGGCCACACGTTTTTAGATACCTGCTTGGCACACCCTGTTCAAAAGGAAGCAGCCGACGTGAGCTGAGCGCGCACAGGGATTAGGGGACCAGAACCGGACCAGACCAGATGCGCACCTGAACCAGGAACGAAGACTCACTAGGTAAGCTGCTGACAGACTTTCAACGTCGTCACATGCATCCATTAGGCAAACCCTCCTTACTTGTCTTTTCTGTCACAACAGAAGACAATCCCCAACACTCACAGGGAACGTTGGCTGCTAGTCAGGCTGGTTCTCAAACTTGAGTCTCAGCTCGAGGGACAAATAAGCGGGCTTGATGGACCAGGCTTATTAAGGCTAGTTTCTGGACATAATCATTTTCTAACGGCTCCACAATTAGCCCATGCTCATCCATGATTGAGATCAGAAATCTTCTGTGTTTACGTAATTTCATGCGTCAAGTAGGCAAGTGCTCGTTACACAAGTCTGTCACAAAAAAAGACGATAGAACCAACACTCACGCGGTAGCGCTGAGCTGCTGGGAGTAGACGTTCTGGAACAGCTGGCACTCTCCGTTGACGAGGAAGCAGCCGAAGATGCTGTAGGGCAGCGTGTAGATTGGCGGCCCAACGGGAAACACCGCGAGCGTGACACGTGTCAGAGTCCCGGGCGACGCGCAGTTATTGGTGATCGTAAACGCGTACGGCGTGACACGCGCGCGGCGCTGCTGCACAGACGCGCCCACGCGCTGCGGGCCGATGGTGACGTTAGAGGCGGCGCAGTTGACGTTCCCGACGTTGGCCGTGACGGGCTTGATGGTCGGGGTGATTCCGGTGGGGGTCGGGGTGGTTCCGGTGGGGGTCGGGGTGGTTCCGGGTCGGGGGTCGGGGTGGTTCCGGGGTCGGGGTCGGGGTGGTTCCGGGCGGGGGTCGGGGTGGTTCCGGGTCGGGGGTACGGGGTTC